AGGGGACCTATAGGGGGTGGAGGGGAACCATAGAGATGAGGGCATCTGTAGCCAACAGAGGGGACCTATAGGGAATGGGGGGATATATAAAGGATGAGAGGATTTACAGGGGATAGAGGGGATCTATAGGGGATGGAGGCTATAAGGGATGGTGGGACACAGAGTGTGGCAGCTATAGGGAAAGGGGGCATAAGAGATGGGAGAAAGAGGATACAAGGGAGGGGGAGCTTAGGGGATGGTGGATAGCAGACTGGGGGACAAGGGGTGTCAGGATGGGTTTAGTGGGGGTGGAGCATATAGGAAATGAGTACAGGGGATGGGGAATGCAAGGAAGGAGCCCCACGGCTGCAGCACTCCATGTTCCCACGCTGTTTCTGCTCTCCCCACCTCCCCCCCCAACTCACTGTCCCACGAAACGATCCCCAGCCCATCACCATTTCTGCATTTATTTTTTATTAACCATTTATTTGTCTGTAATCGACTCTCACATTACAATCGTGTGTTGGTTTTATTGTTTGTCTGTATTTTTTTTTTTTTTAATATATATATATATTTTAAATTTTTGTAAAATAAATAGAGATAAGTGAACTTTTAGGTAGGATGCTCTCCAGACCCTCGGTTAAACCCCATGATTGAATCTCTGCATCACAGCTGTGAACACGCAGCCCCCAACACACACCGTGCTTGGATGGAAGCTACACCAGGCCAGGTAGCCACAAACCCACCTCGTGGTGGCCACCGTGCCCTCGTGCCAGGCAGTTCTCACTCCTTTGACAAATACACTGATAGAAGTTAAAAAGTCTATTGTTTGCTTTCAAGCTGTGTGTGTTAATCGGTTACGCAGAGCCCCCGGCGCGGGAGGCACAGCTCTGTTAGATCATCAGTAACGTCTGGTAACTCAGAAGTAGACTTTTAGGTAGTTTCTCCTTTAGTTTAAAGCCTTTGAGCCACGGATCTGCGGAGGGCCCTTTGTGGGGTCAGCACTGAGCCCTCAGCACCGCTCTGCCCACACAGTTCAAGGAAGCTCAGCACAAGGAGCATCCAGAGGTGCATGCAGCATTTTGTGGGCAGCTTCCCTGCAAGCCTGGCAGAGCCACGGGGCAGATTCCATGACCCAGCTGCCTGCAAACACAGGGAACGACGTTATCAGGTGTGCAGGGAGCAGTGCTGGGTCAGAGCCGTGGCAGAGGGGAAGCTGCCATTTACACATACGGGAACGTTTCTCTCCTCTCCATCACCGTCCGCCTCATCTCTGGCAGCGTGCTGGAAGGCTGCAGACCCACGGGTGCAGATGGAAGGGAATCTGGGGACTTGGGGTTTAGGAAGTCAACCTCAGTGGCCACAGTGACTTTTGCACGGTGCAAATCTGGTTCTTGGCCAGGGAAATTGCACCTCAGCAGCACTTGAAAGAAAACTGCCTTTTGGCTTTGCATCTCTCTTCCCCACGCTGATCTCCAGACACATTCCGGGCTTTAAGGGATAGAAACATTCATTACAGACTCAGAAGGTGCAGATAACAGAGCTGCCTGTTCCCTGGGGAGCTGGGACAAAGCTGCTTGCTCCAAGCAGGAAGACTTGCTGTCCTCCCTCTCTTTAGTGATTCCTGTGCTCAGATGTGTGGTTCTGCACCCCGTTCTGCAGGAGCACAGACAAGCCACAGCCACATACACACCATGTCTGTACTGCATACAAGCAGCCTCCAAGGTGCAAATGTCCAACACCTTGCTGAATTTTAGCACATGGAGTGAGAGGAAAGCTGTGGTTTGAGCTCGGCTCCTCTCAGCTCTGCTGGGCAGAAGTTCTGCAAGCGTGTTTGCAGAGTTCATTGTGAGCAAAAGGACAGTGACTGCAGAACTGTGACTGAGATACCCCAGCCTGCACCGTGTGCTCGAGTGGAAAGTGGTTACATGGTGACATGCTCCAGATGGGCTGGGATGATAGGGATGGCCATGCTTTCTTCCCTCTTGTCCTGGATGTGCAACCTTACAGTGCGGTGGCATCCTGCCCTGCTCCTGTCTTCTCCCCAAGCTCCATTCCTCAGGATCTCTGCCTTCCTTCTCTGTCGTGTGGTCTTCTGTCTCTTCCAGGGGAAGGGAAACCACATGAGAACAAGGGTCACATAACAAAGATTTTACCCTGCATCCCCTGCCCACCCTGGGCAGTGCAGGAGCCGCGCAGCTCTGCAGGCAGGCAGCCCAGGGCTGGTGGAGGGCTGGCTGTTGGGCACAGGGCGGTATCACCGGAGGGGTCCCTCTATGAGCTGGGACTCACAGAGCTGCAGCGAGTCCTGACGTCAGTTCTGAACGACGCTCCAGCAAAAGGAGGAAGCAAAGATCAAAACAAAGAACCTTCTTCGAGGGCACTGCCTCATCCGAAGCTCAGGAGCTGTGTTTCTAACAGAGAAGCCAACCACCGGAAACAAAAATAAAATATTCCTTTTTCTGCAGCTTTGAGAGGATACAGATGAAAAAAAAATAATAATAACAATAGTAGGAGATTGTCTCTCTCTTCCCCTCGCCCAAATCATCAGTAGCTAAGTCAGAACCAAAACGTTCAAGTTACGGGTTGCAGCAGCAGCCAACACGAAACATTCAAGTCGATGATGTCGCTATGTACACCGCGGGGGAGGCAGGCGCCGCCTGCTGGGACTGCGCTGCCACCGGCCGTTATCTGATCCGCTTCTCCACCGAGTACACCGAGATGTAGTAGTCATTGCTCCCGACTGCCAGGTGAGGCTGTGGAAAGGGCAAGAGGGGTACAGCTGGTGCGTGGTAACGGGTGACATTTGCAGCAGTAATGCCCAGCTGCTGGAAAGCTCTGAACGCAGCTCTGACGACATTTCTGCCAGCACCTACGTTGTCCCAGAGAGTTATGCGCCCATTCCAGCCAGAGAAAAAAACGATGGTGGCTATTCGTTGCCAACCTGAAACATAATTTTTCTAAATGGCTGCAAAACTGCTCGGTAGGAACGGTCGCCTGGGCTGAAAATTAACAATCCCTGCTGGGAGAGGGCCTGGAATAACCCTGCTAAGGAGACCTGGGCTGGAGAGGGTTTTGTGAGTTTGCTGATTCAAAGAGCAACACAAACATTCAGCCACTTCTCCCCCAGCCTCCAGCTGCAGGACAGCCTACGTGTGCCTTTAGCTTTTGCAGATCTCCAATTGCTTTGCTGCACAGCATTCGGTCTTCCTACAGCCTTACATAAGGGACAGTGTAAAAGCAGCCCCAGAGACACCCGGGCAAACCTGCTGTCTGCAACAGAGGAGGCATGGAATAAATAAGCACAGAGTGCTTGGAAGTGAGAGACTGTCCCTCTGCAGGCAGCTCCAGGCAAAAGCACCATGGAGGATTTCTGTGGTGAGAACCAGGGAGCCACACAAGGCTGCAGACCCAGAGTGATGGCGACAGCACAGCAAGCTGAGCCACGGGTCAAAAGGGCTCAGCAGCTCGGAGCTGTGTGCTGCTCTGCTCTGGGGGTCATAAAGCAGCAGCACTGCTGGGCCCTTTGCACACTCATGTGGAACTGACTGGAAGAGGATCTGGGCAGAGGGGCTCAGAGACATTCAGAAAACAGGGACAGTCCTGCTCCGTGCTGGGGAGTCTCTCTGCTTTTCCCTCTACTAATGTCAACTTTAAGTGAGAAATGCAAATTCCAAAATCCAAGAAGAGAATACAGACCCAGTGAGGATGGAAAGCCAGGCAGCTGATGGCTCCAACTCTTTGTCCCATAAAACCATCGTAGTATTTGATATTGTTGATCAGCTCACCGTTTCCATTGTAGATTGCAGTGAATTGATTCATTGAGCCACTGAAAGGAACCCAGAGAGGATGGTGTTATTGACAGCAGTGTGGTAACACCGATATTTTTTCTCCAGCCCCTTTTTCAGCTGAGGCTGAGCTGCTCATCAGGTTGGTGGGCAAGCAGCTCTTAAGCAGTGAGACCAACATTAACTGTACCATGGCAACCTCAGGAGAGAGATGTGCAGAAAGGCTCGAACCACAGTTACCTGCTACACTGTGGGATTGAGACAGGAAACATGGAGAGCTGTGCTTACATGTGCTGTAGAGTGGGTCCTTGCTCTGTGCCCACACATCCATAGGAACGTGAGACCCTACAGCACCGCTCTGGTTTTGCTGCTGCGTGGAAGGCAGAAAATAACTGGGAACAAAGCTGCATTTTTTGTGGTGAGGTTAGAACCAGTTAACCCACAGGTGAGGTTGCACAGACAAATCCTCTCTTTTCACTCCAGGGATGCAAGAGGCAAAACAAGAACTTACCATGCAAAGAGGTTGGCTTGCGGGTGAATGTCGAGGGCTGTGAGCCCTTTGACTATCTGGAGGACCTTCATGGACTCTGGCATCCGGGGGTCGAAGAAGCGCACGTCTCCATTCACACTGCCAACACAGGAGGTTCACAACGTCAGGCCGTGCCCAGGCCGGGTCCTGCAGCCCTCAAGCACAGCCTGCCTGCAAGCCGACCACCTCCAGCAGAAGGTTAGCAGAGAGACACGTGCACCACTGTCTCCTCTGCCAACGCAGCTGAATTTCCACTGATGTCGTTGATATTTGGTACCATCCACAAAGCACTCAGTGCTGTGCAAACAGCTCTGCTCTGCCCTCGGGAGCGATCCGTTAGTACTTTTATCACTTACAACCCAGCCCCAAGTATGAGTGCCTTTACTGTTATGTTGTCTCCAATGCACTGAGCTACATGTCAGAACCAAACTCCTTCTCCTTTTCGCTGTAGAAAATTGGATTAGAAAACTGTAACCAGATGGGATCTGCTGGTACAATCCATTACACCAAGTGTCTGCACACAGGAGCACATCCCCACTGCCCAGAGCGCCCTGTAGACCCCATGTAACAAACACTGCTTCACACCCGGGCTGTCAGCCCCATCTGTGGCTTTATGAGGGAGGAGAAGTTGGGGAAAGCAATAGCAGCAGCGACAAGACGCCGCGCTTGGTGAATCGAGCACTTTTCCAACACAAAGGATTTCTTGTTGTTAAGTGATGTCTCTAAAATAACCGAGCAGAATCCCATCTGTTACAAGTGGACGCATCTCCTAACAGCCCTGGAACAGAGGGCTGAGGATTTTGTGGAGGCTCATCTGCTCCTCTGTGCTCCTTAGGACAGACTAAGGGACAGGCACAGAGATCTCCCATGGAACTGAAGGCAGTGTCACCTCATCTGACCTTACTCTCCTGGCAGCACATCCAAAGCTTCTGACACCACAACTTCTGAAGTGCTTTTTTTTCCCCTCTCAAGTCCCTGGTGGCTGTGTACAACTGTGAATCACATGACAGAGATCAGAACAACTGAAAAAACATGAAGAAGTCTATTGCCTCCTGTTTTCTTACCTCCAGAATATCTAATACCGATGAAAAGCTGCTAAACAGGATTACTTATACCAGCGTAAGAAGCTGCAACTCCAGCTGTCACATAATTAAATTCAAGACAAATTAAACTCCAGGTTAATTTACATCCAGAATACCGGATGGAAATACTACTTGAGAGAGATGAAATATACAGCACACTCATTTAATGCATCACGTGGTGAACCAATGCTGAGCAACGAGGGCCACAGGACCAGGTCAGAGCCAGCCATTCTGTCTTCACCGCTCCCATCCCTGGTCCAGATGAAAAGTTTCTCTGTTATTCAGAGAATTACTCCATAAGCAATACAGTGCCTCACAGTATTTTTTAGGAAATAGTTACACCAGAACCTTCTGTGATCTAGAGTTTGCTTTCCTTGGATCACAGAATCACAGAACGGCCTGGGTTGCAAAGGAGCACAGTGCTCATCCAGTTCCAACCCCCTGCTGTGTGCAGGTCACCAACCAGCAGCCCAGGCTGCCCAGAGCCACATCCAGCCTGGCCTTGCATGCCAGCAGGGATGGGGCATCCACAGCCTCCTTGGGCAACCTGTGCCAGTGCCTCACCACCCTCTGGGTGAAAACTTCCTCTTAATATCCAACCTAAAACCATTCCCCCTTGTCCTATCATCCTATCACTATCCACCCATGCAAACAGTCGTTCCCCCTCCACGGATCTTGCTGTCAAATGAATGAGAGTGTGAAGTGGGAGAAACTGAGAGCAATGAGGTCTGCCGTAAGAAGCAGAGTTCCTCCAGAACGAGACCAGACCTGTCTGCTGAGGCACACCACGTTCTCATACCCTTTCAATCCTGAGAAACAGCATCATTTGCTGGTAAGGACATCGAGGAGGGGGAAAAAGGTGCCTTCAGATACAGGCTGGCCAAGCATGCAGGCCTGAGCCCTGAGATTGTTGAAAGAGATTATGGAAAGGAAGATTAAAAACTCTCATACGTGAGCCTGACAAATCTGGCAGCCACGTCACTTAAGTCTCCTTCTGAAAAATCTTAGTAATTATTTTGCTGACCCATCCCCCACTTCAGGAAAGTTCTGCACCGCAGAAAATGGGCTTGTTTGCATTTTGTAACCAAGTAAAAAAGAGCCTCTCTGTGTGCAAACAGCAGCATCGTGACAATAAATTATAATCTGTCGTTCTTTAATGGCCAAATAAGTACATGCTGCTCTACGCAGCATTTACCAGGCTGCAGAAATGGATTTATGTGTAGAAAATTGCTAGATAGCAAAGTAATCCTGCACAGCAATGTGCCCAACAGATGCAACATAAACCTCCTTCCTTCTCGCGTTCCATCTCAAATGACCCCACAAAGATGCTGGCAATAAAGAACAACAACATGAGATGCTATATCGAGCTTGGGTTTCTGGTTCACTCGATGCCTCCCTCACACGCCTCGTGATAGTGATTTCAGCACAGCTACTTTCTTGTTTACTCTCAGACCTCACTAACAGGCTTCCAAAGAAAGCTCTGCGTTTCTTTTTGCCTTCTCGCCACCAGGTTTGCAGCAGGAGTTAATTACTGAAGCAACTGTCAAACTCTTTACACTTTCAGCTCCTGAAATACCAGAAGCAGATTTCAAGCAGCAAAGCAAAACAGCCCCACCAGTGAAATCTCTTCTACCTGACGCTCATGATGTGGCCTTCAGGATGCTTCTGCAGGTACGCCTTCACCACCCAGGCTGTGTGCTCCCTGTAGGTCATGACACGGCTGAGGAATAAGCAGAGAGGGGAGAGGTGGTGAAGGCACGGCGGGGGAAAGGCGGGGAGAGAGCAGAGAGCAGGGCAGCACAGCGATTACCATTCGCTCAGAGCCATCCTCCGGTCGAACACGCGGATGGAGCCGTCACCCAGCCCTGCCACGATCAGTGACCGATGGGAGTCGCACGACAGGCTGGTCACACAGCTGTCTGCCCCGGTGGGGATGTCCTGCAGAGAGAGCACACGAAGCCCAGCTGACACCGAGGTGTGTCTTCAAACCTGCAGCCCCCAGGAGGAGGCATGAGGGGCAGGCTGCTAAGCCAGACACATCCCTGTTCTCCTCCTCCTCCTTTCCTCATTCTGTACATCAGTTCAAAACCAAACCATGGTTAAACCGTGGCACTGCACTGGTGCAGCCTTCCTCCAGACTCTCTGGATAGACCAGAAGTGGGAGAGGTGGCCCTGGAGATGATGGTCACTGCTGTGGGTGATAGAGCTGTGCGTCCCCACAGCTCAGCCCAAAGAGCCCAGGGGAGGAATTCCAGCAAAACCTGCTTTTGTGAAAAGCAAGGCACAGTCTGTTTTAGGAAGGAAAAGTTTATATTATCCTCTACTAAGTGTATCTATTAAGATAAAACAAATTGCCAGAGGGGTCATCTCTCCATGAACCATCTTTGTTAGGTGTGAGCTGTGAAAGCCACCAGAAGAACAGGCAAGGTGGTAAATGTTTGGAGGACTTTAGTCAAGGAAGAAGAAAGTACCTGTAGAAAGCAAAAACTTGTAATGGCACATACAGGAACACAAATAAACCCAAACCTAAGCATGTCACAGTCTGTGTACCTCTGCAGCTCTGGAGCAGTGTCTGAGCAGACACAGCCCTGGACAGTGCTGTGCCACCTAGCAGTGACAAGCAACTCAGGTGTTAGGTGGCAGACACTGTGTGCACTGAAAGAAATGACATGAAGAAAGAAAACTGGAGCTCACAAGGAGCTGTGCTGGGAGCACGTGGTGCACTCTCACTCCTATGCTGTTTGCTTCCCTCTTTCTGCTTGCCATAAGCAAAAGAATTGCTCGGAATCATGCCTATGGTTGGCATGAAGAAAAACATTTTCAGTTACATCAAGTAAAAACTAAGCAGTGCTGCAAAAGTGGGATAACAATCAGGAGGCACGTTAGAGCTGCATTAGCTAATTTCACACTTCAGTCCTATTTTTGCTGTCGCACATATTCACCTTTCCTAGCTGCTATTCACAGCCGAGTGAAGGAGCTGCTGGCTGGAGCACCCAACTCCAGGGCTGTTTGAGCCAGCCATGCTAACTGCCTGAAAGCAGAGCTTGTCTTTGAAGCAGGAACAAGCAGCAGAAGTGAAAATGAGGTACTTGCTTCTTCAGCTACATCCAAAGTGCTTCCAGAGGTTCACTTTTTGCAGTTCAAAGAGTGGGAAGCACCTTTGTTAGCTCAGCTTACATCACTTTCTGCTCTTCGTGCTGAATTTCAGTTTTCCAGTGTTACTGAGTCAGGAAGTTCCAACCACTCCAATTTCAACACCACCACTCTTTGTAATTAAAAAAGAAACTCTTTTTTAGATGCTTGCAGCACAATCACTCATCCTCATCATTTCAAAGATTTTCACCTCCTGAATTTTGATGTTTTCTAGTTTACACAGAAAAAAATATGGGAAAGTAATTAAGATTAACATAGGCTTAATCATCCTGCCTTGCAGGGTTGAAGCATGGCAGCTTTTATCCAGGGCTGATTATCTTCCAGGAAGTCTGGAAACAAGCCTTCCTGTTCTCTGCAGCATGGCAACCTCACTCAGCAACCTGCTGCAGATGCAGAGCCTTGTGCTTGCTGCTCACAGGACGCCCCAGCAGCTCTCCTGTGTGCAGGCAGCAGTGTAGGAGTGTTCCTGGAGGGAAATGCTGAGGGGGACACGCGTGGATCTTACCTGCACTTTCATTTCCCTGTCTGTGTCCCAGATGCGGATTATCCTCACGTCTCCTGAGGTCATGAGCAGCCCAGTCTCTTGTTCCCAGTCGACCACCATTCCTGCTCCTAGGAGAAAACAAAGGCAGGGTGTGTAAGTTACTCAAGTCAGCAGAGGCAGATCTGCACTACTTACAGCCCAGCGTCCGCAGCACAAGGCCACGGAATCTGTTGTCATTACAGGCAATCTGCAACTGCATACACACATCCACACAACCTCCAAAGGGGATCAAAGCAGGTGCTCCTGGATTTGAGTCCAGTTTATGGCCTCTGCTTCTTGGCTGGAGGAAATGCTTAGGAAAGCCTGGGTGCAGAATGTTAAACTCGTGGGGCAGACACGGCCCTGCAGGGGTCCTCATAAACCACCCACCCCATACAGAACGCTGCACCCAGCAGAGACTGAAGCAGACCAAAGTGGTGCCATCACACACAGCAAAACATGTGATCCTCTGCATTGCTGGGACCCCTCATTTTAATAGAAGTATGTGGCTAAGGAACAAGAAATACTATCAGCAGTGCTGCAGGGTACCGAACTAAACATTGCTAGGAGTAAAAACCAACTAGCTCTACAACAGGTTTGGCAATTACACTGCTGAAGATACATCTGTGAGAGTTTTTGGTCCTCATCTTTGAGTGCACAACCCGATTGCTGGCTGAAGTTTACACAGAAGTTCTCACGTAAGCCTCCTGCAGCACAGAATGGATATCCCTGTACAGCTGACTTTGGCATCTGCACACAGACAGGCTGGCAGCCTGTGTGAACCGGTGAACTTTGCTGGCTTGGCAATTTGCAGAGACAAATCCACCTCCCTTCCAGTCAGGGAACAACGTGCCCCACACGAGCTCCCTCAGCCCACACAGAGCAACTGCTGTCAGAACGCAGCAGTGCTTGGATCCCAGAATTAACTGCAACAAAACCCTTCGTTAGGAGGGGAACTCTCCAAGGAACAATTCTTGTACATTTAATTAGAGGGAACTTCTGGACCACCACAGCGTGCAAACATGTTGCTAAAAGCAGAGAGCTGTGCACCAACCACCCTTCGCTGTTTATGCTGCAAAGGCTGACCAACCCAAAGCTACACAGGGCTACAGGGATGCTTTGGTTCATTAAAAACACTCCATGGGAGCGTCAGAAACACTTTGCCGACCAAGGACCAGCAGCCGGTGCCGCCTGCAGAGGGCGCGCGGGCGCCGAGTAGAAGGGCCGGGTGCGGCGGGCGCGCGAAACCGCGGCTTAAATGCGGCCGCGGGGAGAAAAAACCTCTGTGACACAGCGCGGGTGTTCGGCTGCGAGTAGCGCGGGAGGGCGCCTTCCGACGCTGCGGCTGAAACGGCACCGACTGCGCGAAACGAAACAGAGCCGAACTATTCCACCGAAGGGCAAATGGTGTCATGGGGGGAACGACAGAGCGCTGGCTCACGTCTACATGTTAAATCGTAGTGTTTTAGGATGAGGGGAAAACAGAGACTTACTGCTAATTACAATTTCCTTTTTAATTAATGGAGGTCCTCCTCCTGGACTCACCCGCTGAGTGCTGGCTGGTGGCTGCAGGACGCTTCAGCCTCACTGAGGCAGAAGGAAATGCATCCTGCAGGTACCTGCAGCCCTGCTCCTGAGCTCCTCGTGCTTACAGCAGTGGGACAGAGAGGGGTGACCCCATGCAGCCCCCCAAGCTGTGACCCCACACAGCCCCTGACACACCTGAGGCCACGCATCTGCAGGAATGGGACCCAGCAATGCAGTTCCCCAAAAGCATCGTTAGCTAAGATTAAGGTTATCCTGTAAGGAATGATATGTTTCCAGGTAACAAGTGATAAATCATCCACAATGCAGGGGGAAAAAAAAAATGAGGTGGCTGTTGCTGTTCCTGAGCCGTTTAGCACAAGTGCTTGCAGTGCTGTGTGATGGGAGATGATGAGCAGAGCAGCCGCTCTCGAGGCTGTAACTTCCTATGGCTGCTCCCCCAGGATTCCCCCCGTGCATCAGATATGTGTCTCATGGGGGCTGTTCCCTGTATAAGTTTCAATAAATAACAGCGATGTTGAAAACGGCTGCCTTCTGGTGTCTGTGCTTATTTCTTCATCATGGCTGAACGTGGGCAGCCCGCACCAGGCACCATCAGGAACACCTGCACAGCCCACAGACAGCAGCACCTCGCACTGTGATGGATGATTTCTGACCACAGACCCCCGTGGCTGAGCAGTGAGACACAGGGCTGCCTTCCCCTCCAGGAGGCAGTGGGAGGGCTGCGTGACCTCACCTTACTAATTCTCACAGTATCCTTCAGTCAGTGTCCCTCTCCTCATGCCAAGGACTACGCACAGCAAGGGAGAGCAGGACCTGCGATGCTGGAAATGCACACAAAACCCCAGAGCTGCAACATCTCCAATTATGTTATTTCCGTAACCAGAACTCAGGTGTTTCTCCCAAACTTGCTCCTATGGGACTTACCCCCAGACTCTGGGAGGTGTGGGCTCACTTTACCTTCCCCCCTTGCTCTACAGCACAACCTCAATGTGATTCTGATCCTTGGACTATTTGCTGGCTGCATCCTCCCCGGGGCAAAGCCACCCCGGATCCCCCCAGGTGCTGAGACCCCCCCTGATTGCCTCCTCTTCTCCCTCTCCCACCTGCAGGGTTACAGAGCGCAGGAGCAGCAGCGTGACTCAAAGCAGAGCACAGCCCCAGAGGGCACGGCCCTGTATTTCTGCAGTGCAGGTACTGACGTCCTTCACTTTGTTAGGGAAGCCCCAGGAGAGCAGGAAGGAAGCAGGGAGCTGGCAAGCATGTGCTTCTTCTTTCTTGCTTGGCTTAAGTAGAAATTTGCTTGAGGTACGACAGATGACGGCTGTTTACCTACTGGGGCCAACAGCTCCCACGAGGCAGCGATGGATGGGAGTGCATGCAGGTTGGACATGCATCCCCTTGTTAACACATCTCCCTGTATCACTCGGGGGGCCCTGGGGATGGAGGCAACGCAGCTCACACGGACGTGAGGGATTCTGCTGCTGATCTGCACTCGGTGGCCCGATGTGACCTGCACCATCATGAAACCATTGGTCTTTCTCCAACGTACCAGAGATCTGCAGTGCAGCCATTTGTGCAGAGCGAGGCATGAATGAAGAAACAGCCCCTTAGCTTCCATTCAGTAAAATCCCCACAGAAGACTGGGCAATGAGAACGGATTTTTGGTGCTTTAGTGATGAAATAGTGATGCATTCTGCTGCCAAATGAATGGAGAACCTCACATGCTTTTAAGATTTCCTTAGCAGGCGAGAAGAGACTGTGAATATTTCGTACTGATTCCCAGGTATTTGCTTGCAGTTGCAGGGATGCAGTGCAGTTGCTTGGCATTAGCAGCGCTGCTCCAACAAGAGAGTTGCTGGCCCTTCCTTATGCTGCTCGGATGCCTGCATTACCAAGCAGGGAATTCCCTGCAGCCACACCTTGCTAATCTCAGCCTTTCCATTTGAGAATAGATTTCTGAGCGAAACACAGAGCCACAATGATGAAAGCAACACATCAGCTTTGCTAATTTCAGTTTCAGAGCTTTGCTTCCAAAGAGGGATCCGCAAAGACCTCCAGCTAAAGAGCTCTGCATCGCACACCCCCGCCATCGTTTTCGTCCTGTTGATCACTATGGATGTGCTTGGCTCCTATCAGTCAGCAAAGATCAATAACTGCAGAGCAGCTCAGGAGCATCATGTCAGCACTCACCCACGTATGTGTGTGCACACAGATACTGGCATGTCAGCCATCTGCTTCCCAGCAGCAAGAAGGGGTCAGGCTGGGTGCCATGCAGCGCTGGGTCCCACAGCAGGAGGCTGGGGGCTCATCTACCTCCCTGCCACATGATAGAACAGAACCTGTACCATTTACCGGGCATTTCCCTGCCAAAGGACTAAGCTCACTCTCCTAAGCCTGCTAGGTGAGATTCTTTAGCTTCTCTCTCTGAAGTGATCTTTATAGCAGAAGTGTATTACAAAACAATCCCAGCAAAATCCACATCAGCTTAATGGCCTCTTGCATTTGGAACCTGTCTTCCAAACTCCTTTGCCTGGGGATGCTTTGAGATCTTCCAAGAAAGAGAGATTTCTGCCTCCCAGAAAACTGCCCACGCTTCCTGCGCAGAGTTCAGCAGGTGATGCAGACCTGTGGACCTTTATCCTTTCCTTCAGTGCCGGGCTGAGCTCACAGCACCGTCCCTGCATTGCTCACAGCCATCACAGACACACACAGCATGAGGAGTGGAGAGGGAGGAGCAGCAAAGCCTTCCAGGAGCCACAAGGACCCAGCAATCATTCCAAACAACTCCAAAAACCAACCAACCAACCAGACGTGGACGAGGAGCTCCTTCCCACCCCGCCTGGCCATAGGAACAGGAAAGAAAGGACTCACCTCCCTGCTTACTTCTGTCAAGATAGATTGAAACCCTTCGGGCCAGACCTGTGAGAAGACAGGGATTAGGGGTGACACCACGGGTCAAGCCAGAGCAAAACAAATCTTACAACAGGATTAGAAAAAGCAAGTTGAAGCAAAGGTCAGGACAGAGAGAGAAGCAGAAGCATCGAGAGCAGCACATGCCTCCATCCCGAGCAGCATTAGTTCGGTCGCAGCCCCTTCCCAGGACCATGGCTGTGCCCACACCATGCCTGCAGGTCTGACATTTCCTCTTGAACGAGGAGATCTGGGAGCTGCACTGAGCTGGCTCTGAGTGAGAGAGTGAGGAGAGCCAGGGCCAGAGCCCAGCTGGTACGCAGCTCTGGTACCAGTGGGGAGCTGCAGCTCCCATGGAACTGACAGAGCACAGCGTGGGTGCATCACACAGAGCTCGGGGGGAGCAGCCCAAGGGCAGCTGGGAGCAGATACCAGAACTGCTTGGCTTTTCCTACAGCTTTTCTGCAGAATTTATGCTGCCTTGAAACACTATGGCTACTGAGAACATCTTTTGCCATTTTTTCAGATCCTCCTGTCTCTCGTGTTTGTCATGTGAGAAGTAACACTGCATTACACCAGAGCACCTGGTACCGATGCATCTTTAATTTTGACTTAAAAAGGCTTTCTTGGCACATTGTGCACGCAGACGCAGATCTAATTAAGATCAAAATCAACACAGTCAACTGCCCACACAGCAGTTTACCACTGTTTAAGATTCACCATCCCTGAGTCTCACTCAAGCCGACTGATGTGCAATGAGCTGGGGTCAAGCTACTTCTGAGCGAGAGCATCTGACCCAGCTCAGCACTTGGTGCATTCAGTTCTTTCACCTCGGGCTGCACAGAACAAGGAAGGTCTGCGAGAGGTTAAGCTTTGTGCCTCACCCTGCATCATCCCCCATCACGGTCTCTGAGCATCTCTTATTGTCAATACCCCATTGCTTTGACAAGCCAGTGATGCCTCAAGCTTCCAAAGGATGTATTTAGGTACTGCATATTCCTCCTTCCTTTTATAAGAGGGAAAACTGCCTACAAGTCAGTATTCTGCTTGCAACAAGACTGTTAAATTCAGAGATGAGGCTGACATTGGGGAAAAGGATGGGAGTGGAGAGAAGGAAATCAATAGTGGGAGCACACCAACCCCAGCAAAACTCCTGAGCTCTGCAGCTTCAAAGATGCATCTTCAGTTTTATGAGCCAGCGCTGGACCACAACTCAAGTCTTGGCAGCAAAAGATAACTGTTCAATAGAGCGCCTCATTTCCAAGGGGACTTGATCCACATAGCTCTTTTGAACTGAGTACAGTTATTTCTCTCTCCACAAAAATCTGCCCTTTTCTTCTTCAGAACCTAGTTCTATTGCTTCAAAGGTGAAAGGCAAGGGAAACGGCCCAGACTTCCTAAGACCTTACTGGAAAGAAAAAGGCAAAACCACCTTAAGAGAACAGATTCAAGTTTCAGCACACTTGTTTTGGCAAGTGTAAACTCTCAACTCTTAGAGCTAAATCAGCTCTTGCTCAGCTCTTAACCTATTTTGCAACGTCAAACATCACTGCTCTCTAACAACCCTTTCTTCTACATTAAAGCCTGGTAGAGAAGAAGGTAAAGTCAGCAAATGCTATGTCCTTATAGAAGGTACACGTAGAAAGCAAGGTAGGAAAATGGAGTTAGCCTGAAGGAGTTCAGTCTACAGCTGTCAGCATCTTCCCTGAGCATGACTGATGATGCAGCAAGAAATGTAAGAGCAGTGCAGGGGAATTCCCAGACATCAGCTGTTCAGCTGAGTCCATCACCAAAGAAGCAAGATTCAGAGCCCAGGGATGGTAAATGCTCATCGACATCCTTCATGAAAACTGGAGATGGCAAGAAAGGAACACGGACCAAGTGAGTGACACCACAAAGGGCAACTTGAGATGACTGCTGGAGACTTTCCTCTCTGCCTACAGAACGCGCGCCGTGCATTGCCACTGTTTTCATCCTGCTTTTATTGACGTCTCTGCAAAGAGCAAGTTTGGACCGTGGCAATTTTCTCAGTATGCTGCAGACATCCAGCAGCTTCTCATCAGTTTTGCACACATACTGCAGTGAGGCACAGAGCCTAACGTTACCTCAAATGCAGTTCCTCATTCCTAAAACACCGGAGACGAAACAGGAGGTATTAAGGAAAACAGCAAATACGAGCTCAACGAGGCAGCACTGGTAAAATCCAATGAATAGCTAAAAGAGCTGTGTCAGACTCCTGTGATGAGCCACAAGCTCCGAAATGAGAACTGTCAGATTTTAAGGTCAGAATGAGTGATGGTGGTCATCCTGTCTGACCTCTCGCACAGCACAAGCCAGAGAATCTCACCCAGCAATTCCTGCATTAAGCCCACAAGCACTGACTGAACTACAGCACATCTAGAAAAACCTGTAGCCTTGGTTAAAACTATTCAAGTGACAGAAGAACCCCATTAGAGCATTAGAACATTATCAGGTCTCAGAAGGACAGAATGTCCATCTCCTCTAATATCTTAAAACAGACTTCAGGATCACCTAAACTGGTCTTCTGGTTTCATCCTGTGCACAGCAGGATGTCAATGCTTCTTTTTACATCTTTTTCTAAGTTTCCTAGCATCCAAAGCTGTTCGATGTTTAACTGTGCTGTCGTGCAAGCGCCAGATCTGGACTGCATATTCTCTTGTCACCTCCTGACCCACAACGAGCAGTGGACAGTGAATGCTGGAATTGAGCTAAATGAAGTCAGAGGTGCAACATGCAAAGCTGTGCGAAGGCTGAGCATCCCATCAGAAGGAAAGAGGCAGTATGTGAGCCACCATCCCGCCCCGAAGGGAAGAACAAACTCCTGCCACAAGGAGCAGGGCAGTTCCATCGTTGTTCTACAGATCTCTCCTTAGGAACAGGCTAGAGGAACACCTGGCCAAGACAGCTGCTCTGAGGCTTGTGAAGGACAGGAACTTTTTGCCCTTCTGCACCCCAGTAAGAGGCTGCTCTAGCTGTTCTTCAGCACGTGTGAGAGGCTGCTGTGTTGAGCTTTTAGTCTTGGTGGTTTGTTTTACGAGAAACAAACGCAAAACTTGGCCAAAGGCCATTCCAGAAAGGCAGAGACTGTTAAACAAGGATGTTACTGGTGGCTGATGTTAAGAAACCCATTTTACTGCACTCATCCTGAGAAAAAAACCATCTCAACACGAATTACTTCTGGCCTCCCATTCCCCTCCTCCAGGCAGAGGACCTACCTCGTGTAGTTGGCAGCATGTCTGACAGCCCCTGCCACGCTGTGACCATCTCTGGGTTCTTCTCCAGGTCTGCAAAGTTCTTCCACACTCTGATGGCACCATCATCTTGGGAAGCACAAAGAAGAGAACACGATGCCACGTCACTGCCAATGCAACCCTCGTAATTGTGCACAATAAAAAGAATAGAAGCAACACTGTACTCATAGCAAACTCCAGAACTGAGAGCCTCACCAGAACTTAATACTTTTTATTAGAGTTCTTTTTTCTTTAATCTTATTCCATTAAGTCTGAAGGATTGTTCTGCTGGGAACTGCTCTAAAGGGACTTTTCTCCTTCCTAAACACCTGACATCAGATGTCATTCATCTCTTTGACCAATTTTCTCTAGAACTGTCTCTGTCCTCCTTGCTCCTGCACTAAGAACCACATAAATACCCTCCTAAATACAAAATACAGCCCCACAAAGAAGCTGAATCAAAGCCCAGCCCATCAGCAGCAAATCTTTCAAGTACATCATGTATTTTTCTCAATTTGTTCCCCATCTGTGAAACTTCTGTGCTAAGAATCAATAAATTGAAAGAAAAATGTCCTAAAGGCCCTCTCAAATCCTCTTCCACCTCTCTTAATTATACCCAACCTGTACATTTCAGCATGAAGTTTGAAAAGCTATTGAAAACACTTAGACTGACAGGTTTAGAATGGTTCCTTGGGAGTGAAGCATTTCTTACAGCTTTACAGACCAGTGAATGAGAAAAAGCTCTTCATGCTTCCTCACATGATGCAACAGGGCATTCTGGAGGACTGCTTCCCTGGCTGAGACACAGGGACTAGAAACTCACAATAAACTCAGAACTATTGGAGAAGTTCAGTGCCTAAAGCAATTCTTGTCTGCTCTGGACTCAACCAAACCTGGTTCCTCATACTTTGGCTGCAGCACGATTTTCCCTTCAGCTCTGAAAGCAGCTTTTAACCAGCTAAGGAGCACAGTGCCCAAGAAATGGCACAGGAGGTTGCTGTGAACTTGCCATGCCAGGTTCTACCTCAGAACGCCATAACAAATAAAGCTGCGCCTGGAAATGGTTTCAGCAAGGGTTTGATTTGTTTGCTATCTGAGAACACTGCAGCACTTACATAAGCTGTTCAGATATTTCAATGTTGCCAGGAGCAATTTTCAAGTTCAATCTTGGACGTGCTTCAACCAAGACCACACGGGCAAGGGGAAAGGCCAAATGCAGAGCAGGGAGAGCAAGAGGGACAGCACAGCTCCCACGGACCTGAATCCTGAGAAGGCTCCCCAGGTCCTGCCCTGCCACATGGAGGGAGCTGCACTGCTTACCTGTGGCAGTCAGCAGCAAGGAGCAGTCCTGCCCGTTCAGGTACTCCATGGCAGTGATCCTGGTGTACCGTGGGTTCCCGTTGTGGAAATAATCCAATTTCTCCCCTTTCTCCCAGTCCCAGAAGCTGGGGGAGGAAAGAATACGAGGTCAGTTCTTGGCTCTCTGTGTAAGCTATCAAAGAGATCTACGTTCTGCCTAAGCTAAAAGCTGTGTGTATTGTACAGCAATTCAATTTGTTCTTCTTTGATATGCAGCCTCACTTCGTTAACCACGTAGGCCCACCTTCTGCAAGAGAAACAGAGCACAAGCCCAGCTGTGGAACGATCTCAACCCAGGCTCACGTTCTCCTTCTGCAGGACTTGGTGCCACAATAAAGCACCAGCACAAGCAGCACGAGCCCCACAGCCACTTACCAGATACTGTCCTTGTCGGCAACAGCAATGCAGGGTGTGAAGGGATGGAACTTCACCACAGAGGGGACGCCGGGGTTCCTGTTGAGGAAGATCTGATCATCCAGTCGGGAGATGCCTGTGGGGACAGCAGGCAATGGGCTCAGCGCCCCAGAGGCCCCACAGAGGGATGGGGCTGCAGAGCTCCCCAGCAGCACTCAGAGACCACGGCACCCCACAGCCCCAGCCCCTCTGCACTGCCACGCATCTCAGCCTAAGCTACAAACTGAACACTGAGATGACAAACGCTGGGATCCTTTATTTCGGTAACTGAAGAGAACAAGCAGAGCACACCCAGCCACGTGCAGCCAAAGAAATGGGTGGCAATGGGCCCCCAGATCACTTGGTTGAAACTGGTTAAGTTCCCAACCCAACTGTTCCACGCTTCTATGAAGTACCAGCTTGTGCTCGTACAGAAATCCACTTCTTTTGTTGCCAAAATAAAACAAAATAAACCCACTTTATTGGAATTGCAGCATTCCAGTTTAGCTTGTGGATTATTTATTTAGCCTTTCATTTCAGTTCTTTCCGATTTCAGGCTAATTTACAAACGAAAAATATATTTTCCACTGAGACTTTCAAATGCTGGTTGCAGACCTTTCCCCCCTCTCTTTAGAGCACCTCATGATTTGCAAACAGTGTTGGTAACCCCTGGAACAGCATTTTTTAGCACAGCGTGAATCCATCACACAGAACTGTAAGCTCAAGAGACATTCACTCAGTCCTGGTTAGTTTTAGCATGCATCCATTTAATTTCATTTTCATTAAGGGATCCTAAGTCTATTCTAATTCCTTTTAATATTTCAGACTTAGCTGTTTTTTTTTTTTTAAATGAATATTGGCATTTCAGCTGCTCAGGTCAAGCAAGCAAACATAAATACTGTCTAGATAAAGGTTTTTCTTCAGGCGAGCACAAACAATCCCCTTTTTTTGTATTCAAAAAGATCCCCCAAGCCATTTCCTGGGCTCCAGTTTTAATTCTCTATTATTCTGGTTTATGACACTCTGCAGTTCTATGACATTAAACTCCCTGTCGAGCCCAGCAAACCTCCAGAGAGCGAAGCACCGCAGCAGGCTGTGCCTCCAGCACCAAGCCCTGCACTCAGCACATCAGTTTCTCCAGCTCCATGCACCTCAGTTCCCATCCTGGGAGGAACAGCACCCACAGAAGGGCTCTGCCCCGGTGGATGCAGGCAGGGATCCAGCCTGTGCCAGGTTCTGAGGGCTTGCAGGACAGTGACAAGCAGCAAAACAGCCAAGAGCAGCATGAGCCCCTGCCACCCTGCCTGAGAGCAGGGACCTCTGCCTCTGAGGCTCAGCACAGGTGCTATTCATGGGGTGCTGGGAGCCCCGGGGAGCTGCGTGCAGCATAGGAAGAGGGGCACTCACCCTTCTGAATGATCTTCTGGGCTTGCTTCCTGACCCGGGCGTTGCGCAGGAACCGCCACTCCCTCTCCTTGCGGATCTGGCTCTCCAGGTCGTGCTCCTCCGGGATCTTTCCACACATCAGCGTGTTCACAACATAAGACAGTAAATCAGAACTCCATGAATCGCCATTCACAAACACGCGTGTTCACATCAGACCAAGCCGTGACACCTTAGCATCTCCGTACAGTACGTGGAGGAACTCAAAGGACATTCTGATTTCAGCCTTCCCATCATCTGTGAAACCTTCCCCTTTCCTTCTGCTGCCCTAATCCTGAGATTGAAGAGAGAGCACGGCTTTGATACAGACTGAAAGCTACGAACGCATTAAAATCTATCCTTCAATAGAGAAGTGCAGGCCAAAAAATGCATTGCTTTATTCCCTAATTCCTGAGATGTGTGAATTACCAGCATGACATCCACTGCTAATGGCAACTGTTTTCATTTGCAGCAAAATGATTCCCCTGCGTGGCCTGGGTCTGGTTACACACACACCTTCACTTAGAATGGGAGCCCTGAGCAGCATGTAACCACTCTGACCTATTTTATTGCTTTTATTCAGACTCCACAGCCATTGATGGCTTTCCTGCAGGACCCCACCTGCAGCCAGGGGGCCCATGGGGTGCAAAAGCAGCTCCTGCCAGGCTGCAGGTCATATCCACACCCAGAGCACAGCATTGGAAGGAACAGCTCACTGATGTCACCCACAGCCCACTGCAGGGTTAAGCATAATGTGCCTTTTGCTTCACTCATAAAAAAATAACCAAAACTAGCAACAGTGCTGCTTTAGAAACACCTCTGGGTCGATGAAGATGAGCTGTCTTCCTTTGATGAAGGAAATGATGCTGTTCTGGGCAGAGCGAGCCTTGGAGAAGGGTGACATAAAAGACAAAGTTCTTTTGCTCCTTCCCCTTCCACACAGACACACGTTTCTTTTTTCCTGACTAAGAAAGTACTTAAATCACCTGCCACTGTTATATCCGCTATCTTCAAAATGTATTATGCTCTGGAAAACAACCATTACAGAGCTGAATTGCTGCTGCTTTAAAATAAGAAACCCACCCCCCCAAAAAAAAAGACTATTTCAATTTTTCAAGAGTATGACATCTATTAGAAAGGCAGTGACAAACGACCAATAATGTACAGCAATAAACAAACCTAAGATAAAATACATCAAAGTGCATTTGAGAGCACGGAGATTACAGCTACACCTTAATGAAAATCCAGCTTCTCTAGGAATAAATTAAAGTAGGACCTAGGAGGAGGCCAGGGGATGGGCAGGGCACCAACAACAGCACATTTTCCAGGGGGGCACCCAGCAGCTGTCTCAGTTTAAGGCCAAGACAGTTTGCAGCACAGCGAGGCACCGCTATGCTCTCTAGCAGATGAAGAATATCAGATCAAAGGAGCTGCCGGGCTTCTCGGGTCTGAAGAAAAAGAACTCTTCCGTGGAGGCTGAGCTGAAAGCTGCTTTATTATCTGATTTCAGCAATACACATTCTTCTTACAATGAGATCTGCTGAACTCAACTGATCACTGCCAGTACCTGTAACCACACAGAGGTGCTCGGTACCAGTTCAGCTCGGTGTGCTGCAGGTGACAGAGTTTGTGGTTCTGTTTGTGGTTCTGAGCTGAGCCCACAGACCAGCACTGCAGTGAGCACAGAGCTGCAGCACGCAGTGCAATGCAGCACTTCTCCCATTCCCAGCAGCCTGCAGGACAGAGCTGGGTTGGGTGCAATAACAAAGAAAGGGGAGACTTAGGTCAGATGTGAGGAGGAAATTCTTCACCCAGAGGGCAGTGAGGCCACGGCATTGCCCAGAGCTGTGAGTGCCCCATCCCCAGAGGTGCCTGAGGCTGTGCCTGTGTTCTGGGCAGCCTGGGCTGAGCTGGCAATCAGTTCGCAGTAGGGGTAGGGCTGTGGGATCCCTTCCAACGCAGGCATGCTGTGATTCTGTGATGATTTTGTAACCCCACAGAACACATCGCAAGGGAACTTCTGGTGGTGCAGAAGCACAGGATTATGTCAGGACATGCATGTAATAGAGCGGTGACCTCCAGCTCAGCTGCTTCTGGCTGGAAAACCAGAAGTTATTATTCAAAAGAACCAGCTAGTTAGGCTCATTATTCATGCCTTTGTCTCCCCTCCCATCCAGCTCACATTTAAGCATTAGAAAGTCATTTTAGTAAACAACAGCCGGGCTTTGGCTGCTGCTCAGCTCTCCTCCGAGCAGAGCTCCCAGAGGTACGTGGGAGTAGCAAACTGTGCTACACGATGAGGATCACGACATGGCTGCGATTCTCTGCATCTCTGAGCTTCCACTCAGGCATCAACCAGCGACCATCCCCAAACCTCCCACCAAGTGGTGTCATCTGAAAGCCAACCCAGCTCTTTTTTAACAGCCTCCTTCCACGTCGGCGTGGAAGTCGGTATTTGGATGGGAGAGGGGAAAATTCAGCAGTCTGCTCCTGTAGTAAATACAGTTTGTCCCTGCACAGTGTTACTGCAGCATCGCACACAGGGCTCCCTCCTCCACCAGGACTTTGAGCAACAGCCAAGACAGAGAGCACAGAGCGCTGAAGTGAGGGCTGGGATTTTTCAGGAAGGATTCCTTATGTAATTCTCACCTTCCAGGATCCTTCCCAGCTCCTGCCTGCATGTTCTGCCAGCCCTGCGAGCAGCAGATGCTGGCTCTGCTCTCCTCGATTCAGGGCTTCCTGACAGCTGGCAACAAGGCTTTCCTGTGCCACGCGGTCCAAGGCTGCCCGTGGTGAGCAGAACAGCCTTTTGCCATCCCAGCTTTAGGAAGAGGAACGACTTCTGCAGAGATCAGGGCTGTGGTAGGTAACTGCTTTTCCTGGCACACCGAGAATTTACAGTGCGGTGCTCTCTTCCTCCGTGTATCTGATTAGATAATCGATAAATCAAAGGCAGTTATGATGGCCTGAATCCCAGCCACTGATTTACGCTGGAAATTAATCCCTCCATCTTTCCAATGAAAGCATTCTCATAGCGAGGTCTATGAAGCAAAGCTGAATTCATAAATTAAATATGACTAAGATGCACTCACAGTCATTTTATGTTTATTCATTACAGGAATAGTTGTCTTATCTTTCCCTGTTTATGATGGTAGGCAGCATCTCCAAATGAAGTACTGGAATTGCACATCAACGTCATCTTTTTCCATCAGCACTCTGCAGACTTTACTCTTTGCCTTTTTCATGAGGCTAAAGCTCTCAAAAGACAGCAGCTGCAAGTCATGGCTGTTTGCTCCTCACTGCTGCAGGAACAGATTCTAAGAAAGGAGCACTCTTTGGACATTCAGCCAAGACTCGAGTTACAGCACGGCCAGGGCTGCCTGGTTACACAAGCAGTGATCGAGATGTGCCAAAGGAAGCTGTAGAAGAGGGACGCCTCCCTGTCCCTTGCACATGTACCACCCACTCATTACAAAGCCCCATGCAGTTCCCTTGCAGTCAGTATAACATGCAAACTTCTTGGCACAAAGACCTCCACTTGGCCTCTTGAGGCTGTTTTACAAAAGTAATGGGCAAATCAATTCACTTCCTCGTTCCATTAGGAAACACAGATTTTGTTTGGAGCAAACCTTACCTAAAACACTGCTGCTGAGGATGCTCTGTGCTCAGAAAATGCAACCCAAGGCAGTGAATGTCACCAACCCAAACCACGGGAACTAAGAGAACATACATACTGCTACTCCTGCTCTTAGAGTAAAAGCTGAAGAGAGAGAGCATTGTGCCCATGTTCTGCATAGGGATGTAGCCTGGAGCATCTCAATTCTCACGGTGAGACACTGAACTCTTTGGGACTCACTACAGTGAAAAGGAAAGCCTGAAATTTTCATTTCCAGGACTCCCCCTCCCTGGCTCCTATGAATTAGTATGAGAACACTCCGTATGTTTTCTTTCCTCCCCCAATTTTCTTAATTTTATGCACTTGGAGTACTAAATCTATATATATATATACACACACACACATACACAGCTCCCCATCTACACATTTAAACTGCATTTTGATTGGCTGTCTACTGTGATTTATTGCATTAATAAGACACCCCTCTTTTTCCTTAGAAAGTAGATAAATGTTTTTAATAAGAACTAAGGGATGGAAGAACATCCTCCCGTGTTTCTTTTACTCTCCTCTGGACTTGAATTGAGACACTGAAACTCATCTGGATGCGAGAAAACCCCGCTATAAAGCTTGACCGAGCCCCATGGGCCAGATGTATTTCCTAATGAATTATTCTGCTAATGATATCAGAAGAAAGTTAATTTCACTAGCAGCTCAGGAAGCGTCAGGCAATCGCTCTACCATCTAGTTTTTCCTCCTGGTGATTTTCTAAGCAAATTAAAGCTACACGGAAACCTCGCTGCCATGTAACCGGTTTTCTGATAGCCTTAAACTTGGGGGCAATTACCTCACCTCAACACCTAACAATGTAACATGCCTAAAGATGGAAAGGAGCAGTAACAGATGGCTCAGTGGCAATTCTTAGATGAGGCAGCACGTAAAATGTGCCATTTCTTTGCATATTCTGAAGATTTAAACATCAGCGGTTGCATAAAAGCATCCACTGCTGAGTCGCTCAGGTGGTGGCATTAATACAAACGATGCATTATAGTTCACATTAATTGCAACACCTCCAAAAGTTAAGCTGAAAGTTCTGTTACAGTTTGTGCTGCTTGAATCCCAAGGTACCTTCACTGTGGTTGCTAATACCAAGGCAAGGTTTGATGCTTACTTTGATTTCACGCTTAAGATTGAAACCCGATCTTTGGCTAAAAGATTCTGGGAATGTAAGTGCTTATTTCCAGTCATTGACCATCTCTGCTCATCTCTGAAGAGCTTTGTTTTGTCTCATTTTTTTGTCTATTATTTTTTTTTCCTAGAATAAAGCTTTTGTGCACCTCTCACTTCACATAAAACCAACTTAGAGTTGCCAGAAAGCACTCGCTTCTAAAGAGATCTCAATGGAGATTTGTCATTTACAACCCTCATTCTTTGCTGCAGTAAGTTTTTTTTTTGTTGCTGAACTTTGAAAAGAATAATGATTCTTCTGAAGTTTTCCCCATGCTGTCCTGTAGACTTCCAATAGCCATTCTCCTCGCTAAGGTAAAGGAATCAAGACTGGGTGCATGTAAGCACAGCTCCCAGGTCACACTTGAGTACAGAGCCGTGCCTCACTTCAAGGGGAGGGTGAGTTCTGTTGTCCCCATCTCCACTCAAGAACCCCTCATTTCTACATTCTTTCTTGAAAGCATTCTATGCATGCAGGGCATTTGCTTGGGCTCTGTCCCTACTAATACCTGACCTTTCTGGCTCTCACTGCCTCTCCTGCTCTCTGTGATAGGCAGTGGTCACACAGCTCACCAGAGCAGGATGATAGAAATACATCCATTCCTTTCCCTCCTCAGCCAGAAGAGGAAAAGAAGGCAAAGTGAACAGATGAGGCCACTAGCCTATGCGAAGAACCAGCACCTCAACCTTTCAGGAGCTGCAGTGTCATGATTCAGAAAGACAACCAAGCATTACCTTCATAACAGGCTGAGCAAAGTACTTCGCGCTCCAGTCACAAAACCCCGTCTGCACTGTGGCTGAAATGAAACTTTTGTGTCCAACGGTATCATCAGCATCATCAGTGGTCTGTCCAGAAAGAGAACAGGATGTTACCCCACGTCCATCTCACTTGCACGGGCAATTTGTACACACAGTGATACCCGGAGTGCCTGTGGCAGATCTGTGAGCAGAGAAAAACCCTCAAAAACATTGCCAAGGATACCAAGATTTGTGTGTCTAGCTCCACAACCACTGTCATTACATTAGCTGTTCAGAAATGCACAAACAACCTCTTCTGCACAGCACACGACACAGCCAGGCTACAGCATGAATCATGAACCCAAGTGTTTGTGCATCACAAAACCAACTTCCCAGGATGAGGTTTCTCATGGTCTACACAAGAACCTGGCATTAGAAGCAGTGGTGAGGGGAAGGTGATTCAGGATAACCCACCTTCAGATCAAGGCCACATTGTGCATTAAATGTCTATTATAAAGCATAAGACATCAAAAAAGAAGGAAAAAAAAAAAAAAAAAGAGATACCACTCCATTGACCCAGGCTTCATTCAGGTTTTCTGAACTATGAGCCATGCTGTTGCTGCTATCCCCGCTAGAATTGAAGGTGTTCCTATTAATGCTTCGACAAATCTTTCTTGGAATCACACAGAAGCATTGGCTCTACGCAAATGCTACTTTAATAAAGAACAGTTAATTCCCAGAAGTCAGAAAACCTGCAATCTGCAATGTACTCTCAGCCTGTGGCTTGCCAAACACACACCTTGCCACTTCCCAGCTTCCCCTTCCATAATGCCTTTTCCAGTTTCCTCTCACAGAGCAAGCACCAGAAACATCCTGGAAATGCTCTGAAGAGAGGAGCAAACATCAAACCACTGTCAGCCGGCTGGATCCAGGGCACTGACCAGGAACAGGTTGCCAAGGAGGTTGTGGATACCCTGTCCCTGGAGGCATTCAAAGCCAGGCTGGATGTGGCTCTGGGCAGCCTGGTCTGGTGGTTGGTGACCCTGCACATGGCAGGGGGTTGAAACTAGATGATCATCGTGGTCCTTTTCAACCCAGGCCATTCCATGATTCTATGACCACTGCCAACTGCTACCTTTGAGTGATGGCCACAAGTGCACCTGAGTGTGCTTGGACCCAACCATACTTGTCTGAGATGACTCACCTAAAGTCAACTGAAAGTGACATTCAGAATCCACTGTGCACATTACTGCATTCCTCCACTTGGCACCAAATCAGTTCTTCATGCTTCTCTAAATGGAAAAATGCCCAGTACCTGATGACTGTCATTTGGATGCTAACATGGGTGCAAACCCCCTATTGGCCTGATGCTGAAAATAAAAGACACCACAGCTCTTGGCTGGCCAGATGTATCCCAGCAGTGACCTGTAGAAAGCTCTGGTCTTCCCAGTGCCAGTCTGGGCTTACATCTGCTCCTGCGGTTAGCAAAGAGAGGCTGCCAAGCACAGAACGAATCTGCAGTAAAGGAGGTGAATCTGCTGCTGCAAGGGCATCTCCCAGTATCTCAAGAGAAACATCTGCCTGCATGTTAAAGGAGGAAGAATTGTCCCTTTGTCAGCCTCTGTCCATGCTTTGCTGAGGTTGGAGGAAAAGCAACTGACAGAGATGCAGCTGTGCACTGTCGCTCAGGCAGACAAATGTTTGTGAAAGAATAAACAATCAACTCGGATTAAACGCTTCTTGGTGGCAGCAGAAGTGAGTAATGTCCTATATCAGAGTCATAAAACATATCCCGAAGAAAATATTAATCCATTTTTATTTTACTGGTTAAAAGAAGCTACCCTGGTGTTAGCAGCAGCTAGAAGTGAAGGATGAAGGATATGCAGAAATGAAACACAAAGAACAGAAAGTGTAACAAAACCCAGTGGAGCAGGGGATCAGAACTGAAAGCAAAGTCTCTTTACCTGCTCTGGCCCTTTGTCAAACATTTTTCTTGTTCTGGGGAACTGGTGGGAGTGGGGAGTGTACTGAACCCCCATGTTGCCCACATTGGCAGGTCGCACAGACGTGATGTCCCGGCTGACCGGTTGCTTTGTCACATCATTTGTCAGGCTGGAGCTGCTTGTGCTGGTGGTTGGAGGTGATCCTCTACAGATCAAAAGAGTAAAAGGATTTAGATAGCAGCAGACATGTGACTTGCCCTCATTTTCTGAACCTCTCTGATACGTATCCCCTGACACCTGGCACGTCTCACTAAACTGCAGTTCTGACATGCTTTCCAGCTCTGAGAATCAGCCCGGTTCTACAAGCAGAAAGCAGTTCAATGCTCCCTCTCACAGCAGAAACAAAGCTAACCCCCAAACACGAGGGCAGAGGCTAACACTGGCTACGTTGCCATTATCTGCTCTGCTGCCTTAACTCCTGCATGTGAATTATGTGACTTCTTTTACTTTGCTTGTTTCTGACAAGACTTATCCTTCACTGCTGTGCTTCCTCTACAATCCAAACACACAGTCCAAAAAAGTTACAAATCTCAGCAGTGAATCCTGACTGAGCCAACTCAGAAAAGCAAAATTCTGGGAACCTGTAGGCTAAGCAGTCACACACCCCCATGTAATGGCTGTGACCATGGCACAGTGACCAGCAATGTGGTGACTGGAGTCCTGGCAGACCACAGGGCAGCATTTTGATTTGCGTGCAAACTGAGATCCGTGCAATTGCACGGTTGCATAATGCTAAGAGAAGACATTAAAAGCATCACTGAGCAGTTTAGAGCCCTCCTTTCCAACTTTGAATCTCACTGCTGCACATGGATTGTGAGGCTGCCAGATCTCAAGCCAGGTGTTTTCCCTTGGACAGCATCCTTTGGGAAGGAATCACATTTCTAAGCCTAGCATTGCTCACACTGTTGCCTTAGTTTCACTGAGTTTAGGCATCGCTTGCTGACCACCAGGCAACCCTGGCTTTTAGCTGAAACTGGAGAAAAGAGATCAGATTTCAATGGGAAATCTGGATACCTCAGGTCAGAGTGCATCAGTAAAATCAGCAACATTCAACACGTCCCTTCAATCCACCCTTATATAACCAGCATGCCTCATTATGCTTTGCCCTAAAAGGAGTAACGTGTAGAAACTCCCCACCTGTCCCCAGAGCTTTTGTTCCTAAGCCTCTTACCAGCACTAAACCAAGAAGCTACAAGACCCCCATGGGCTCCTGATGGGGAGCTCTGGGCCCACTTACCCCACTTGGTGGATATGCATGCCCTTGTTGGTGGGGCTGGCAGGCGCTGACTGCGTCAGTGAGGACGTGTCCAGGATGCGCTGGGGGCGAGCGTTGACTGTTGCCTAGAGGGAAAGACACAACAGAGTGCTGATTGGGACTGCAGAACAGCCATTGCAGGGGTTTATTATATGATACAACTGCACACCTGGGGTTCAATGAAGTTAAGCTCTCTATCAGTGTGTGTGGGGGTGTTTAAAAATATACGTGAAAAGTCCCTGTGCAGTTTTGAACACGTAAGACAATCCTGCTGCTCTTGGAGTCTGACAGCACTTACCAGACAGCATCGTTCATTTGCTTACAGAGACATAACTGACCAACATATCAGCCTCTTCTGAAAGCAGCCACAGCCCAGGACCCACAGCACAACTTGTACCACGAGGTGAGCTGACAGCACGGAGCTCCCACCCAGCACTGCTCCACTGCCCATGGCTGCAGTACCCATCCTGATTCTGCATCTCATGCTTGGGTCACAACTGCCCTTGCACATCTGGCAGCTGCACAGATCTGCCTCCCATTGCCTCTGCAACTCCGCTAATGGGAGCTGAGCTTTCGTGGAAGTCACTGCAGGATGCCCCTCCCCTACACACCAATCCACACCAACTTGCATAGGAAGGCAGCAGGTCTGCATAGCTGGACTGCTCACAGCTCTGCCCAGCACAGCCAGGCCCTCCTGCAGGCTGACACAGACCTAATCCTGAAAGAAACATCTGTCCTTCCTCCGAGAAAAGGTCCCAGATGCAGGCCAGGGGATGGCAGTGAGCAAAGCATGCAGCTCCAGCTCCACCTGCTCAAGGTCTCGAGCCCTGACCACCACCTGCTTGGCTCCAGGAGCACACACCAAATGCCACGGCCTCGGATAAGCCTGGCCCAGCCCCTCCTACAGGCTGGCTGACTTGGGGCTACTTTTCTCCTTCCCAAATGAGGTGAGAGAGGCCCCAGCGCCACTCATCACAGTCATGAGTGCAGTGGGGTCTTCAGTGAGCAGCTGGGACGTGAAATCAGAGAGAACGGAAGGAAAGCAGAAGCAATTTAACAACTAGTCACAGACAATTATTCATTGCTAGTTCTAATTAGTCACAGAAGACTCAGTTTTCAGATTCTTGCAGTCAGATCTCTGTCACCTGAAACAGTTCCGGTCCCCTCGTGTCACAGCGGAGGGACAAGATGAGCCAGTGACAGTGTGCTGAAGGGGCACACTGAGGGGAACGTGGCAGCAGCCTTCCTTCTTCGTGGGGAAACAGCAGAGGAATTTCTTTTCTGCCAGAAGCAAGCTGCAGCTCAGTGACATGACAGCGTTTTGCTGGAGGCTGCGGCTGCCCGTTTCCCAGGGATTTGCTCCTCTGCCCGTCACAGCACCTCTTTCAGGAGGGGAAATGGTAATTCATAACTTTGCAAATTGACACCCAGTAGAGGAAAGAAAAAAAGAGTGTGCTGTCAGAATCGCTCGCTCCTGCATGGCAAAGCTGTACCAAGAGTGATGTCAGTGGAGGAATAGCTGCTGGGGCAATTCAGCCTCAAGGCTTCCATTAAAAACAGCTGGGTGAGGCAATCTGGGAGGGAAGCAAACTTTCCTTAATTAATTTTGATTTCAGAAAGTCTTAAAAGGCCAACGCTGCTTACCAGCTCCTGTTTGTTTGTTTGCTTTGGTACAAAAACCATGCTTGGGACTTTTAAAAGATCAGGCTGGGAATGAGATTGTATCACTCCAATCTGCATCATGAATATAAATCACAACTCAGCAGCAATCTGTGGGAGAACCAGCAATGTCTAATCAGCCCAGGAAATAAAACTGCACATTTCCAACCCAGGAAGCATGCACGTCTGTGCAACCTACTCACCAGCTGCTCAGAAAGACATCGCCCTATTTAAAGACCACTGGAGTTCTGTAGATAAAGAGCTGTACTCTTGGCTCCGTTGCACTGAGTAGAACTTGCCTCATTGCAAAACAAAAATAACTGCTCTACAAATGCAGACACAACCTGAACTCCTGCACAACCCCATCACACACAGCACTGCCCTGCTGTCACAGTGCTGCAGTGCTTACTGCTCACAGCCTCACGCTGCACCGGTGCTGCCTGCACAGCCCTCAGGGTGACTGATTTCCATGCCTGGTACAAAAGATGGTACAAAACATATTGGAAAATCATGAGGACTCAAAGCACAGAGCCTGGCAACGTTCTGCAGCTAAACAGTTCACCAAGAATGAAGATGTGGGTAACCAGTGGCCATTCCCAAATGTCAGTCCATGGCTACTTTGTTAAGCTCCTTCAGCTGAAAAACAGCAGACACACCAAAGCCACACAAATTGCAGCATTCTGTTCTGTGAACAGAGGAAACTTTCAGATGTCCAAGCTCCAAAATGAAGCCTTTCTCCCTGAATTCTGTATTAACCAGAAGAATAGGACTAAACCCCTGAACATCCAAGTGCTTTACTTAGTGTGAAACAGGGCTTTTTTTTAATCAAGGAAATCAACTTTTGTTTATATTCAGAAACCAAATGGGAACACAGCATCTGCATGTGCTGAACCTGGGAGGTGCAGGGACCCAGGCAGCTCCCAGCCACCTGCAGCCCAAGCTCCACGAGCACCAAGGAAAGGTTTCAGTGTACAGCTGACACAAGGTCATGGTTAATAATCTCCTTGATGTGACAGCAATTCCTACACAGATCCAGGCTCACGCCAGCAGAGGAGGATGGATTTGGGGCTGTAAACCCTGGCAGCACTGCTCACTGTGGGAGCACTGGCTGTGATGGGAACCTACGGTCCGAAGCCTCATCTTCCATTTTGGAGGGCTGCTAACAAGATTCCACAGGAGGAATCCATCTGAGAAGCTGGGCTGCTGTACTGGCAACAGCAAATGCACAGCATCACGAAGAGACAGCCACCATACATGCACCTGCCCAAAGCATTGGACAAAGTGCACGTTTAAATGCTGGCCTCATGCCACTTGTGGCTAACAGAAGAACAAATGTGGCTAAGAAGAACAAATAAGCTTCATTCACTGGAGCGACCCCAGATGGAAATCTTCATAAATGGGAATGCTTTTATTATTTCGAATACAAAACCATTTGAAGAGCCATTGCCTCAGAGAGCAGCTGTGTGAGAAGCAGAGCATGAGATGTGCGATATGCATCCACTTGAGCTTTTGGATTCCTTCCTGTGCAAAGAATTTAGGACCAGACTTCTCAGAACCAGCACCCAATTTATCAAACAGTCACAGCATTCCTACGCATATCACAGCACAATGATCAACATTCCTGCTGGCTAAGCAGAACCACAGCAGTGCTGGTAAAGACATCTGCAGGGCACAACTGCACCTTTATTAATATTTATACATTTCTTTCCACCAGCAAAGGAGTCATTCCTGAAAAAATAGGTAAGTCAGAAAAAGCAGATCCATTTCCTTTTATAGCCCTTTAAATCCCATAGTCAGACTAATGTTTCATTTTGCAAAGAGCCTTCCAACATTCAACACCAAAACAGCTTTGTGCAGCTCCAGCCGAGATGGAAATCTTTTCACTTTTCTTATTCACCTTCATTTGGAACCTTGTGCCTGACAGCAATTTGTTGTACAACAGAATCACCAGGGGAGGACTGACCTCACCACCCCCACTGTCAAAACCATTCCCTGTCCCCAAACACAGACATTGCCAACTCGCTGACATGTACGCTTAAAACAAAGGGAGGAATTTAAATAAGTAACTATTTTCTCAAGGGAAAATCAGATTGAAAAGCAAGAAATCTCTAAGGCGTAAAAATGGCAGTGCACAATGCTGGCATCTCTTACTGCAGAACTTCAGCTCAGAAGCCTCAACTGAAGATTTAGGGTTATTCATTAGCAATCGTCAGTAAGAGACGCCATCTCGCATTGGAATGGCTCATGGTCTGGATGCTACAGCAACTACAGGTGGAATCCAAGCACGGGGAAGGGCTGCAGTCAGAGCTCTGACATCGCTGCTGGGCGGGGGGAAGGCAGTTGGTGAGAAGATGTTCTGGGGTGGCCTGGTGCTTCGCCTCGGGAGGAGGTGAGGGTGCTGCTCCAGCTCCCCAAGCTGTCAATTCCCAACAGCAGTGATGGCAGCCTCCAGGGACATCTTGTCATCCTTGGAGGATGAGATGTGATGAGGATGGTGGTTAGGCGGGGAGGCCTGGCTGAGAGGTGAGTAGTGGCAGGGGTGTCTGCATGCTGACTCACATGTACTAGTTCACCTGGATTGGAGAGCCGTTGTGGCTTCAGTCTGCAGGCCAGTCCCACTTGCATAATCTAAATCGGTTTGCAAACGGATAATTTAATGAAGGATATCGAAGGTTTCTCCCAGGGACTGATCAGATAAGTACACTTGAAAACAAGACCTACTGTCTAAGGTCTGTACCTAATTTACAACCCCAGGCCCTCCCCCATTTATTTATTCTACGTCAGCAAGACTTCACGTGAGCATTCATCGTTTCGAAACACTACAAGCTCCTTCAGAAACAGAGTCAGACTGAACTAGGATTGCTTACCAGAGCCCCTCCAATGGCCCCGTGCAGCTCAGCCTACCTACCCTGTGCCTAAACATGAAGAAATCCAACACACAGAAGTCTGACGGACACACATGCACACAGAAGGGCATACCTTGTAGGCAATGCTGTTGAGAACTTTCATTGCCAAGTCGGAGACGTCGGGATAGGGATCAGCAGCTAGGTGAAGGAGCACTCTCCAAATCTGGGTATAAACACTGTTGAAACTCACACCTAAAATAACAAAAAAAATAAAAAGAACAACCAAAAAACAAATCACCAGAGCACACGACAACCCATCAACCCAAATTCTTTCATCTTAGGTGAGAAAATTCATTAGAACTCTGCTCATCACAATGACATCTAAGAAAACATCAAGAGATGAGCTCACAAACACCCTGTGCGGGCATTCTGCCTCTTCTCTGTCCTTCTTTGTGAACTCTGCAGGAGTTGGTAAAATGAGAGCAGTGTAAAGCAAAATAAAGAGTACTTGAATAAGCCTCAATCAAACTGCTGGTCTGCTGTGCCCCTGCAGCTACTGAACTGAAAAAGCCAAATGGAACAGCAGACAGAGCCTTTGGAGCTCCTGAGCTAAAACACTAAGTGTAGTAAGAATGTAGTTAGAGGCTTATATTTTGATGGTTACTTTTATAGCTGCTTTAAGGATTAATACTCCGCTTGACTGTTCAGGGCTTTTAAGTATTCTACAAGTTTACTAAGTGCTAAATTTTAAAGTGAAGCTGTAAGAACTGTACCTTGTGAAGCAGCGAGCCTAACTCAGCCTCTCCTGCTGACATTTGTGTCAATTCCTCAATTGCCAATTTGTTGGTTAATGAGAATATCTGCAGTTCGCTATTTCAGCAGGAGGGACTGACAGATTTGAGTACAAATCAAATTAATAAGCTTTGGTAACAACTGACATAACCCAGCAAACGTTTCATTTTGCTGTTTTTAGGTGAATCTTCAATATGTTATTCTTTCTCCTAACCCCCACCGAGTGTAATAGGTACAACACTGTCTTTTAGGAATTGAGCCATTTGGACAATATTAAAGCAGTTGTACTAATAAAAAAAGAAAGAAAAAAAAAGGAACAAAAATAGGGATTTCAGATGAGTCACAATCAATGGTAAATGACAGATCAAGCTGTTACTGCATTTCCTTCCGTGTTTCTGTAGGCATCTAAATATAAAGTGTTGTGAAGACAGGGCTCCTTGGTCAGCAAGCACCTTCACAGCTGAACCCGATGCTCAGGCCAAAATAAAACAGACACGGACAGTTTGGTTTTGAACTCAAGCTGAAGCAAGCAAGCAGTGTGCAGTTATAAACTTCAGCAGCACGCACAGTGCACTGCCATATGGCTGCCTGCACCAGACAATCGAATCCTCCTCTGCCAGAAAAACACCCCAGCGTGTGACAAACGTTCTGCAAAAAGCAAAGGCGATAATCTCACTCCATCCCTCCACCTGACCCGTAAAACAGAGGGTCTCTTACTTGGCTGATAACTTACTTGGCTGATAATGTGAAGGATTTCTCAGAGTTTCACATAGCAACCCCACTGATGAGTATTTATGACAGCACCACTCAGGCAGCGCTGCCCGTTTGCCATGGGTGACCCACACAGCAGGGTCCTACAGATGAGCCTAACCTTTCCAATGCAAGCAGGGCACAGGGTGATGATCCCAGAAAGAAAATACCACTGTCAAAGCACAGCACAGTCAAAGGGCATTGATCTGTTGTGTGTGGTTTACGCTGGCTGAGGGCATGGAACCAAGGAACACGCAAGGACAGCGTGTGTGGGTTCAGCAGAACTGACTTGGAACAGTGCAAATCCGACCTCAGGTTTTGGCTGTGGTCACAGCTGGCAAAAGTCATCATCTTTTTCACAATTTCTTTATCCGTGTTTGAAAATGTCAGCACACAATAAGCTCCCTGTGCAGAAGAGGAATGGGTCTCCCAGGCAGAAAAAGCAGCGACGTAACACTGTCTGTCCTTTCGGGCTTCGGACCATTTGGGTCTCACTTCTGCAACCCACACGTTCACTCTGGAAGCTGATGTTAGCAGGAAAAGCAAAGCTGGAGGCACACAGAGCTATGGGCTATGGGAGGACAGCAGCCCCAGCCGAAGAGCCAGGCAGTGCCACGTCAGCTGAGCTCAGCATCCCGACCCTGTGCATGCTGTGCCAGAAGCTACGCAAGGAGCGGTGGGGATCTGAATGGTGTGGACCCTTTTAGAGCCCTTGAAAGGCAGTAAAAGGAAAGAGGGAGAAAAGAAAAGCGAGGAGGTGCTCATCAGTTTCTCTGATAACCACCTCAGTCATGACGCAGTCATGAAGGAGGAAAAAGCCAATAACATTTTTTATACATCTGAGCGTCATGAAAAACAAATTTAAAACAGATCTGCGCCAGTGCAATTCCTCATTCGCTCCGCAGCCTTTGAAAAGAACAGAGGGAATTTCTACAAAGGCTCAGCACCGGGGCTGAAGGACTGCTGCTTTCTGCCCCCCCTCCCGTTAATGCTGTTCTGTGCACTGATTCAGCCCGGTGACACATCCGACACAGCTCCTGCAGGAACCCAAAATGTGGACTCACTGGGATAAAGGGAGGCAGCAGAGGCGGCAGCAGGAGCAGCAGCTTGATTTCATGTACTGCACTGAAACGAGGAAAATATCCACGAGATGCAAACAAAGGGCCGTGCAAGGGGGACGGGGGTGTTAATTTAAGCAGACAGCTCTGTAATTAGTCAGACTGATTCAAAGCCAGTTAAATGGACCTTGCAGTATAGATTTACAAAATGATTTCTCTCAGCTAAGAACGTCAAAAATAAATTGCCTTTCTTCACTGATGCCTTTGATTTTGTTTGCATGCACGTAGCTCCCAGCTCGGTGTGACAGCCAGCATCACATCACTGCCCCAAGGAAGGGACCTGGCTGAGGTCACCGAGCACACAAAGCTCAGGACCACGTTGTACCAACGTTTCTATTTACCCCTTCTGTTTCACCAAACTGTGATGGCGTCTCTTTCTAACCCCCTTTAAAAATCACTGCAGTGATTGCAAGCCCTGATCTCTGGAAGATGCAGTGCCCACCCAGCACAGCAGCAAAAGCTGACCTATGGCACACGTGTCGTGTGCCTCGGACTGGAGGCAGCTCTGCTCCCCTATGTTCCATCTGCAGGGAAAAGCACATCTGAGATTGGTGTGGTGAAAGCGTGTAGCTGGAATACTTCACACCGAGCAGCACCTGAGGGCTCAGCTATCTGGTTCCCATCAATGCTGATCCCGATGCTTTGTAAGGCAGCATCCCATATGCTTCTCCTCTTCCCAGAGTGACACTGTAGGTCCTGCGGGAGCTCCTCCAATGGAGAAAACATCAGAAATTCGGATAGCTTTCTGTACTCTACCTCGACAACCACAGCAGCTCACTCCCCAGAGGAACAGCAAATTGATTTTTTGTGCACAGCGCTGACAGCCTGCAAGCTGCCACAGCCAGCCCACGCCACTGCTCCCTGCCTGTGCCCAGAGAGGGTGTGCGAGGCCAGGGCAAACACCGGCACATCATGGCACAGCCACAGAGCCAACCAAGCTGCTCTGCTGCCCACCGTCACACACTGGGATTTCTCTCCCATCCTGGTTCCCTACTGCCTCAGCAATGCCATGCAGGGCAGCTGCTGCCTCATGCAGGGCTGTGCAGCAGTGCCCAGGCCTTGCCCTGGTTCCACCATGCTGCTTCCACAGTGCAGGACAAAGAGGACGAGCTGAAGGGCAACCTCTGCAACAAGCGTCCGTTTCCAAAGCCCACTCAGATCCCTGTATTTTGCCATTTTGTGAAGTTTTACTTACAAATAGCACTGCTTAGCCAATTATTTCTCATGGCACTGAATTCAAATATAGTGCCTAGTGAGAGAGGAGGCTCTACCTGTCCCAGCAGCCTCCTCTCTGTAGCTCACTGCCCACCTACACCTCTTGCCTTCGTCATCCTCACTGCAGTCACCTCCTGCTGCGGGTGTTACTTCAAGGCAGCTCTTCAGAGAGGCTCCTGTGACCCAGCAAACAGCTTCCTGCCCCCAGCTCTCCTGCTGAAGCAGAGAAACGCTCCCCTGCATTCACTGCTCCAAGGCTTCCTCCTCTTCCTTTGATCATTCCTTAATATAATCTTTCCAATGATGCTCTCCATAAGACAAAGACTTTTAATCATACAATTTAAATATGAATAATCACCTTCAAGGTATGCAAAGCCCTCATCTCAATACCTTTTCCCATCTTAAAACTAAGCAAAACTAAAAAAAAAAAATTCAGAATGCAAAGATTAATGACTTGTCTTATGGAAAAAGAAGCAAGGCTCAGCTTCCCATCCAAACTGGTGTTTGCACGTTGTATGTTAACTAACCAAACCTGGATGCTGCCAGCTCACCCAAACGAGGGCCAGAAAGCAATCTTCTGGTAGCCCAAGGTTGCCTGGGCAAGGACTGGTCTGCCAGAAAACAGCACACCCAGAGACAAAGATATCTGCTGCCTTTTCTGGTCATGTTTTGCTGGTAGTTTGCGAGGAAGCTGTTTGTAAAATGGCAGGAGAAAGTGCACAGAGGTTTTCTTTGGGTTTGTGGGAAGAATTATATGATGCCACAGTGTCAATGAAGTGGATAGGCTGATCCAGGAAATTCCTTCTAGACACATTCCTAAAACCACAGGAGGGGAAGAAAGCCCCGAGCATCAGTGAATCAACGTAGGGAATGCAGAGCACTGAATGCAGAATAAAACTGTGGTTGACATTTGCTCCTTTTTCTACTACAGACTGGATTTCTGCTTTGGTTTGATTCTACCCATGTGCCCAAAGCATCCCTTTTTCTGCTCTCTCTGTCCCAAGAACTTGGGGCACAGACATTACTGCAGAGGCAAATCACAGTTAATTCTGCCAGGAGATACAGAGCAGAGCAAAACATTCCTTCCTTCAGGGCAGGTCCATCATCCAGTGACAACTCTGAGCTACAGCAGGATTCCACTCTCTTCTAGAACTTAAAGAGCTTCACCCCAAGGCAGATGGGCACTTCTGGAATGTTACAGGCTAGCTGCAGCTGCTACTTGCAAGTGACAAATACCCACAGCAGTGTTAATCTGAGTCTGGGCTGGCTGCACAGCAGCACCAAGGGTGGCTGGAGCTGATGGGGTTTTGAAAACTCCTTCCTTGGGGACCAGAAGAGAGCGGGCTGAGAGATGGTGCTTCTTCAGTAGGAATGTAAAAAGCCTGGCTTTCGGGAAGCAAACGCTGAAGGTAATGGGATTCTCTGTGAGTTATGAATTTTAAACACTTCTATAAGCTCTCTCGTTTCCAGCTGGCTATGAGCTCTTCTGATTAAACAGGAATGAGACAGGCTTCAGAGAACTGCTCTTGTTGTTTCTTTAGGTTTCCCTGATGCACCTCCAGCTGATCTCTAGAGCTTCCAGCACATTTGGAAAAAAAAAGCCTTGTGAGACTTGCAGAAGGCATCCAGCAGACACCACTTAGCACCAGAGGAACTGAGGAAAACTAGCTTCTCGAGCTGAAGAGAAAGAGAAATTTCCTAACATTTCTGCCACACTTTCAGAAAATACAGTTTCACTGCCTACAACCAAAAGCAAACGAATCAATCAAGTTTCTAAGGAACAAATGACTTTAAACTGCCACAGGGGCTTAAGGTCTCACAAATCCCAATCCCAGAATCTTTCACTTCAGAAAGTCAAACCATCATCACTTTTACCAGCAAATGTAGGGAGCAAAGTGCTTCTTCAGCCAAGACAAGCCCAGCATCAAGGGGGAATCCAGACTTACACCTCTCTTTCTGCACTGGTTTTTGAAGGCTGGAAAAACGTGGCACATGGATATCTCACAAAGCTGACACATAGATTTGCAGACTTCCCCCAACACTTCTCAGCCATGTGCTGCCTCCTGTGCTCCCTGGATGGAGACTCTTGCAGAAGTTAAGCCCTTCTGCACGCTGGCTGTGTTACCATCCCAAAATGGTTCAGATTGGAAAGCCACAGCCAGTTTAAAGCAGTGCTACTGTAGCACTCAAACACGACTGGGAGCACTATTAGAAATAACAACTGAGTGGAAGTAGTCCAACACAAAAACACCAGTTGTGTGTCACAAAAGAAATGCAAATCAGCCATTACATGCAAATCAGCCACGCACTGCATAAGTGCAGCTAAAAACTCCCTTCTTTATGTGCCACAGCACTTCATTCTGCAGAAAGATGTATGTTACCCACAAAGCCAGATGCCCAGAAAAAGGATTGTTGAGCAGTGTTGAGAAGTTTGGTGCAGTTCCTGCTGTTGGAGCTGCTTGTTCAAGAGGAAATGATGGAGAAGGGACTGGAGGCAGTGGGATCAGTCAGAGTTTTTGTGCAAAAACAAGTTATGTGAAGCTATCAGTCTCTGTTTTTGAGACTCAGCCTAGGATTTCTTCTTTTTTATGTCCTGTTTTAACAACGTGCATATGAATGTGCAAGGAAAATTAGTTAGGTGAGGCTTTCTTGTATGAATAACACAACAAAATGGCTGTGCTGTGCAGAAATACAACCCACATGAAAAATAATCGGGGGAAGTTACTGCCAGACAGCCCAGCTGCTGCATCCATGGGATGGAGAGTCTTTGTTTTGATTATCTAGGCAACTAAACCATGGTGGACATAAAATCCCCTCATGTGTGACATTTTTGTGCTCATATTCCTAGGAGGATTGCTGTCTGCCACAGCGAGAAGCCAAAGCTTCAGAGCAGGAGGGGCTCTGCTCTGCATATAGCCTAACCAGACGCAAGAACAGCTTGCTGCTATGAGATCTCTAGCTGGAGTTCTAGCAGGAGCTAAGATCCAAACCTTCCCTAAAACCTGGTGTGAACATACAGAGAAAGGTGACACCAAAGGAAGGGGGAGAGCCTTTACTCACCTATGAGTGAATTCAGAGAGGAGTAAGAGCTGACTCGTCTCATCTTGTCAATGGTTTCAAACGACAGGATGTACTCTTCGTTCTCAGGGCTGCCCAAGGTGCTGCTGGCGCTGCTGCTGGTGCTGAGATTCCCAGGAGAAAACGCAACAGAGCTTCCAGCTGCCAAAAGGAAGGCAGGCAGCTGCTGAAACAGGGACTCGAGGAGAGCAATTTTCACCCGGGTGTAACAGTGCTTTTCCAAATCCCACAACGGTCAGTGAAGGTGTGGGCAAATCCACAAAGTCCCCTTTTAAAAACGGAATGCTTAAATACAGAGCAAGCATCAAAGAGTCATAAACGATTCTGACAGTGAAAAATCTGTGTATGGCAGGAAACTGAAAGGCACCATCTTGATCCCTGAACGCTTCAAAAAAAAAAAATATCAATATTAATGACCAATAAATTGAAATTAATTAGCAGAGGGCTCCTCACCTAATCCTTTGGAGCTGGCAGCTGGATAATCGAGGCACAAAAGTTAGTTTCACACCGCGCATTGGTTCGCACACGGCGGCTTGCAAGAGGGTGCGAAAAAAGAGCTGGTATAGAAAAATGACAGGATTTTTTAATCTCTTACATTCTTCATTCAGACTGAGGTTCTGCAGGGACTTGTTCAGGTTCCTGGCTGTGGTAACTGCTCGGATGTTCCCATAGGAGCTGACAGAGCGCAGCCGAGGTGTGCACGGACCGTCCCTCACTGGTGTCAAACTCCCACCCTCTGCAGATGCAAAATGTAGCCATTAGAGACATGACCAAAGAGACCACAGCCTGTGGGTGGATTCCCAGCAAAGGCAGAGCTCAGACATCACCAACACAGAATTCACCCATTAGCATGAACAGAACGAGGTACACAGGATCCTCCCTGAACGCACCCAGCACAGAGCACGTTCTGCTCTTGTTCAGGCTGTGACTTCATTCCATCCAATAAATTCAGGTGAGCTGAGCCTTGCCAGTGCCTGCAGGCTGCCCAGAGACACAACGGCTCTTCCCTCCAGGTTGATGCTGGGCCACTGCCCAGACACTGTGCTAGGACACACTGCTACAGCAGACACCATTTAGTAGATGGCATTTGCAGGCTTCCGTCTGCTCCTGCTCATTAAAGCTCTGGATTCTTTTCTTTTTGTTGTTACAAAGGCTTATGAAATATCAGCTTCCTGACCAAATTTCAGGCCTAGTTACAACCTGTATTTCACCCAAACTATAATTTCCCATTTTTTTTTCCATTTTCATTCCTGAATACACACACAATGTCACAACTGCACAGAATAGCTGTTTTATTCCAAAGCAGAGGTGGCTGCATTATGGTGCTGGGGCAACACTTGCAGTACATCCTACTTATAGAGTACTTTAGGATCATTTTGGATAAGGAGAAGCACTTACATAAATGGTAAATAATGCTTATTTCCTGCAGCAAAGACAAATGTGGAACTTATTTTCTAATATGATTAATTTATTCAGACAATGCGGAGATTAAACGACTTGTTGCAGAGACAACACATGCTATTGCCTCCAGGCTTCTGTTGCAACAGTCCCATTAGCTCTGATTATTTCAAATGTACTTAATATCTAAGGAAAATCAGAGGTCAGCAACAACTTCACTTGGGCTTTTCATTCCCCACGTAAAGCAACACTCAAAAAAAGGACGACAGGCACAAAGCCTACAGTAGAAAGGGGTTCATTGAGTTCTTTGTTCTGTTGTGAGGTTTCCTATCAGCCTCTTTAGGTCAACGCAAAACTGAAGGCTCAGATATAATTTCAGAATAAGAAGTCTGGTAAGCCTGTGTTCCCTTTGACAAATATACTTCAGTTTTGATCTGAAGGGAGTCCCTTTGCATTTGGCTGGGTGTTCAATCTCCACAAGTGAGATGGAGACTCAGCTGAGGATGCATTTCTCCAGGACAAACCGACCTGCCACGTCCCTCAGCTTTGTAGCAATGCTGTTGTTCAACAAATCACCACCAGCAAGAATTTCACTGTCTTAAGCAAAGCCCTCAAATAACACCCTCCAGTGCTGTCTGCCATAAGACACAGAGCACAAACCTGGGGCAGCTGGAGAAGGGAGAGGGTAATTCTTCTCTTCTTCCATGAACTGCAAGGCGACAGTGCAGAAATTGCTCTCATACTGAACCACCAGGTGACTTAAAGCCACCACCAGCTCCTATGGAAAGAGCAGAGTGAAAAAAGGTATTTCACTGTTGTATAGGTCAGAAACAGTGAACAAAAGGAAAAGGCAGAACCATATGCCCATTATTACTGATATGACTGGGCAACCATCCAGACTAGCAACAAGAAGAAATAAAAATGTAGGAACACTCATTAGCAATAAGCAAATTGTCTCATGAGCTGCTTTGGCTTCCTGTGGATCTGCTTCACACATACCCACATCCTCTGCTACCACAGCAAGAAACAAAGTCAGAACTTCTCCAAGAGGGTAAACACCAGCGAGACGGAGCACATTGCCTTCTCCCAAGATGCAGAGAAGTTCATGAAGAGAGGCACAGGAACACACAGGTTCTTTGCCTGCAAGATGCCTCAACAGGGGAGGTATGCAGTGTGCTTCAGCCCCCAGACTGCCCAAGAGCCAAGGGGCATTTCTCCAAACAGACACTGCTGCAGTGGGCAGGAGGCTGTGGGTCTGCTGCCCTACGTACACTTTCCCTTGTGCAGTGGAAAGAACAAAACTCCACTTGACCTTCCAAACACAAGAGATGAGCCGACGATGAAGATGATGGCAATTTAGCAAGTTACCTCTATTCCGAGTTAACGTGGCTGGGAATGGCCTTCTATTCTGCAAGGACTTTCTATTTTTATTTTTTATTCTTAAATTATGGAGACTCAGGTCCCCGTGAAACCAACCCTTTGACAAAATTAACACCCATCTGTCACCAAGTGGAGACGAGGACACTTTTTATGGTTGGCTGGGAGAAGCATTGATTTCCCCTTTGCTTCACAAAGGGGATGATCTGAAAAAAGGCAAAATGCTCCATTTCAAAATTAATTCTTCACAACAAGTCTTTTCTACCTGAACAGTCTGCCACTGCTCTCTGATTCTGCCTGATTATTGTCAAGCTGATGCTGACTCCCAGAAAGCACTGAATTAACGCCCAGCTCCCGTGCATGCGAGCAGCAGTGAGCTGCCATGGGTGCACTCAGCCTGCAGTGGCACAGCATGACCCCATCCCTGTGCCACACAAACAAGGAGCCAAGCTTTCGCCCCACAGCCTGTCCTACATTTGCTCTGAGCAGAAGGAAACAGCATTTGACATGTGGACCTTGGGGACACGGCTCAGCTCTCCGCCTCGGAGCTCTGCCCTGCCCTCCACATCAGCAGCCAATGTGAGGAGCACGCTGCACACCCACAAAGGACAGCCCAGCCAATTCACAGCCAATTCATTCCCAGAGGTGCAGCTTAGGAGCTCTGAATTACAGGGACCGGGAAGGAGGAGGTGGTGAAGTTCAGACCCACAGATAGGCAGCATTTGCTGGGCATGTGGAAATAGCAAAAAGGAGAGGTGGAGAACCGGCATTTCTTGCTGTTCTCTGTTCAGAGGACAAATCTCCAAAATGGAGATTTATGAATCTCAAAGAGCATACAGTGGGACACGCAGTTCTCTCTTAAGTTAAATTGATAAATGCTAGAACAAGACAGCAAAAATTAATCCTCTCAATGCTGGTGACAACTTGTCAGGGTATCGATGTTCCAGTTAAGCAGACACAAGCGTTAGGACACCTCAGTGCATCCCATCAAGAACAACTGAAAACATCAAAAAGTATTTAACGTGCTATTGTTGTACAATGGAGCATCAGAAAATAATACTCCAGAACCTGAAGAATTACTCTGAACCAATCTGTCATCCTTCCTTATGGCTTCCAAAAGCAACAAGATCTGTTTGTGAGCTCTCATTTTCTCTCACAGCCCTCTTACTTCCCTCTCTTCCTCCCCTAGGACCACTGCATTCTCCATGTTTCCAGCAACAGATTATGATTTCACTGAGACCGTGTAACGTGAAAATTTTCAATCAAAACAGGAATCAACAGAAGTGCATTAACAGACAAGTCCTTTAGCGATACCGCTCTCCTTCCTTACCTCCATCGCTGCATTCTCTTAAAATTAAAAACACCAAAATAAAAATCAGCAACAAGTCTATGAAAGAATGCATTCTGTTCAGCGTAGCACAGAGCTTGGCAGCACAGCTCCACCAAACTCCTGCAGAGCAGCCCTGCCCGTACCTTCCGAACCATGGGGCTCCCATCGTTGATGAGCTGGGCCAGCATCATGGCCACGTTGTGGTCGATGGTGGTGGAGTGGTCGGTCCGTTCTGCCGAGTTGCCCACAAATGTTCCCAGGGCAAAGACGGCAGCGCAGCGAACCTGGGAGAGGGAAACAGTCCTCATTATTTTCTTCTCTGCTCCAGCCCTGAGGTTTGCCACTGGGAGCTCTTATCCCCACAAATGGTGTCTCTGGAAACCTGGGCTGCTGTGTCAAGTAAATAGTGAGGGCTGAATGGAAGCCCACAGAGACTAAGAACCAAACCAGGTTCATCAAAGCGCTGAGTTATAAGTATTCACAGATGAAGGAGTACATTTAATTTCCCAGAATACTCAGTGACCTTCCCATGGGTGATTTTGCCAGTTGACACTGCCTAGAATATTAATTAATAGGAATAAGGCATACAGGGATGGCATGTGAATCTCTTTAACAAAGCGCTCAACTCCAGCCTTCAGTTAAGGGCACGCAGAAAGGTAACGAGTTGGGAAAAAGAAAGTGACAGCAACTGCAATCAAGGTAGATTTTGCCAGATTACACAAAGAACAGAGGGATCAGATGGCTTGGTAAACTTACAGCCTGCCTTGGCTACAGAGAGCAAAAACTGGGGATACAGTATAATCAGCAAGTGCAGGATGTGCTTTGTAGCGCAGAAACGATCACCCTGGCTTCTCAAACAGAGGTGCAGATGTGTCATAAAGACAGGTCAACCCGACCACTGCACAAATATGGATTACAGAATGTGGGAAAGATGAGGCAAGAGAAAGGAGGTAGAAGGTACAGGAGAGAAAGACTGGATGTAAAAGGGAAGCTAATCTTTAATCACTGCAAGTCAGCAGTGGTGTTTATCTCCAGGCTTACTTCTCCCACACACCACGTAATCCCACCAGGGTCTGACAGGCTCTGTCAATCACAGCCACACTCTGCACAAGAATCTCTGCTCTCTGGGAAATTCGGTCACGAGAGTAAAACACATTCAGTTAAAGATGTACTTCCACACATACCAGGAGAAGAACAGTTTTCATATTCAGATAAAAAAGATGAGAGGGTTTTCTGAAACACTGAGTTTTCGGACCACTTGTTTTAAAAAGCCTCTGATATGCAAGGAAGTAAAAAAGGGGGTGCCTCCTCCTGCCAGCTCCAAGATTCTGACACTTGGGCTGCATGAACAGCCCCTACATTTCCTCAGTTGCTTCTCTCACAGGACTGGTGTGATTTGAACCACCTTGAAGGAAGAGCAATAAGATGTTTCTCTGAACCAGACGCAATCCTAAAGCCCTTGAAGGCACTGTTTCTGTAAGCATTCCTGCAGCCTGCTTCCGCAATTCTGACCATTCGGTTGGTGTTTATTTAAACAGTTGGATTCTTACCTCTGGGATTGGATCAGAGAGGAGGCTGTAGAGCTTTTCGTGAGCGCTGTCTCTCACTCCACACCACCTGGCTGAGTCAAAGTTCTGCCAAATACGCCCTAAACAAATGGCCACCCACTGACGCAGGAGAGGATGCGGATCGTTCAGCTGTTCCAGGCAAATAGCAATCAGGTTTCCTTGAAGGCAGGCTTCCTAAAACACAAATCAATGCCATTTATTTTGGTTGACAGCTTCCCACCTCATCATCAAAAAAGAAGAAGTAGACCAGAAACCAAGAGAAAATAATTATCCTTTGGTTATGTATTGATTCGGTTGCAAAACACCATTTGGAAGCAGCACAAGGGCAAGGTCAACTACATGCTGCACTAGCTAAATAGTTCAGCACTACAAATACTTCCTGAAATGCAGAAAGTTTTTCTCCTCATTAGAAGTACTCCTTTGTACCTGTCAGAGCCCTAAGGTTTATGGCTCCTTCTGTATATCCTTCCCAAGAATTGTATCACAGCCATCACATTCTCACTTGACAGAACTAGGTGCTATTTCTCTACATCAGTGCACTGCCTGGAGGGCAGCTGGTGTGTCCTTAACCTCTTCTTCCAGAAGCCACATCTACATTGTGTGTTTGTTACACCTCCAGGCCAATTCTTCTTTTACTCCACCAAAAAAAACTCAAAAAAAACCCCAACCCTAATGTAAAGCTATCTTCTATTCCAGTTCTCCAGCTCAGGGTTGTGCACTAATGCGAGCCAAGACATGTTCATCAAAGTAAAGGCAGTGCAGAGAAGAGAGAGGAGGAACAACAAAAGGAAAGAGGATGCTGGGACTCACCTGTCCTGTGTTGTAGTTGTTAACAATTACAGCCAGAATAAAAGCGGTCATTGTCCTGTGTTCAGCCTTAAAACAACACACAACTAATTGTTATCTACAAAACAGGTCAGAGAACAACAACCTTCCACGTTTCCTGAAACATGAGCTTATTCTGAGTATGGTTTCTATCACATTAAAAGAACAAGAAGGGAGAGAAAGCCAGGATTTTCCTGTCATTCTGTGACACTCCTCAGACACTTCATAATCTCATATCATCAGACTGCCAATACGATCCTCCCAACCAACCCCTGGGTATTGTTCTGGAGGAGGCATACAAATACTCATTATGGGAAACCACAAAAAAAAAAACTTTGGCAGAGAGAATTAGGAAAGTTACAGCGAAATGAGCCTGCCTCTGCACCCAGCCCCCAGAAGCCCACAGCTCCTATCTTTCTGAGTAATTCGTGCTTAAATATCTTTAGGCAAGTTTGCAGCTCCCTGTTTGGCGTCTGCCTGCATCACGCAGCCCGGCAGCAGCGCAAACTCCCCTGGCAGTGGCTGCAGTGGGTCCCAGAGCTGGAGGTGGGAGCAGCCCTCATTAGCAGCACCGTGTCAGAAAGCAGCGTACAAACCCTGACAAGCTGAGCAAGTGCTGCTAGAGCCTGAATAAAGATGATTTGTTCTTACTGGCATGTAAGGATCTGCCAAAACGGAAAGGAAATACTTGTGACCGTTGTCCTTCACAAGGTCAGCTTGACATGACTGAAACAAGACAGAAGGAGAAAAAGCAGTGAGTACAGTAGCAAAAATATTCGTTCTTCCAATGGTGCAATGCATATTCCATGCCTTAATCAGTTTTCTCCAATCTAGTTTTCATGTGAGAAGTGAAGGAAAGAGCCAGCCCTCCATCAGAGCCATGGCCAAATGTCTGCACAGAGCAGGGGGCAGAGGAGCAGACGCTTCACCTCCAGCAGTGACAGACAAACAACTGAAGATGTGCCCTCTCACTGGGGAGAAGAGCACACCTGACATCTCCGACCCACACTGCACCGTCACCATTATTTGAGAGCCATCAAAAGCAAAACCTCGGAGGAGTGTGATCAGAAGATGTTGGTGCCAAGGCAATGAGCACTTTTTTGCTCCAGGATGTAGGACCATCTATGGGAACGTTAAAGCACCATCCTGGGCACCAGGACAACTCAGACTGCAGCACTGAACAAAGCCAGCACGTGTTTGCATACAGTGACCCACATCAGTGAGCGATTACCAGTAAATCTGCAGGGGGATGGAGAAGGAATTATTTGTTCCCTGTGTTCCATCCAATCCCCTGCCCAGGCGGGACTGTATTTTGACAAGAAGATTTCAACTCATTGCACACACGTCTCTAATCTCTGCATCATTCGGTCAAGTGCTGAGGCACGCTGAGCTGGAGCACTACCAGCACACGGTGACATGATGTCCTGCTGCACAGGCAGAGCCCATGGAGGAACATCACTGTCCTCAGGGCTCTGCAGGCAAGGGATGCAGCTGTTGGGGCAGCACCAGCAGTGGAGCACACGGCCCTGATCCCACAGCACAGCATGCACCAAGAACTCCCTCCCACAGCTCTTTTTGCAAACATACAAAGTCAGGCTTCATGTATGACATAGTAGGGTCAAACCAAGAAAATACATATTATTAAAGTGAAAATTTAGGTGAGTGAAAACTGACTTGGCATTCGATTTCCCTTGTGACAGCAGTTCTATTGTATGCTTCACACCAGAGACAGAATCATGTATTTTTTATCAGGCATCGAAGGTGAAGGAGGAAACTAATTGTTGAAAGGCAAAGGGATGGCAAGACAGAGATGCAAGAGAATATTTTATTGCTGAAGGGAGTAGAGATGCTGGTTTTGGCAGACCAAAGAGCAGAGGGAATGGATTGATGCCAGGCTGCAGCTACGAGAGGCTTCCCTGACTTTTGTGTAATGCTGCACACACACACATAATGGAAAAAAAAAAGCTTTTTTTCTCCCCACTTCATTCTGGGCATGAACACTCCTTACTCCTCAGGAAAAAACACAAACATCTCTCAGCTGCACAGGAGGCAAACAGGCACTGACCCAGAGGACACACCACCCTCACTGTGCTCCCATTGCTGCCCACCACCTGGAGCTCCAGGGCAGCAGCTTCTATGGAACCAATACATTTAATCTAACCCTCACTGTTAGATCCTGGGAAACACACAGAGAGCCAGCAGCATGAGCTGGCATCAGCATCCTGATAGCAGAGGTCACAGCTGGGAAGCAGGGATGCTACTTACGCCTCTTAAGCCCTTTGAACAGTGTGAGAAATGTTTGGTTTCTATTGTTTTCAGCCAATTATTTGCAGTGCTGAGATCTGTTTCTTTGCTGTCCCACATTAGCAGTACTCACTTCTTTTCAGCATGGTTTTGTCAATTGTTTTTTGGGTCTTTTTTCCTCCTTAGCTTTCTGCTATTACGCCACATTTGCTCCATCACCACACGCGCCCTGTCCCCTCCCTCAGCAGCACTCATCCCACCTGCCTGCTGTCACTGCCTTCTCCTTTCTCACACCACTGCCTGGGAGCTGGGAATGAAAAAAAATAATGGAAAGGAACCCAAAGAGCCAAGTCTTTTGGCTGGGTTTTTTTGGTTTGTTGGGTTGGTTTTATTTTTTAAAGCAGTCTACCAAAGGAGCAGGGTGGTAAAACATAGCAGGGAGCAACACTGATGGTGGCAGGAGGGGGCAGGGGAAGGAAGCACTCTCAGATTGGCTTCAACACAGAGACAGTGAAGGATGGCTCAGCACCCACGTGAATTATACATGAGCCCTCTCTGAAAGTTACCTGGGGCTGAAGCGTGAGCTGCAGAGGGGCATGCATCAAAATAAGCTTTTCAAGAGTAGCTTTAAGATGAATAGTTTTCATTTTCTTTGCTTTCCAAAATCCTCTTAGGATGTTAATGAAAATGTATTTATAAAACCAAACCCGACAATGCTATATCAACAGTAGGGAAAGATTCCAACACATTCAGCATTATTTTTCCATAGTGAAATGGAAGAGACCTAACAAAAACAAATCCCAAAATAAGCAAAAGCCAACTTCTACAAGCAGTTCAGACTATTTTATATCAGCTTACAACTGTGCCTGCAATTATCTGTGTGTACCTCTCTTAATAATTTTAAATTGCTTAACTAATTGTACTCACAAACCACAGAGCCATACATGTGACTGTACAAATTTATCTATAATTATTTCTCGGCTTAATTATTTATTTAAGACAAAACAATACCCAGAGCTCTGGGTAAGGCCATCTTTAACAAAAAATAAAATAACAGGGCTCAGTTTTTAAGCTTTAGCCCAAAGGTGCCAAAATACTGCAGAGAAAGCCAGAATCACAGACCTGTGATAGGAACGAACTGTCTTCTCTAGGCAACAGATACTGCTATGCCAACCACGTTCAGTGCAGCACTGTACGTAAGTACTATCGCAGGGGACTTGGAAGAGGACTCTTAAATGCAAGTCACCAAAAAATGAGTTCTGCTTTATTTCCAGAAAGGATCAGGCAGGGGCTGTTCTGACACTTACAGAAATGGTTTTGAACAGAACAAGTTTGATAACAATTTAAAATGAAAAATGCGAGGGGGAACAGGTGAGAACACAGGGCGTGAAGGGGAACAAAGGGGCATTTTAAGCCCCTCAGCACAAGCAGCAGTACTGCACCCAGTAAAGATGCAGTCAGAGAGATCTGATGGCCAGAGCACCATAGGACCAAAGGAAGAACTAAGCTGGGAACATTAACGTGACGTTGAAGCATTTGCACAGAGCAAACATGCCTTCATCTCACAGATGCATGAAAAGGTGGGCAGTCCAGCTTGCCAGTACCTGAATGGGGATTTCACATTCACAAAATTGCAGAAGCCAGCTGGCACACAAGTGAAATAAACAAATGAGGAGATACACCGGTCCTCAGATAATACAGCATCCTTTTGAAGCGCCTCAAGAGAAATTCTAAATTCCAAAGCAACTGGATGAAACAAGTGGGAAAATAAAGGCACGTTGCTGAAAACCAGAGAAAGCAGCCATGCTGAGAAGTACTCACACTGTCCACTGCGAGAATTTTGGCCCAGATGAAGACAAGAAGCGGTCTCAGCTCACGAGCTGAACTTTGAAGCAGCTTCAGCACATACGGGAAAATGCCAACAGACAGCGCCTGGGGAGCCAGAGAGAAGAGCAAATGCTCAGAGACATCTCAGCCTTATGGCACTGCTCTGCACTGGGGCAGCGCTGCCCGCTTTGCAGAGATGGAGCATATCTTAATGACACAGATGAAAAACCTGGTAGAATGCAATTTCATACATTTCTAGCAAAGAAGGGATCCCTCTATTGCTCATTTTAATCGTGGATGTCACCAGATATTTTCAGACTCATTTGGCCCAGTGAGACTCAGAGTTAATCTAGCACTCGCTCCTTCTCGTTACAGCCTGTGCTATTTTATGCTTCACGATACGCTGTGCTCTTCTCAGATGGGGCCATTTGCTTTCACAAGTAAACATATTGCAAAAGCTCAATAATTACAGCCTTCCCACTGGAAATTAACTAGGCCTCTCGCTTATACAGACTTTTTACCAAGCCTTTTGCTCACAGGAGCACACACAACTCGTTAAATCTCTGAGAACCCCTCCGTGACTGCAGATCCCTTCCCAAAGGGCGATGGGAGGGAAGCATGAGGAGGAGGAGGGGATGTGCCAGTGCTGGAGGCTCAGGGGGCTCCCTGGGCTGCAGCAGGGCACCACACAGCAGTGGAGTTGTTGCAGTTAACGAGGAGCAGAACAGCTGCAGCAGAGGTCATTGTGGATGCCCTGCACCACGTGCTGACCCTCATGAAAGTTTCTAATCTAGAAAGCTTAAGATCATACTTTCCTCGTGCTGCTGTGGGCTAAGCTGTCTGTGGTGCAGGAAGGAGCCTTGTCTGAGATGAAAATGGGAGGGAAAGAAAGCCAACAAGAAGCCCCATCCTGGAGGTATCCCACCGCCAGCTGCTGGTTTGTCTTCATCACTGTTATCAACAAACAGATCCATTTACAAGAGTGCTTTAGACTGCTCCTCTGCTACGTTCTTACTTATTACCTGCTCCATGCAAGCCAATTCCCAAAACACAGAAGGCAGCTGCCTCCTCTCAGAAGAGCTTACACAACCCAGAGACCAAATAGGTAAAGGAAGAGAAGAAACGATGCAGCCAGTAAGCTGAGGAGAGCAGAGGATGACGAACATATGGGCTTTTTGTTGTTATTTATTTTACATGACAAACCTCCTTATTTGTCCTGGATGCTGCCTTCTGTTTTGTAGCTTCCATTATGTTACACTGAACTTTGTCTAAATAACTCCTCTTCATAATAGCACAAATGAAAAGCTATTCGGCCTTCTTGATTAATACAAACCACTTTTCTTTTAGAGACGCTTGCTCCATTCCATATGCATGACTACAAAAAACACCAACCATTTGTCAAATCTGGGGAGTGTCTTCCACATCTTCCTTGCATAAATCATCATTTGTATTTATCACCTACACTGAGAGTCTAATTGACTTTCACAAGACAAAATGCAGCACAAACACACCAAGCTAACTGCCCAGGGCCCCAGGTCCAGAAATCTTCCCAGCAAATCCAGAGCTCGCAGCCGATGCACCTGGCTCAACAGAACCTGCAGAGGAAAGGGACAGCAGTTACTATCAGGGAACAAAGCTCCTTGTGACTGCAGAGCAAACGGAGGAGGACCTCGTGTAACTTAGAAAAACACTGATGATCTGAATGGAAAAAGCTGAAAGACAAACCCTGGCTGCTAAGAGCTTTTACTCTACTGAAGAGTGTCACCAGTGGGGCACTGCCCAGCAGAGCTCCCCTCCATGAAGTTTTGCAGACACTTACACACCTTTCCCTCAGAATGCAGTTAACCTCAGCCTCCAAGTGGTGCTCCAGTTCTCTCCCTGTTAATATTTCTCTCAAGTGCAATGGTTCTTATACAGCTCAGCTCTGCTAGGTGGAAGCAGCCACTATGGATTTCAAACAGTCTCATCTTACTGCCTTTCCTCAGAAAAGGAGGAATGGGATTGCATCTGCAGGAAGGATTCGAAGGTGAGCAAAAGGAGCAGCCTGCCAGTACTCAAAACAGCTCAGAAGCAGAAAAAGAGGCTTTGCTTCCTCAGCAAATCAATATAAGAGACTTAAGAGGGAAGCAAAAGGTCACATTAGTCATTAATAAAAATCTCATTAAAATGGAGTCTGACAACGATAATGAGGTGATAGTTTACTGGCTTATACCTACCCTGGTGTGAAATATTAACAGACAGACTTTCAGTTCTTAATCTCCTTAACAGATGTAAGATATTGGAATGCAACATTTAATCCTCAGTTTAAATTGAGCACCATCCCTCAGCACGGATCTCAGGCAAAGCGACTGGTTGATTTAGCTCCCAGTTTCATCCCTGTCTCAATGTTTCTTCCCACAATGCATATGCAAATTGAATTATCTTTCATGTTTAATACAGAATAACAACTAAATTACTTGGTGTAGACCTCATACCATGGACAACTGATACCAGATACCGAAGTTGTACAGAGAAAGTCCAGAGGAAAACAACAGTTACACGGGAGGGTGTATTAATCCCTCTAATTGTTTCGTGTCTGAATATCTTTGCTCAGATCCCAAAACATAAGAGAAAGCATTTTGGTCATCCTGCCCTACTTGGCACCAACTTATTCCATAAACTTACTACAGAACTTGGTGCAACTGACCATGTGCTTTAAAGATGCCCAGCACAGGAATAACAGGGCCAGATGTTTGAGATTAAAGCAGCAAGAGAAACCAGGGCATGATGGAAGCTGGGGCAGAGCTGAAACAACAGAAAGGAGCACATCAGGTGCAGGGTGCTTACAGACACAGGGGGCAGAGAGATTTGGCAATGCTTCCATTATCTGACCTTCAGAAAAAACAAACAAGGAAGGCCATACGTTTTGCTGTAGCTGGAAATAAGTGGATGTGATTGAAAAGGACTTCCAGGTGAAGATACAAAATCACATCTCGACTGCACTGACTTCCCACAAGACTCTTTAACCAACCCAAATTCTGCCTTATTTCAAAGGCTCTGTTTCATTATTCTCAGAAACAAAAAAGCCAGCACTGACTCTCAGGTTTTTGACTTCGCACTTCCCAATCTGATTTGAACAACAAGCTGAGGCCGCAACTGACACAAACACTGGAGACCTGGGTGAGGACGTGGGGACTCTATGCACAATTTAAAAATTGCAGTGAAATTAAGTTGCTGTGCTGTGCTACTGTGTGCTCAGGGCTGCATCACATCCCTCCCTGACTAGGAATTCCCTAACAAACACAGAGGGAAGAAGAGGACTGCAGCAGCAGCTCCCCAGGGCTTGCAGTGGGCATAGCTTTGGCCACGTGCACCAGCACCCCATAGCAGAAGGCACGTCCACCAGATCTGCAGCTGCTATCTTCTGCCTTTGATGATTTCTCTGTCCCTGCAGCAGGAGGTCACCTGTGTCCAAGCACAGCAATTTGGAATGCAATTTGGAACTTTTTGAAGTCAATGGAGGCCGTGTATGAAGAGTGGTTTCCCTGCCCATCACAGTGCCAAGCTTTGCATGGCTGGCACTGTGCCCCTGGCACTCAAACACCATCTTTCTCTGGTGGCACATCTAAAATGGGAAAACAGAATCAACCTCAGGCTGCAGCAGCACGGCATAAGTGCTCCCAGGGGCTCAAAGCAAAAAGACGCTCAACAAGAGGTGTGAAATAATTCCTCCCTTCTCTTAAGGAGTCACTCTGCTTCAAAGCATCTCAAACCTGTTAACAAGTCATCTTACTCCACTCTACAACTACATATACCTTAATTGATAAAATAATTACATTGTCCTAGCTCGTTTTTGCTCCAGGAAGGAAAGCAGATTCCTCTGCCAGATGACCTCTCAATTCCACTGCAAGGTTAAGCTGCTGCAGAGCCCTCCGGTGCCAAATAATCCACTGGAAAGCAGCAAAGTTGGTGCTGGAGCAGAAGCCTGCCTTCTCCTATTGCAGTGACCGAGATAAACCTTACATTTGTTTATCCAGCTGATCTCTCAAGACTTGGAAGGCTCAGGGAAATTAAGATTCGGTCTCACAATGATTGATGGTGCTGTCAGTCACAGAACAAGCTGGCAGCTAACAGGGAAGGCAAGTCTTCTCACATTTAGTGAAAGAAATCACAGGTCTCTGGATAAGTGATTGGAATCGTACTTCTTTAAACAGGAAGACTTTAAATTTTGTTGTGTGATTGAGAAGAGACCACAGCAATCTCAGTAAGGGTTTGTATTTCTGTCAATGCAAACAGGTGGAGAGGGGAGGGCAAGAACAGATGAACAACTGCCATATTTCTCTTGGATAAAAGGTGACTTGAAATGAGGTGTTGTTTCCTCTGGATTTACTTCTCCTTTCTAAAAATGAATTTCATCTCATCTAAGCAGATGTCTACCAGAACCCTATGTTCCTTCCAGGCATGGTCTTCAGAGACTTGTTTCTATGTTCTTGCAACAAAATTTCAGCATCCCATTAAAGACAACACTTTCCAGGCTGTACCAGCAGCACAGAAAAATAATCTATTTCCAAGCTATTTACACTGCAGTAATGCTCATTTTGTGAAAGCAGGCAGAAGATAAAGTCTCTGCCTGAAATGGCTGGGATATAAGAGGAGAAAACAACAAAGATGTGCTACTCTGCAAAAAAGTCTTGCTACTTAAGAGCAAAACACGAGGCAGCACAGCCCCATACTGCTGGAGCCACAAACAGGGCCACGGCAAGCTGTGCTCAACAGAAAGGGAAGGCGTGGGGGAAGAAAAGCACCTTGTCCTCATCTGCACAGATCTAGCAGGCATGTCATCAGCCCTCGGTAACCCTGGAGGAGCTCAGGCATTTCTGTAGCCAGGGCTGCTCACCTGCAGGACGATGGGCAGCTGCTCCGGGGGGTTGCGGTTCTCCACACCCATCGTCAGCCATACCTGGAATGCAGTCAGCTGCTCTGCGAAGAAGGGGCTGTGCTGTTGGAACAAGGATACAGACGGCATGTTTGACTCTGAACTGAGGAAAGCAACTAGATTTAGCATCTGTGGGCTCACGCACGGTGCATTGGTTGTAAAAACAGTAATTGGCAGATGTTTGCTTGGTTTGCTTTTTAATGTAATTTTTTTTTTCCCAGAGACTGATCAGATGCAGTTCCCTTTAAATATACATTAAAACTAATGTGTTTGAAAAAGAAGGAAAAAGCAGAGAAACTGGAAAAGATATCACAAAAGCTCTTGGGGAAATCCAGCTAATCCCTTCCACACAAGAAGCAACCACAGCAGAACTGCCTTCATCTGCTCTGCAGAGGCAGCTTTCACTCCCGTGGCACACAGTGCTGCCTCTGCCCAGCACAGTGAACACAGTCCCAGCACTTTGTGTAGGCAAACAAAGAACAGAAAGTTTACTTACAGTACTGAATCCACTAATATAATGAGTGATAATCCACCAACAGAGATGTCCTGGCAGTGTGGGTAAACGTGCACAGAAGTAGCACACAGAGTGCTGCAGCATTCAGTACATTTAACACTGCCCTCCTGAAGTTCATCAGGTGGGATGAGCTCCCAGCATCAGCTAATACCTCTCAGCTGGGCTTTGGTGCTTAGACATTAGTGTGAAAAGCACCATGGAAAATCCTGTAACATTGGCTTGTGGTACTGCTAGACATGCAGGAGAAAAGAAAATACCGCAGGCTTTGGAAAGCACGATGCAGCTATGGCTTTGCTTTGATGAGGCAGGTTCACTGGCTGATGAAATAAAGAGTTCTTGGGGAGATGTGACACTGAAGTACCAGGAGGCTGCTTGGGTGCATCCAACACCTCTGCTCTCCTAACAGCAATGGTGAGTGGTCAATAATGTGACAGAGTCCCCAGAGCTCCCGGTGTGCTCCTGGACAGCCCTGGGGCTCAGCAACATCCCTGGCCAGGGCAGCATCCCCAGTGCTTCCTTTTGCACAGAGTTGTGTGAGAGAACACTGACCCCATCCACAAACCCAGATGGAAATGAAGCTGAGGGGTGAAGACAGGGAAGAGGTGGGATCAGGAACTCATGCCCACTCCGAGCTGCCAGGAGCCCACTCCCCCATTAGTCTGCAGGCTTGGCTCCAGCAAATTATTATATTTTGCAGGTCTGAGTAGCAAATTACAGCTAGACAATAAGCAGAAGCCAGGAGCACGTGGTTTATTATGTGCTGCTGAAACAAACCAGCCCTGAAGAGATTACCAGCTGCTTCATCCAGGTCAGGCCAGCCCAGGCACCCAGCCTGCAGCAGTGGCAGGGATGGAGGGAGGGCTGGCAGCAGGTGATGCTGTGACTCACCGGGCGGCCCTGTTATGAAATGGTGGTCTGACCTCAGGAACATAAATGCTCTCCTCACCCCAAACTACCACTGTTGCCCAGATTACTGCTGCCCAGCAGCTGCCAACCTCTGCTGATAAACACCGCTTCCTGCTGGCATAAATCAAAGGTGTGAGGGCGAAACTTTGATTAGAACACAAGGAACAGATCAAAGATGTGCAATTGCCTGTCTTCTGCAAGCATTTGTCACAGTGTAAAGCTGAGCCCTTCCACTTTCTCCTAAACTAATAGCCAAGTTTCCTACTATTTCTCTAGGTGTCTGATGGAGACCTTCAACAGGTCCTCTCTGCAGAACAGGCACAGACCTACACAGTATTAACCAGGCAGGACATGTGCCGATCCTTTGAATCAAGTATTTGCCTCCTTCCATCCCTGAATACACATAAATTTGGTAAATTTCAACTCACGTGACTGCGGGTGTAGAGATGGTATCCAGGTCTAACATAAAGGTACCCAACTGATATTGTCAGATACCTGATATAAAAATGAACAGGCTGGCAGAGTTGTATTTATGCACATTTTAAAATGCAGCACATAGAGAGGGTGAAATAAAGAGGTGGGAGAATTAAAGGGCTTCTTTATCAACCCCCATGCTTGCGGAAGTTACTGGCTGTCCTCCTGTACTCGAGTCTTTGGAGACCATCTGCAATCACTGCCAGAAAGCCTTTCTGAAGGTTGGTATCGTAAATATAAGACAAGAACGTCGGAGTAAAATTGCTTCTATTCCAGTTGCATTTACAAGGCTGTAAAGGTAGCCCCCCAAACTCCCCAGCTGCTCTGTGAGCAGGGGGCAATGCACACATCGTTCTCCTCTTGCTGGGCTCTGGGCTTTCTATGTTTCCCAATGACATCCCACACTTCTGCCCAATCAGCCACACCAGAAGTGCTGGTTGTGAAGAAAAGCACAAAGCAGATGTCTATTTTTCTTTTTATGCTTGTTTCAGTGGCAATAGTCATTTAATTTAAGAACACCTCTTTAAAAAGTAGAAAATGTACGGCTATGGCAGATTGTTTTTTTCCAATTTTGAACCAACTCAATCACAAAAGCATTCCAGAAAACTCTGAAACTTCACTCCTATCTACATGGAGATGGCAGCTGTTTACAGAATCTATTTGGGTACACTTGCAGCAGCGAATTCATGTTTGAAGATAGGATGCTTGCTGCTTGCTATAATTAGATCTGAATATTCCAAATCCACATATATTTCTCTAAGTGAGATGAACCTGGATTTACAGTTTTCCAAAAAAAAAACCAACAAAAAACCCAAAACAATGAAATTCAAGATTCAATAAGAAAAAGCGACGTGCTGAGCTGGGGCTTCAAGTAATGGGTTACACAAGGAGACATTTTGATACATTATGTGACTTACCCTAAACGCAGTTCCTTCCTCTATAATTGTAGGTAATTGGGAAAGGCAAATATCAACAGCAAGGTCCCACGCTTGCCTACAGAAAGAGGTGAAAGAGGAAAGAGAAGTTATCAGCAGTTATTCATAAGCAATATCATACAAGAATACGGATAAAGCAGTGCTGTCAGATCGGCTGCACAACACTCAGTGTTCCCCCTTCCTGTTTTTACACTTCTCCACCAGGCTATGGAATAGCTGAACTATGGTGATCTGTAATACTAACAGCACATAAACCACGTGCAGTGGCAAGGGAAGCTGTTGTGGCAGATGCAGTGCAAATGAGATTGGTACCAACCTGCTTCCAAACGCTCACAATCAAACTGAAAGAGGAGCAGACTGAAATAAAAGGATTTCATCTCCAGAGTCCCTGAAACACCTCTAAGTATGTGAAAGAGGTACATACTGCCCAAGGAACCATTATCCCTGCTCTATACGTAGACATTCCAGGCACTTTCCATTGTAGCATATGGATTTATGCACTCTGAAAGGCTAGTGAGTTAAACCACCACCCTATGGGTTTCTTAAACAAAAGAAACTAATTTACTCTCCAGACACATTAGCTCTTTAATGACTTGTGGCCATCATGTGCTACCATCAATAGGCTAAGCAATTCTTCTTCTCCCAGGCACACTTGCAGACAGAAGGCCATAGGTGATAATCAATGCGGCGTATTTCAGTTACCTGCTCTAATAAGTTCTTAAATCACCTCGCCTGGAGTCAGACAAAGCCTCCCATTAGAACAACCACCAAGCAAATCCATCCCACTGGATTCACTGGCAGCTACTCTCAACTAAAACCAATCTCTCCAATTAAATGGAAAGATAAACCACAGGGATCCTGCATTTTTCCATGGGTTCAAGAGCTGCAGCTTGTTTTAGTTGTCCCAGACCTCGTCCCTCTGCTTCACAGCGTTCACCTTCTCCACTTGACAGTATGCTGCCAATATAATTAAGAGATAATCAAGAGATAATCAAAGCACAGGCAACAAATGCTTCCCACATGCTCAATAAAGACCCATGCTGGAGACAAAATGTTTGTGTGGAGCTGATGAGAGATATTTATTTGTGGAGGAGGAAAAGTCAATTAGTCCAATTATACAGATTATCTTGCCACAAGCAAAGGATGAACATTTCTGACTTGGAAGTGCTTGGAGGAATGGGGAATATCACCTGAAGAAACTCTGTCAGACCTCAGAAAACACCAATAAATACTGCCTTCAAGAGGAGTTTTACGAGGTGGGAGGAAAAAGGGTTTGGAGATCAGAGACAACTGGTCTGATTTTGGCTGCCTATAAAAGAATCCTGCGTAGGTCATTATACTGCAGGGACACAGAACTAAGATGCTGAGCTCCAAAGTCATTTTAGGTAAGAAGAACTAATACTGCTATAAAAATGTCTGGAGCAGCCCTGCAGGGTCAATTCCCAAAGGTTTTAAATGTTATCAGAAAGAACAACCCCAAATTTAAAAAGCGATTTAAGCAGATTAGAACAAAATCTCTTCTTACGCTTCAAAAAACAAGCCATTAAAAATCAATGCAGCCACATAGCTAACGTTACTCAATCTTTTAAAAGAGTGCAACCAGCAATATAAAATCCTGTTACTGCTCATCACAGTCTAGAGAGCTACTGATTAACATCAACTGCGTTAAGGGATTCTCATCGATTCAACTACTTGAAATGATGCTCCAGCCTTTCCCAAGTAGCCCAACATGTTGTTTCTGCTTCTTTTCCGTAAGAAACGAGACAGCAAACCTGCCCACCCACCCAGACACACCAGGAAACAACAGTTTTGCCTGAAGTAAGCATCACGCTACTCCCAACTACTACAAGAGCAGCTACACGTCGCTTGCGAGACTTTGGGCTGCATAATTCATGAATGAGATGTCACATAGCTAACTCATGGCACGGGCAAAATAAAGAACTGCTTTAAATAGGCCCTGCAGTAATTAAGAGTAAAAAATCAGCCACAAAAGAAGGTAAAGGACTGACAAAGTGAAGAGAAACAGGAGGGGAAAAAATATTTGGTAGAGACGTGAAAATAATGGCTGTTGGCGATGGGTAGGAAGTGATTGACTGTTTCAATATGCCAAAGGGATCCAGAAAGGTGGGCAGTTTGTAGATATGCTCCCTCAACTAATATTACACTTTAGCACACAAACAGGAGATAAATTAAGGAGCAGCAGGGGCACAGGAATGGGTGCCACCGCATCCTACAAGTGATTTATGAGAGCCAGCCCAGAAGATCACTGCCTCTCTTCCTTCTTCATGGAGATTACTGTTTGCAAAGTGCTATGGAAGATTTGTTATCCCAGCATCAGCTATAGGAGCCTGGCAACACCTCAGCACTGTCCCTTTCTCCCCCCCATTGCATTCTCTCCATCACCCCCTCAGCCCCAACTAAGCAGGGTGACACCACAGTGCAGCCAATGGCTCCAACCAACTGAAATATCGCCGTGTTCCAGCTTCACCACACTGCTAAACAGCACATTAATGAGGATTTTACACTACACTGTCCTAATTGCTCTGTACATAAAGCATAAGACGTGCTCTCTGCACACCGCTGTTAAATTAGAAGCCACCCCACACGTAACAGAAGGTGTGATACACACCACTGATATGTCAAAAATCACGTTACAAACACTAACAGGATTTTCAGCTTGTTTTCTCCAAACCCAGCTGTTTATTTCTATGTCCCTGCATCACTACTACTAAAGCCCTGCACGCCTTTACTCCTAACACGATCGTATGTAACCTCAAGGATCCTCATTTCTATCCCTGAGTGCCAAACGTTTCCTGCAGGCTGAAGCCAGTGATGCAGGTGACGTGAAGGTTCCATCCCACCTAGAGGAACCCAGCCAGCAGGCTGCCAGCACCAAAGCATGAGCTCTAAAGCTTCATACACAACAACTCACAGCAGGGCCACACGTGTCCTTGTTGGGGACTGAGCAAGTTTCACAGAACCACGTCTCAAAAGGGGCTCGAGCACTTTGTGGTTTCCTCCATGCTGTGCTGTGAAGCAGTCTTATGAAAGAAAGGATTCAAAGTTATTGATTTTGAGCTGCGTTGGGAAGGGAAAGGAGATGCTTGGGTTCCAAACTGAGCAGAGCATGCTTGGATGCTGGCACCTCCTGTGTATATTTTGGAATAAATGTATATTAAATTCTCTCTTAGTTGGAAGATTGACTCAACTGAAACAACAAAAAAAGGCAGCAATGTACTTTTGTTTTCTGAAATACAGATGAAGCAATGGAACCTGCCAACAGAAACAGCCTGTAAAGAAAACAAGCCAACAACGCCCTGCGTCTCTATGTGCACTGCTCAATCCCTTCAACAAGGTTCTCAACAGACAGGGTGCCAGCCATCATCCCAGGACAGGATACAACACCTCAGAGTGTATGAAAATTAAGAACGAAAAGACATTACACAATAAAAACTCAGCAGGGAAAGAGCTCCCTTGAATTCAATCATAAACGCTCTTCTCCATTATAAAAATACTCATACCTGTCTTTATGTTTCAGCTCCAGTTCTCTTCAGCCCTTCAGCACAAAGTTCCCATTTGTGTGCTAATGGACTCCACCTCTGCCCGCTCCTAACACCAATCTCACTGCAGTGGGACTGTTTAAACTTTTAATATTCTAATGCTAATTCACCCAGCTGCCTTCACTTTGTTTCCCCCAAGGTGCTGCAAAGTTTGGACTTTTGCACAAAGAAGGGAAGGCAGAGCGTGCCAGCTCTGCTCAGCAATGGTTTTATCGTGCAAACCCATGAAACATTCAGCACTGGAAGCTCACAGTAATACCCCAACAGCATAAATGAAACATGCTTACAGAGATGTGCTTTAGTCTTTCTTCACCCACAGGCACCACCTCAGCTGGCAGAGCACAAGGCAGATTTTCTTACATTCCACTTGGGCTGAGTCAGTGCCCAATGCTTTTAATTCTCATGTCACATTTTTTAATAAAGTAATATTGATGTCTTTTTCTGGGAATGGCTCATATTATATTGCACCACACATAATATTAGTGATAAATGATAGTTCTTGCTGGGACAGTCGTACCAAGGAGCAGCTACAGAGCAGCTGAAGCCGTCTGCAGTGTAGGGCTCAGGCATCAGGGCTACTGCTCAGAGTTTGGACTTCTGGAACTGTTAAATATTTCAGTCTGCATCAAATACGTTGGGTAAGATTCCTGTGTTTGTCTTTTCTGCGAGTACAACTCAACAACATGTTCTGTTCGACTGAATGCACGCACCTCAGCCTAAGCTCACCTGCTCAGCAGTGACACCGTGCACCCACTCAGCCTGCTTCAGAGGAACCAGCTGGGCAGGTGCTCAGACAGCTATTTTTAAAGCAATACTTATTGCTATGAATATCTGGTACAACTCTAAAGCTTGCTTTCTTCTGCCACTGTGTTCCCCTCCTCCAACCACAGCTTAGAGCACACACTTTGCTGCTCTGGTCCTATATTTCTCCCTGTTAAACTATCTGCAGTCCACAAATGGGTCTGGGAGATGTTAACACAGATGCAAACAAAAAATCTGGTTAGGGCAACAGCGTGATCTGAATTAAACTCATCCTTCAAATGCCAAACGGCTCCGAATACCCTTTCAAACAATCACTTTCCTTCTCCTGAGATGCTGAGAGCTCCGTGTACCTAAATAGAGACTCATTTCTCTGAGAAATCAGGGTGCAGGCTGCACTTGCCCTGCACTGCTGCCACAAAGACTGCTGCTCCTCTCCACCTGTAATTGGGTTGCTGTATTATGACTTCCTTTTCAGCTGGAATTCCACACGTATTTTATTTGCAGTACATTACGACTTTCTTTCAACTACAATTTCACGCCTGCTTTATATACTATTGCAATATTTCCATTATGGGCAAATCATAGTTCTTCCACGGTGTAATTAAGGTACTTCATTTTTAATCTATGTCCCAGCTTAGGAAATATCTCTAAATACATTATTGGGTCTTTTCGAAGGCCGTGAACATAACTTGCTGCCAACAGCAGCAATGTATAAACTGTAATCCATCAAAACAGAGATCAAGATGCTGACAGAGCACCAGGCCCCTGTTCGTACCGCACAATAGACAAAACAACTCTCAAAGCTGAACAGCTCAGCCAGTTAATCAATATATATTAATATTAATACGTGCATTATAACAGTGCCTACAGCAGCCAGGGACCTGCAGCACAAGGCACCGCACAGATACCAACAGCATGTGCTTGGGAGGGCTTACACCTAATGCAGGTAAAACACAGCATGCCAGTGAAAGGAAGAAGGCCTCTAAGGAGCTGCAGGGGCTTTGTGCTCCCCTCTCCCTGACTGTGGGGGTTTCCCAGAGAGAAGGAGCTGCAGGGCAGCACGGAGCACCCCGGGTACACCCACTGCTGCTGCTGAGATCAGGGTACCACATGCAGTCCAGAAGGGTCTGTGTGTGCCTTACTACTTCAGCAAAATGCTGCTGTCAACTTAGGCCTTTCCTGCAAAAGATGGTGCAAAACGTAATACTAAGGAAAAAGCACTTGGCCTCTCCAGTCAGCCTTCTGCTGGGATACAAATCATGTCTGCATGTAGATCCCGTTTTACTTTGCTTCCCAGCTCTGAATCTGAAGAATGGCTCACATCAGTAACAGCAGACATACGTGCCAGTCCTCTCTGGACACTGTGAATGGACAGCAAAGTCCAGGGGATAAAGCAAGAGAGAATATATACATGTTTGTACTGGAGAAGTTAAACATCATGCCACGCTGAGGCCACAAGCAACAAAGCCAAACCTGAGCCAGGAACTTGGTGCACTTGGTGCACGCAGGATCATCATTCCATGAGAACAGATGAAGGTACAAAGCATAAACACAAGCAACGCCCAGAAAGCACAGAAGAGAGGAAGAAGAGGACGAGGAGTGGGGAAGCCCCAAAGTTTGAGGTCAGATCCTTGAAGAACACCGACAGACACACTGCCTCCAGTCACATTCACCACCAGCAGAAGCCACATCGTGCATCGTCCACGCAGCCTCCACCACTTATCAGCACAGATTATCAAATCACTCCAAAGTTTCAGTTCTTTTCAGCACCCCTTTAGCAGCTCTCCCTGCTTTCAGCCAGCTGATCTAAATAAAATGGGTTTGGAGGATCTGGAATCCAGTAGGAAAGCGCTGAATGAAAAGTGATAGGTAAGCGCAGGTGATTATTTTTAGAAAGTATTTAAGCAAGGCCTAAATTAGTTTCTAAATCTGTCATTACTGAAAGTTCATAATAAAGAACTGAGCCACCTCTGACAAAAGTGGAATTTTCCCCTTTGGTAGATTTGATTCAAACTGCACCTTTTTTAGGACACTGAAGAAAAACGTGTGCAGGGATCCTCTCCACTCACTTACTTTCAACTTTGCCAGTGTTGGGGATTCAGAGGGAGAAAAGCCTTTTCCTAAAGAATTCCTTCTTTTGGTAAACCCTAAAAAGCAGCAACAATGCAACTACCCTGTGGAATGGTCTGAAGGACTTCATTATGGTATTTTAGTGCCATTTTGCAGAAGAACACAAGAGAAAAAAGCCTTTCTAGAATCCACCATTGGACCAAGCAGGTCTGTGACAGACAGAACAGGATCCTGGACTTCCGAGGTTCACTCCTGTGGTTCAGCACACAATGATAAGACCATCCCCATATGTACAACAACTGAAGTAATTTTCCTCCAGAGCTGTTAATTCAGAGCACTTGAGAACTTTGCCACATACAAACACACAATGCACTCAGCAAGGCTGCCAACCTGCTAAAGGTTCCATCCAGCGTCTATCCTATCACCTCCAAGCTTTCCAATCCTGAAAGCAGCTTAATTCAACCAGCAAATGCCAACTCCTTGCCTGCACCTCACGAAGCTGCTGGGGCTCTATGATCCTATCTCCCTTTTTTAGAGGAAACATTCAGTGCAATCTGAACTTACTGATGCTGATCAGGTTTGCACTGATCGTTATCACCTCATACCACCACTACATTTATTTTCCTCTATGTTTTAATGAAGAAAACTTACCAAAGGAATCTGAAAATACAGGCATATTAAGCCCACTCAGTCACCTTTACCTGCCGTGCTATCAGCCTTTAGCAAGTCACACAGCTATCTGTTTCTCCTAAAGGAATTGCATTAGCTTGACTATACTGGCTTGTACTTAGCCAAATTTTACACTGTTCTAGAATCAAAGCAAGCATTTTTATTGTTATTGTTAACATTATTTGTATTGCTGTCGTTCATGGAATGCTTGTTTGATAGTCAAAACCACATTTAAGAGGCTTTATGTAACTGTGCCACCTCCATTTCTGTTAATCATCTTAAAAGCAACAGTGACAATAGATGAACTCTGCAGCAAAAGAGTCTACAATGCAAGTTATGATTTTCTCCCTTCGGCCCCCAACGCCTCCCACCCTTTGCAATCAGAGGGGATCAGCTTTGCTCCGTGCAAATAAAGGTGATGTCCTATTCCCTTCCTATTTGGCATGAACGATTACACAGCTGAATAGAACCTTCTGTATTACAGAATTGCATCACGTGCACGTATGCAAAGAGAAGAAATAAATCAGTAGATGGGTATTTACACTGCCACGTGCTCTTTCATTTTTGATCCGCAGACTTCATCAGTAAAGCACCGCGCAGATTTGAGTAGTAACCATCTTTCATGGCTGCAGCTCCCCAGGCAAAGCTCCCAAAGGCAGCAGCAGCCTTTGCAGCACAGGGAACTCTGTGACTTACCACATTGCATGCATGTACGTTGGGGGCAGGCGGGGGCTGCTGACTGGGGTACAGTTGTAGGATCTCATAATTCTTTCTGCCAAGAGAAAGTTACGAAATAAACTGGCCACCAGCAAGTCTTGCCTGAAGAGCTTCTGGAAAAGATCTGTCAAGAGATAGCACAGATGAGCACCTTTGTAACTCCAGTACCCGAGGTATTATGTAAAAATCACTTAAGTGATAAAAATATGTAAATATTTTATTCAAACAACAACAAAAGAATCTATAAGAGTCTTTTAGTGGCAGGATATCCCAACTCTTAAAGGACATCTGCCCTGAGTTCCCTTAAAACATCGCTATTACTCTGCATTTCACATGAAAATAAGTAATTACTGTCTACCTCAGGCTGGATTTACCCTTTCTGGACAAAATTTCACTTCTAGTGATTTGGAAATTGTAAGGGAGAAAAGGACCTGTGTGTACCATTTAATAAAGAACTGCAGTACTAACTGGCAGCTTGATGTGCTCACGAAAAGCCAACATGAACAGTAAAAGATAACAAATGATAACTATCTCCTAGAAGGGCAAAGAACTATTTATGCAGCAATGAGCATTAGCATACAAATGTATACAAATTTGGCCGCTCACGCTCTAGAGAAGGAACTCAGAGCAGAACAGAGGTTGAAAAATGGGGTGAAGTTACTCAGCAAAAGATACACGGTGTTATCAGCAAAGAGAGAGAAAGTTGTTTTTTCCATGATGCTAACAAAGGCTGCAAGAAAACAGATTGCTTTCTCCAGATACAGTAAGAAAATTATTCAAGCTAAAGCAACCACATTAGCACTGGAAAAAGCCTTCCTAGTTTCTAATTATCATGTTGCTGAAATTGCTGCTGAGAAGAACGAATATAAAAAATTTAAGTAGCCTCAAGATCATGCCTGAGCTGTTCTTTCAATATTAAGCTTTAATTTTCTCCTTATTTCAGCGTCTCGTTTCTCTCACTCTTCATCCTGCTTTGAATAAGCAACACTCCCTCCTGATGAAAACTTGCTTTGCCTGCCCAAGTCGTACCTCTAGGCAACACGTTCCACGCAATGGTGTCTGTGATGGCTGTGAAGATCCAGTTCAGCTCTCCCAGGGGAGTTCTCCTGTCATTCAGTCTTCCAGGAATCCTATGGGGGAAGAAGGGAAGTGGGAACAAGGACGTTCCCTATTAGTTGGGCTTTTATTTTTTAAACACGTTGCACACAGTCACCCTATAACTGTACCACTTGTCACGGTGGTACCTATATGCACAAAAAGCATAACGTAAGAAAAAAATAATAATTTCTTCCTATTCTGCTTTATTATTCTTTCTCTGCTGAAGAGAACAAATTCTTTTCCCCCCAGAGTGCCAGGAGACTGCCAGCACAGCATGAAGGGAAGCACAAAGCACTGCCTCTGCTGCTGCGCTCAGGCTCACACCGGAGCTCACGGCCATCCTCCATCTGCTCAGTGTGCACACCTACCCAGGCTGCAACAGGGAGTGCTGTGTCAACCCTAAAAATATCAACATCTTGTCAGCAATACATATCTGGAGTCTATTTGTGGTACAAAAAATGCTGAGGAATCCAATTGCTAATTTTATCAAATATTTTGATGTAGGGAAAAAAAAAAAAAATGATTATTGATCACCACTGGGTGATCAATAGCTGGGATGGCAGCTTTCCAAACAGCAAGAGACTCTTGGCACTGCAAACACACAGGACATGCACTGAAAGTGAGCAAGACTGTCTTTAAGGTTCTATCTTAGGTAGGAAAAAAAAACTCAAATCCTCCAAAAAGCTGAAGTACTCACAGATCTATTCCCTTTCTCAGACAAAGCAAAAGCAGGGGACCAACTAGTGATTCTACAGGAATAAAACAGCAGCACGTTACATGAGCACTAACCAAATATCTGCTTCTAAGCACACCTCCTCGGAGCCAGAGGCCCATTACAGCACACAAGCAGCAATGGACTGAGCTGGCACTCAGTCTGTCACAGCGAAGGCCTTTACTGTGACTACAGCAGCTACGTCCCCTCTCTTCAGAAGCAAACCAAACCGATTCCTCCAAGCATTCATGATGCCATGGAGTGAGAAATTTAAGGTTACTCCTGCAGCAGAGAAAGACTTGAGCATCGTGGATGAACACTCATCAGAGGGAAGAATCCTCATGCTAACGAATACATTGTGCTAGTGGATGAAGAAAGAAGAGCATTTAATCATTAAGAAAGGGAAGCAACTGAATGCTTTTAAAGGTTTCAGGCACACATGCTTCAGAGGAACACGAGCTATTTAGCTCTGCTGAGGAGCAGCCAGGTGGAAAGCTGTAGCCAGAGATAGGCAGAAGGGCAGAGCAGATAACATCCCATCCCCCTGGGCTGCCCATTTGTTACTCCAGGCATCAATGCACCAGGGACAGCCTGACAGGGATTCAGCACGGCAGAACAGCACCAAACTGCAGCCTGCCAGCACAATGCAAACCTAAGAGATTCAGTCTGTGATCCATGGAGGGACAGATTGTGATCTGAAAGTGTTTCCATGAGCTACATCGAGCTGCTTGCTTTTTGGTTGTAACTGAAAAAACACCACAGCACTGCCCAGCTGCGTTTCATGTTGGAAGGAGGGAAAGCAGCTGTCCTGTTTGCCACCTGGGAGGACCTCGCTTTTGTGAACTGAAAGAAGGTGCTCCAATTCATTTCACCCAGCTGAGCTTGTGCTGTATTTGCTCAGCCACAACAACAGTCCAAAGGAGCTGCAGGACCTGCAAGTGATGTCTGCTGTGAGTCAAGAGAGCAGCCCGAGGTCTGCTGGGCACCATGTCAACATGCGCTCAGGACTCAGGGAAAGCAAAGAAGCTGTGAATTGTTCTTCAAGGTCTCTCAGCTTCCTGCTCCATCCTCCTCAGTTTTCTCAGATATCCTTTCTAATGCTTTGTTGCTTTGCATTGGGAAAAACAAATTCATATAGTGAAAGTATCAAGACAATCTTTATGAAGAGCAAAGCTTTGTCTATGCTGAGTTGTTCTGATACATATGGCAGTAGCATTCCCTATGCAGGTTCAGATGAAGCACATTCCCTTGCACACATTTCTGAAATAGATAGAAATTAACATCTTATAACAAATTCCTGTCTGTCATGATATCAGAGGAAAAATATACAGCTCTGAAACAGTGTTTATTAACTGATCCCCCAGAGCAAGCAGAGGGAACACAAGGCCACACAACCGCTCTTAGGAGGATTTCACATCAATATTTGCATTGCAGAACACCCTCTGCAGCAAAATACCAGCATTTCATAAGTTGTAATGCTATTAATTAGAAACCAAAGCATTCCTTGTTGAGGTTTTCCTTGCAAGCCAAATGCTGAGCTTAAACCTTCTAAAGGCTGCTTTCAAGTCAGCTTTCAGTGCAAAGAGAAATAGCGTTTCATGGTGGAGTTTGAATCTTTACAGCAGATGGAGAGCTCTGCATACAGTTCATACTAGATTCTGTTTATTAAATGCAAATTGTGTGTTGATAATTATCTTACTGATGGCATGAAGCAGGAATGACAGGCTGAAACCAAAAGTTGATGCTAGCAGCACAACCTTAGAAACTCTTTCCATTTGAATAATCTGCTTTATCAGGGAGCAAGGCATGCTTATTGTTTGCACTGAAAGGCTAAAAATGGCTTCTTGTTAGTTTAATACAGGTTCTAGTTTGGCTGTTAAAATACACTTGGTGTTTTTGCACCAAGCAACTGCGCTTTCTAAGAGGAGCTGCCAGATTCATAGAAACAGAGCTGCCTGTAGGGACTGCAGTCACGAAGCAGACATTAACAGGACGTCATTCGCACATCTGCCATGTCATCAGGTGAGTTCATTTCCTCTCTGCCCCCATACGCACTCAGGAAGGTACAAGCTCCAGCACTGTGAAGATTAATGGTGCTCAGCGCTTTGCAAACCTATGCATTAGGTGTTAATGGTGAGGGTAGAGAGTGTGGAATAGCACCAGAATGAAAGGCAATACGTTTCAATAACTGCACCAAACCGTAGCAGGGCTTTCCGATTTTGAAGCAGAGCTAGAAAGAGCCATTAGGATGAAATTGGCAGCACTGCTGTTCTCTGTGCCGCACACAGGAATCAATTAAAGTTGGAACAGTCAGTACGATAAATCGACAGATGAAAATCAACACGTGTTCTCTGCTCCTAGATCGGACTGCTCAAACTCTCATCCCAGAAACCAGAGGACGGCTTGTACCGCTCAAATGAAGAGCTGAGTGATTGACGGGGGTTTACCACAGTGCTGCTCAGTGTCAGTAGACCCTGATCACCACAGATTTATTTGAAATAGTCAATCGTGGAGCTTCTGTTTTGTATTTTTTAACTCACCATCTATACATCTCTCAGAGGAGTAGAGGTCACTTAAATATTGCTATCTTTTCAGAGTTTCACTATAAAAATTTTCAGATGAAGCGTGTCTGAGACTCAGCACACTTCTCTTCCACAAGATGCTCTTCCAAACCTGTCCTGTGATTCTAAACTGAAGTTTCCAATACCTTGTATTTGGACAGGCACCTACGTAGCCAGCAGGCTGCAACGCCCCACAAGTATTCTCTCCCACAAGGAACACTGCTATCATCTTAGCATCACTTCTCCTGATGTCTTTCTCATTACGCTTTGACGATCACCAGAGAGCCTTTGACAGTAAGCACAAAGCAGGCTTCATTTGTAAAAACTATTTTGGAGGGAGGGGAAGAAAAGGAAAAAAGGGCAGGCTGCCTCAGCTGCTGGCTTCAATTTAACATCTCTGGACTCTCGACTGCTTCTTCCATCAACTTCCTGACAGACGCCTTTACAAAGACCTAAATCACTGCAGTCTATTGTGAGAAGTGAAGACTACAAAATGCCAGGGTCACTAAGGAGCTCGTGCTAGGTGTTAACATCAATGTCCTTGTCAGAAATTTAGCAAAATCCTATGAATCACTTTAATTACAGGGGAAGCATTTACTTCAAAGGATGCCAGATTTTCCCTTTGGATGGGCTCCACCATTACCTCTATTTTTGTACTGTAATACATACAATGTGAGATAAGCAATATGATACTGAAGACTTCAAAAAACAAAACGCATTGGCGTTGATTTATAGCTGTAAACATTCACCATAATTTTAGCATAGGGAAAAATAAGTAAGTATATTTCACATTTTATAGCCTCAGGGAAAAAAAGAAGAGGAGAGTATATCACAGAAAATGGTAAAACAATTCTGCACACAGCATATGTGCTGCGGCAATCTCCTGAACTGGCAAGAACTGCTTAGAAGTGATCAGCACAGCTAATGGGCTCAAAGACAACGTGCTCTCATCACAAATCACACCAATGGCACAGGGCCGCCGTGATGCAGCTCCTGAAACCTTGGCAAACTCCTTGAGAAAGACAAAACGTTTGAAGTTCTCCAATGATTTGTTGGAGACTTCTGTCAGGCTTTGCACACCAGTTTTCAATCCTGTCGTCGTTCTGCACAAAGATACGAAAGAAGTGTTGCCATGAAAACCATCCTGTTGAGTGCAATCTTCACTTTGTATATACAATAGACTTTGCCTACACTACAGGCTGTTTCCCTGTAACAAGAGTGATCACATTAAATAGTCGGTTTCAGTAAAACCAGATTTGCTACGGAACAGAAGTGTTTCAGTGCCTTCCAAGGAAGCATTCTCCCTGCACTTGAGTACCAACGAGTACCCATTGCAGACAGGTAGCATGGCACAGCATCCTCACAGCACTGACTAAACAGCACTGACTAAGACATGACATCCTGAAATACATGCTCTAATGCTTTCTATTGAATTTTGCAGAAGAAAATGAAAGGGAATGAAAGCTGCCTAAGTCAGCCCTAAAGGCAAACTAAGATTTCCTATTATAAATCTAATTAAAATAATTTAAAAAAACCAAGTTGCAGAATGGCAGAAATTGGACTAGTTGAACTGTAACTTCACATTGCACATGATTTCAGCTGAGATCACCTGGAAAAAGAATTAGGAATTAACCAGCTGCACTCCACAGCCCATCCCCCAATTTACCATTCTGACACAGCTGATTAATTAAGTTCTGAGGGCACACACAGGAGATATTTGTTACACGACAGCAAAATTTCTACATGTTCTCCAATTGCATTACCTTTGCTGCGTGATATCTTGGGATTTTATTTTTCCTACTTTGTCTTTAAACAGGCTCCTACTGAACACCATCAATAATCAATAGGCACTCCAACATTAATAATTTCTGGGCCCTGACAGTCTATAATGCTTAAAATGGAAACAAAATTAATTTTAGACCCAAATTTATCATTTCTAGTGATTGTTATAAATAGATTTTGTGCTGGTGAGTGACAGCCCCAAGATGGGCGCTCTGCGTCGGGAGCAGCAGCAGCGCACTGCAGCAAGACACATCTCTCCCACGGCCTCCTGCCTACGTGACATCCAGAACAGGCCCTCTGTAACAAAGCATGACAACGGGGGACAAGATTTCTCACCCTTTGCCAGGCACCAAATGGACCTGGGCAAAAATCTCCTGGGAAAGCAATATACTGTTGTCACTCTTTTGAGAACGCGATTTCAAGAGGGAGAGCCTGTGCGGCAATGCAGGGCAGCCTTGCAATCACACAGCCCCAGCTCTTGGTACCCAGCTCACAGCCCATACACCAAGCTATACTGCCCCTTAGGGAATTACTAAGAATGTCTAAAGGCAGAACAAAGCCTCGGTTCCCTGCACTCAGGAGCCCCACAGCCAGCTGTGAGATGACAGGACAACTTGTCATCGAGCAGAAGGGACCAACGGAGCCAGCAGGGATGCCTGACATCAGCGCTGCCACGAGGGACAGCCAGAGCTGCCCCAACTCTTAGCACTCCACCGACCTAAACTTCTCCTTTTTTCCTTTACAATTCATTGCCTGGCTCCAGCAAACATCTTTATTTCTAAATGAGGGTTTTTTTTTTTGCCTTTATCTCAGATCTGTAATAGAAACGCACATCAGGATGCACCATGCATTTATTCATCAGGACGCCGGTTCAGCCTAAATAATTATTAGTTTGGGCCCTTCAAAGAAGGTGCAGGCTAATTTAGTCCCAAAGTCTGTAGCCTAATTAGAATATAAACTCTCTCCACAGTTCTAAAGACAACTAAATTATAAATTACAATACACACAAAGGCAAATGGAGAAGTATTCTAGTGCTATCTTGGGACTGCAATAAAAAACATGTGTTTTCTATAACTGATGATACGTAGCATATTATTATGTGAGGGTTTAAATACCGGGTATCTACAGGAACCTATTTCTAGTGCAGCCTCCATGAAGAGGGTCTTCAAAACAATCCTGGATTTGGTGACCTTGAGGGCCTTTTCCCACCTTGCTCATTCTATGATTCTCTGACCCTACAGAATCCACATTCGCTGTGGTATTTATCAACAAGGATTTTGATCATTTTTTTCAGTAAACCATTATTTGAAGAGGTTTTAACCCTCAGTAACATGAAGGTTCCTTCCATGAAGGAAGCCAACTCCTGAGCTACCTGGCTCAGACTGTCGCTGACATTGCCATATGCTCTCTGCTTTGACACACTCTTGTAGCAGTCTGTTAATCACAGTTAATGTAACACAGTCACTATTTTGGACCACATTTATTCTGTGACCCAAAGAGACCCCAGCCTGCACCAATGGTGAGCCCACTGGTTCAGAAAGAAGTCATCCCTATTTCTTCAAATGAGCTCCCTAAATGATCCCTAAAACCATCTCCCACTGTGGGCCATACTGGTTTAGGTTTGGAAGCAATTTACGTCTAGATCCTATTTTAGCAGTCCGTGGTTATATGGCTTGAATAACCAGACACTGCATTAGGGCAGAAAGCAACTAAACTTTGGAAATAAATACAGCTTAAACCATCTGCTTGTCAGCCTCACAGGTCTCGTGTTTGCTTTAGAAAGCTGAGAAATGATTTTAATTTTGGTTAAGACTAGTGCCACTGAAATACAGTTTTGCAGAATCAATGCTTTGTTTCTCCAACTGAGATGAGAGGATAATCAAATTTTCACGTGTAAAATTGCCATGATTAAATACCCAGATTCTCCTGATAAGCCTGTCTATGCTTAAAATGCACCCTGTGGAAGAACTAATGGCATTGAGAAGCATCTTTAACCTCATCAGAATGAGAAGCGTGCAAGTTACTCAACAGGGAACGATTCGCTAAAGCAAAACCAGAGCAAGAAATGTTAGCTGATGCAACCTTACCTTACCTCACTGCCTCTGCTATCACCCACAGTTTGCTATGGGCAGCATCAGCAATGAGCCACTGCTGTACTTTGTGACACCATTCGGAAGATTACCAGAAAAACAAGAAAGTCTGAAATATCTCTCCCTTTCAAAAGCTTATTACCCTGCTCCTGCTTCCTCAGCCCCTTCAGGACGCCTCTCAGTTCCACAGCTTTTGTCTCAGACCAAGGATGGTAACCGGGCTGTGGGCACCCACACGTCAGAACAGCAGACATGCAGGCTCTAATTCATCTTGACAATGATATTTCTAGCATCCAAACTCCTCAGAAATTGAACAGTGTTTAATTAATTACTCCCGGTTTGTGCGCGTGTAGCAAGGTTCCCAGAATAGGATATTCAAAAATAATCCACAGGGAGGACAGAGTGCCTGCATCCACTGCCCTGACTTTAAGAACACGCTTCCCATTAAAAAAAAAAATGTGAAAAGCCAGCAGGGACCCTGGTGGGCAATTATTATTTCAAAGGCCAGCTTGTTGGTATAAACTGAAGGAGATTTACGAACAGCTTTCTTCCCTCAGCTGCTTCAGAATCAGTAATTACACTCAAATATTGTTTGAGTAGAAGGATTATAGCTCATTTCAGTGTTAAGTCAGAAACATAACACTGCTGGAGAAAGGGTAACAGGACAGCATAGCAGGGAAATGAAAGGCAATGCTTTTGGTGAGCACTTCTCTGCTGTGGTTTTGGTGATGCTGGGTGGGCACGTCTGCCCCATAGGTGCCCATGTCCAGAGCTGGCTGCAATGGGACACGGACAGCAAACCCATCAGGGAGGGACCCTGTGCAAGGCTTGCAAAGAAATTTCCCCTTGGATAAACAAGAGAAATGCTGAAAATAGCCAGGAAATAGAGCAACAGGGGAAAAAAATATATATATAATATATGTGAAATTTGGCTTACTTCTCTATCAAATCCAGCGTGACTCCTGGCACCAGTCTGACACTCTTCTGCATACAAAACCTGTGGGGGAGAAAACAAAAACAAAACACACTAATTGTATATTTAACAGGTCTGTGTAAAAAAAAACATGGAAGAAGGTTTTTGTTACAGTGTTTCTGCTTTTAAAATAGAGTTTGGGTGGAAAACTTTCCCCCAGCACAACCAGAGTCACACAGGGCCCCATCACTTCTGTCACACTCCTGAGCACGTGGCCATTTCCAGTGCTGAGTGTCAGAGCCAGGCTCTGTCACCCTGACAGCACTCCAGTGCATGGGGGGAGCGGGGTTCCTGAGCAGGGAAGGAAAGGGGAATGGTGCCCAGCATCCCTGAGGAGCCGACGCTGCAGGCAGGGCAGGTGATGGAGGCTGGGAGCAACGTGTCATGTTCAAAACCCACAGTTATTTAATTAAAGAAATGCTGACTCCACTTCCTCAGCACTGCAAGTACTGCTGCTCCAGGACTGCATCAGCACAGCACTGTGCTGGGTGCAGGTGGGAGGCAGCACAGCCAACAGCCCCGCTGCTGGGATGCGCTTTGTGGTTCGGAGAGCAGAGCTGGGAAACCACAGCTCCAGGAGGAATAACAGAGCTGTCAGTTGGAGAAATGACTTCCTCTCGTGTCACCACGATGCCAGCCTGCTTCTCAGCATTCAGAAATCCGCTCTCTGCTGTGGAAGAGCTCACTGTGCAGCACAAGAGGTTGGTATTCAGCCCCTACACCGGAGCTGAGGCCCCTCAGCAGACAGGGTTCCCCAGCCTCTCCTTTCCATGACACCAGCATCCGCAAGGCTTTCTCTTAGCACAGCAGAGATCAAGATGTGCCGAGGTCATTTTGAAACCTTTCAGTCACTCAGGATGTCCCTGTGGTCCCCTTGCCTGCAGGACATCCATTATTGCCAACATCAGGGATGGGCTCTGAAAACCTAAGTGCTCTCCAGGCTGCTTTCCTGAGGTGTGTGCCATCCATCACCAAAAAGAAAAAAAAAAGGCATGAAACTATCTATGAAACTATCTTCTGCTACAGCAGAACCCCAGTACAATCCCTTAAACACAGACACCTCGCAGAGCTGCATTACAGAGCCACTGAGGGAAACACCACTCTCAGACAAACACTGCGAGCAGATCTCAGCACGGCAGAACTGGGTTATTGGAATCAGCCTGGAATCTCCCTGCAGACTGTGGATGCCAAAACACTTCCTCGCTGTGCTGCTCAATGTCTCTGCATTACGACATATCTGAAAGGATTAAAGCAAAGCTTGCACAACTTTGGGCTGTTACACATTTGTTTTCCACAAAGAAAAGGGTTCCACTTATCACCATGTCACATAGCATTTTGTATTTACTTTGGAAGCCTCTCATGTGAGTTATGATATGACCTCAGCACTCAGCAATATTTTACAAGCTCACAGATTAATAGGACAGAGCTGCAAGCAGCAAGGCATGTTGCAGAAGAAGGATGAGCTGCCAGCCCCAAAGTGCAGCCTGGTTCCTTGGGCAGGCAGCAAGGGACCCCGAGCTGATGAGCAGGGTCTCACCCAGTGCTGGTTTGCCTCAGGGCAAACAAATATACGAGCCTCCTTGTTGCAAGGATTTCTTCTGAGCACGAGGCTTTCGGTTACAGCTGTTCAGACAAAGCAGCAGAAAGCTTCCCCGTGCATACAGATATTCAGGACATGTGTACATGAGAAATGCCCCTGTGCCAACATTTCCTCCAATACCTGCAGCAGTGAGATATGCACACCTTTGAGGGTCAGCTATAAACATGCTCACACAATGAATGCGTTGCACAGCTGTCACTTTGCACTCTCCTTAGAGAGTTGCACTGTGGGCAAAGATGTAAATCAACTTACATCTAGGCTATTTTGGTCAAGCCTTGGCTCCTCAACGTTGAGGAAATACAACCAGACTGCACTTGACTTAGAGAAGAAAAACACCCTGCCCTCATCACAGACCTGTTTATATCCGCCTGAATGGGAGCTTAATGCTCTTGTCTGTGCTTGATCTATTGGTGCACTTGTTTTAAAAATCCCCACCTCTGAAAATTCGAAAGAGATGAGTTCATTAAGACCCCTTGTAACTGCTAACAGACTATTTGCATTTCCTCTCTAACAAGCAGTGATTGCCAAGAAAATGTACTTGTAAACAGAATGTTCCTTCATCCTGTATCTGCAACCTCCCTCTCATTACTCCAAGGCTCCAAACGTGATGTCTCAAGTGGATGCTTGGTGTCATCAGGCAGGAGATGTCAGAGCTGCAGTAAAAGTACCAATACACACCAGGCGACACAGAAGAAAAGCAGTAACATGCATAACAATGCTCAGATTTTTCTCAGATAACCCAGGAATGTTTTGAAACTCAGTTTAGTTAGAGAAGTCTAAGTCTAGGACAGGGGATCGGCTCAGTTTAAACCCCCAAACCTTCAAGCACAAACACAAAATGCATACATTGGAAATAAACACTTTAAATGTGCAACTGACCCAACACGAAATCAGCTGTCAGGAGTCAAGCATTTACTCCCAGGCACTGACAATCTTGCTGCACGTGAGTCCCAGTGCACACAACTGTGCATTTAAAATTCCTGAGTCTGAGCCGCTTTTAAACTTCGTTTATTTTTGGCTTGAGGGGTTTCCTGTACTTTTCAGGAGCACCATAACCTCACGTAAGGAGGTTCTTCAGGCAGCCTGGACAATTGCAGCCTTCTCCTCCAAATGTAAAATTGTGAAATTACTCTTGCAGCTTGTTTATGCCTTCAGGGACTGACAATAACATCAGCATACGATGCACCACCAAACACAACTTCTGACATAACTGCTGCTTTATTGCAGACGGTGCAAGAGACACACAGATCTGAACACAAAGTGTAACTGTATTCTGATTTCTGCCTCTCTGTGCAATAGCTGGTTCTCCTTCTTGGTTAAGTCAGTCAAAATTGACAATCCATATGTCCTACCTTTAAGCTTGCATTATACATAGCTGCAACATACATTTGGAATGTCAGCTCACAACAGTGTCTGCACGTGAAGACAGTCAGTATGAAGCTACCCAGAGTTCAGACAGCAGAGCTCTGAAATTGTCAGTCAGTTTGATTAAGAGTTTTGTGTACCAAATTCAGGTGCACCATTCATCCATCCGTGTTTCTATCACCAGCATCTTTTTTTTTCCCGGCCTGAGGTGGATGCAATTCCATTTGTGAAGTGATTTTGTCAATCAATTTATCCCAAATACACACGCAAAATGGGATGTACAGGAATTTATTCATCCAGCTTTCATTTGCCTATAAACTCCTCATGTGAAACCTCATTAACTCGTCAGTCTGGACTTGCAAAAATCTTTTATTTCAAAAATAACTTTGCAGAGCTGAGGGCCAGCTTTAACAAAAGGTCCAACTGAATTAGAAGAGTATTTTTGGTTAAGTGCCTGACATACAGCTTGCACTGAACAACTGCATGAGGAAGGCAGCCTGGCTCCACATCTATTCTTTTTAAATGCAGTGAATAACAACAGTCTGCAAGCAAGTTCTCATTTGCAGAACTTGCGTGGATAGAAATACAACACTAATAATGCCAATTAATAGGGAATATAAAAGGAGTGTAATCTGCAGATTATAGAGGAGATTTTCTTTTTTTAATACGTGCAATAAGAAGCAACACACATAACGTTTGGATTCGATGCAGAAGGAAAGGCCTCACTAACCAGGAGTTAGCACAGCACCCACCTGCATCAGCACCAACAGTAGCTGAGGTTCATGGCTCTAAATCCTTTACCTGGAGAGTATTCTGACAACCCTTCCTGCCAAACACAAGCGAGACAACTCCAGGCATCTCTATTGAGCAGAGGAGCAGCTCTGCTCAAGAACCTGCCTGTCTCCCCTCAGCCATGTTCCCATGGAGATGCAGCACAAGTCTCCTGAACAGATCAGAACATCTGGAAAAGCCTTTCTCAATACACACAAGTTGTGCATTAAACACTGTTGTGTGAAGGGTTGTATGTTCAGAGGGGGCTTCCTTCCAACCAAAACAACTCTACCTGAGCCTCCACGTCTTCACCTTCACGATCACAGCTCTGTATTACACACAAACACCTTCACTTTACTCGAGAAGCTTCAGTTTGTGGCAAACCAGTTCATCTTCAACAGAGATCAAAGCTCATGCCGTGGATTCCCACAGAGTCTTTCCAAAATAGCAAAAACAGCACAAATTAAGCAGGATCGCTGCGTCTTTGTGGTATTGATTTAACTCAGATTCACAGTAATGAGTTACTGAGAATAATTGCAAGCCTCAGTTCAGACAACCTGACAAGCAATTGTTTAACTCCTCACTGCACATTAACATGGAGTCTTGATGAAAATATTCTCCCTGGAACTTGAGCTCAGACCTTCACTTGCTGAATCCTTTGTGGCTTTTTGTTTTACTTACTGGTCTTGCACTCTTTTTGAAAAGTAATTTTAAAAAGAAGCCACATTTGTTTGCATTTGCCAAGTGGCACTCGTTGTCACCTGTGGCTAGCCTTGAACTAAGCAGGTAGAACATTGAGTTCAATTTCTAAGTCTCCCTCTATAGACAAATACAGCTGAAAGCTTCAGCTCACATCACACTGCTTGGCTAGCAGTGACTCAGTGGCAGCCATATGACAAAAGTAGCTCCCTGGAACCACAGTAACACACTATTTCTCAAAGTTCCCCTCAAGGAATTTTGCCACATAGTGATTTCCTCAGCTTTTAAAGAAAGCAGGCAGCTTGAGAGCTTCCATGCTGTAGGCTGAGTTCAGGAGCAGCCTACCAGGACCGTATCAGCACCCAGGATGAGACGAGGCCTCAGTGAAGGCAGACAGCTCGCCTTGAAGCACTGCCAAGCAGCAGCTGCACTGGAAGCCAGCGTGCTCCTTCCCCCACCTGCCTGGAAGGGAAGCATCCTGTTCTCTCAGGATTAAATGAGATTAAATGCCTCTGGCTAAGCAGCAGGCTCAACCTTGTCACCCGTCTGCAAGTGCTCACTTGGGAGTTCTAATGAGTGCCTAATATCGCAACCAAACTTATCTTGGATCAACAATATCATTTTTAATTTTTCACAATAGAAGTAGTAATACAGAAAGGATATTAAAGAAACCAGAGGAATGCACAGCTGCCTCTCTCATTCAGAAGTCTGCCATTCCTTGGCAGAAACCCTAGCCCAATCTCCCACAACTTCAGACGCCAGGTCCCTGACACATGGGTTGGAAAACTATTTTCTCATTAACCTTCCCAAAAATTCCCTCCTAGATAATCCTCGTGTCACTGCAGCTCTTCGCCCTGCTAAACTATCAAAGACTTTTGACTGTGCTTACAAGCAAAAGTTAGGTGCTCAAAGGCACTATGGATCTAAACCAGAACCTGGCCACATTAAGTCACTTTGCTGCTTTTAGAACTCAGAGAGAATTTGACTTGTGAAGTTATTATGAGCATCTCCAGAAGTCATAACTCTTGCAGATGCAGTGACTCAATTGCTTGTGGTTGTCTGCCACGTCTATATGTTTCTGCCTCTTTTAACCTAGTCTGGCTAATGACCTGGAGTTTTTCATTCTGGACTACAAAGTACCTTAAGAGGATGAACTGAAACGTGCTGATAGGAACGAATCAACAGAGCTCTGTACCTGCAGGGACACACCGGATTCCTGATACCACGTCCTCAGCTGGCACCAAACTGCTGCTGCTCCTCTCCTCTGTTGGGTAAGAACACTGTCCTTTCAAAGCTCCTCCTGTATCTACCAGGTTTTTGTATCCTTATGTAACATCTTCCTTCGGTTTATCACTCGGTCTCTTTCACTACAGCATTATTTAATGCTACTGCATTGTTTACAGCAACTGCAATATTTGGAATATCATTTGTACGAAGGACAATTTGCAAGGAGTTGTTGTTGCACTATGTACTATTTCCACTCTCTGAAGAAGCAGATATTTAATTCCCAGAACAGTAAATCCTTTAATCTGAGCAAACCTAGATATTGAGCTGGAATCTAAAACGTAATAAGTAGAAGATAACAGTTTTTTCACCTTTCTAGTTCTGATTAATAACAGTCCATCCCAGACACACAGTTCAAATCTTGTAATTCAATATTGCAGAGAAACATTAGGTTAAATGAAGCACTTGGATTAGGAAAACCTATCATTTCGACAGACAACGACACGAATTTGGCACTTGCCATCAACAGTGGAGATGATCCTTACCATCTCAGAGCAATTTTGATTGGCGTAGTAAGGCATGATGTGAAAAGGTCGGCCGGCAGATCGGGGATCATAGGCAGCAATTCATTAGCTTCACATGCTGCCAACTGAATGCAGTTCTTCATCGATGGAGGCAAAGGCATTTGAGCAAGAGGATGGTTTGGGTTAATTGCAGCCACCTGGACAGAGCACAGAAATCACAGAATTGGTGAACTCCAACTCAGGGAAGTAAATTTCAATCTCATTTTGAAAATAACCAATGAAGAGCTGCCAAAGTGCAACAGATCTTCAGATTCAGAGAAAAAAGGAACCTTCCCTGTGCCTTTCTGAAACAGGTGAACAAAATAAACGCTTCAGCCACCCAAAATTTCCATTTGTGGTGCTCAAAGGTTCTTAAACAGCATCGCACCAAGAGACTGTAATGCATGCAGTGCCTCCACTGCCCGTTCATGCAGGACCTGGAAAGCAAAGACCTGGCACAGTGACCCATATGCTGCATTACCCAGGCTAACAGAATACTTTCCACTCAAAGACAAACACTTTGGCCAGCTCCTTTTATTCCCTTTTTTTTTTTTTCCTGAGTAAGGTAATACAGTTGACTAGAAAAACTCATTATTTACCAACTTTATAAATGAGGAATTCCATCTGTCTCAAGAGGAAATTAATTTTGTGTCTCACAAGTGTTCATGGGAAATACTTGTATTACAAACCATGAGCCTGGCACAGTCATATTTTTCCAGCTGAGCAAAGCACCCTGATAAGCCACAGAGAAGCTTCAGGTGCTATTTCACCAATTCTGCAGCCTATCAAGTTTTTTGACTCTTTAAATATTCTTTTTCCATTCTAACCCCAGAGGAGGCAGTGACACACTTCAGCTTTCACAAGTTGGCCAAATTAGCTGAGATCTGTCCCTGCTCCCCACTCTGCTTTCAGCAACGAGTGATGCCATACCTCGGGTGGAAATGAACCTACACTCCGGTCACCTAACAGTCCTTACTGCACTTCTCATAATTGTAACCTGTATGCTAATAACAAAAGAAGATAATGACAATACTGAAGACATCTTTTATTTTAGAAGAAAGGCGTGACAGACTGGGAAGTGCTAGCTCTTCACAGATGTATAAATACAAAGCAGTCAAACTGCTTCACATCTGCTATTAATTTCTTGCAGAAAGACTTGCTCTCCGGGCATCCTTATAAATGAGCTCCACAGGTGGGGAGAACATTTAGATGAATTTTATGCTTTCTGAGCAGTGTGAAGCACTGCAGCCTTGCTGGTTGTTGTGTGCTGGTAGAGCCTCTCTGCTCTGATGGGGAAGGAGCTCCTGCTCAACTCCTGGCTTCTGCGCAGTAAGACCAACTAAAGAAGCTGTGACACATGCAAGATAAATATTTGCCCATTAGGAGACGAACAATTAACAAGCAAAAAATGAACACGGAGTACCAGCTCGTAATTACAGACCTTGTTAGATTTCTAGGGATAATGATATAGCAAAACATTCTTTTACAAAGTAAGCATGAAAGACAAAGGAGAGGAAAGCCCAGTAATAACTTTTTCTTTACTTAGAACATCCACCAAAGTCAGACTGCGACTGGATTGCTCAGCTCCCTCAAGGATAAAACTCCTCATTAGGCAGAGACACAGAGAAAGTTCACGGCTAACAAAAGGTTAAAAGCAAAGCAGCAAGAACGCACTAATGCACAACTGTAAGAACAGTAAACAAACTGAGTGATGCTTCCCCATGTGAAACGTTATCACAATTATTAATAATACATATTTATCTACAATTGTCGTTCCGTCGTGTCTCAGCAGTTTCTGTAAACAAGCAATTAGATGAAGACCTTGCAGCAGCCCATAACCATCTCACAGCTTCTTCAGCAGAATCGCGCTCTCAGAACAGAGCGACGCACACTTTCCTGGATCAGCTCGCTAAAAAACACCCTTACATCTGCACAGCACTTCTCATTTCACTTCTTGTTACTTCATTCAGGGCAACTGGCAACCCACAGCCTTTCAGACAAAATAACAGCGGTAACGTTAACTTTTCAATTATTCAGAAACAGGCTGAAATCATTCCTGTAAGATGGTGGAAATTAATTTGTCCTGAAAACAAACTATATCTGCCCCAGCTGAGGAGCACTCGGGTTTGTTATTTGCAAGAGCACTCACAGAAGGACGAGCTAACAGATTTGCAAGCATTGCTGCCTGGGACTAACAGAAAAGGGAAACGATGCGCGTCTTTTAAACTGCTGTTACCAAAAGCATTTATGTGCATATGCAGCTACAGTGAGAAGCAAACACCTGATGAAAAAACAAGTTGGGCACGTCTAAGTGAAACCTGGGAGAAAGTGACCCAGCACAGAAGCTCGTTATCACAAGTGTTGGCCAGACTTGCTAGCTTGACAGAATTCCTGCTATGAGAATCCTCTTCCCCTGAGAAGATATTGTTCCTCTCTCCCAGCAGATGGTGGATTAGAAAATCTCTCCCCCCCCAGACATGATGCTAATGCCAGATAACATTCTGCCACACTGTTGTTAAGCTAGTTTTTTGAGAATTAATGCTGAAGATGGAAAAACAAAAGCTGTGAGTTCCTCAGCTCTGATGAGGACCACACGTGCTGCTGGAGGGGAGAAGCACAGGCACTGCCACTGCAACACTGAGCTCCCAGCCAGGTAGCAGCAAAACAAACCAGCACACAGCTGTAAGCTGCACTGTCTGAAACTCAAACAGTGCATCTGAAAACCAAACTGCAGCCAAGCACACATCCAGAAGACATTTTTCAGCCTTCATTTCTGCACATCTCAGACGCGGCCTTAAGACTACAGATCTATTCTATATGGAATAATCACGAGACAGAGGAAACACCATGTCACAATTACACAGAAAATTAATCAGAAATCTCCAGCCTACTGTTTTATCATTGTTAGCACAGCACACTTAAAACGCCTGCTTAATTTTCTAGAATTGCACTGTATTTATATGCACTCACAGAATCATCAGAGCTAGCTAATGAGATGATTAAAAGCATCCATTGCCTTCACGTCCATTATATGTTATAAGCAAGCTCGAAAGCAGGCATATGCAAGGTGTTTTCTAACTAGGTTACTGCCAGCCCTGTAGGAACCATTCCCCTGCTGCTTCCTGACAGCAGCACGAGGTCAGTCCTGCCAGCCCCAGCACCTCCTCGCAGCCAGAATCCCTGCCACAGTGCTCAGCAGTGCCAAACAGGACATCAAGCAGGAAAGCAACAGCAGGAACTCCTGTTTCCAAAAGCTGGGGTCAGTTTCCAGCTCTTAAAAATATTTCTTGGGAAAAGAAAACAACAGCAATCTGTTACAAATATTAGAACAACCCTTTCCACACACTTTCCACCTCCCTTCCCCCCCCCCAAAGGCAGGATCAACTGCAGAAATGAACCGTTAATCTGATATATCACACTTGTTCCTGCACCACCACATCCAGGCCATGGTGCTAAGTGGCTGGGTGCTGTTTGCAGCTGGCTTTGGTGCCTTAGGGAGCCGCGTCTTCTGCCCTTCCTCCTCACCTCCCTCAGAGAAGCAGGCTTGTGGAAGATAAAAAGTATTTCCAATTGTGATGTGCCTGCCAGGATGAGACATGACAGATCCCTGCCTCCGGTACACGAAGTCATCATCATCATCTTGCTGAAACCGATGTACTTCTTCCCAGCCACGCAGCCCTTCACTCACACAGATCAGCAATGTCTTATTTATTAACAAGAGGCATTTCTTAAAATTTCCTATTCAAGGGCTGTTTTGGAGGCAGCTCTCTAAAGAAGACAGTGCAGTGCTGGTGGCACAGTGTTATCTTTCCTCAGGTATCTGAGAGAAGCGTTAACTGCTTTCCTATCACTCACAAGTTATTCCTTTTGTGCCTCTATGAAGACAGAGTAAGATTTAGATTCCACATTAAGAAAGAAAGCCTTTATATTCAACAGACAGCAAAGAACTAAATAGAATGGAATTGCAAGCTCTAAGTATGTTGTAATTAATTCTTATAGTCCTGGTAGAACTATATGTGATCTGATGGCATCAGGCCAGCAAGCAGGGATCCCTATGGCTGGATCTGAGCCTGTGGTAAATGAAGACCACATCCTAGCCCTCACTGATCAATGCTGTAACACTGCAGATGAAAACATTCATCCTGCACAAAGTGAAGCCTCCAGATCTGCTTGGAAAGTCACTGATATTTGGCTTGTCTGCCCATCTCTCAAATGCTTTTAAAGATTGCTTGACCATACTTAATACCACAGAAAACTTAGAAGAATAATGGGAAAAAATATGAATTCTGATTGTTCTAAGTATGACACACAGCACTTAATGAAAACCATGAGCTACAATGTGTGTTTAATCTGAAAATTCAATTTCTTAGTTGGTCGCTTGTGTCAAATGATTATCCATCTACTGCAGTTTCATGGCATGTAATCCCTTCCTCACCCTCTCTATGCTTCACAGTATTTTCTCTCCTTAATTAACTTCACCAACTAATTTCTAGATATCTAATGGAAGGCACATTAAGAAGAAACACATTACTATCAGTATCTAAAAAACTGTGTATTAGCTGTGACTACAGAATAAGAACTTTATAACTGATAGTCGACTACTGCAGTAGCTTACACTGGGAGAGGGCTGCACTGTGTGAAAGCCAGGAAACATTCAGGAATTAGCCAAGGCTTCATACACACAGCACACTCAAGCCACAAGAGAGTGCAACTCGACACAGCACTCCCAACAGTAAGAGGTTTGATTGGACCAGTTTGCAAAACGCTGAGATATCAGAATCTCCGCAAGCAATGTCTGCAGGCATGGCCTCCTGCAACCTCCAGCATCCATCTCACATCATGGATGTTCTCAGACGCATAAAATTACATCTGGAGAAATAGTTGGTTTCCATTATCCCAGCCAGCAAGTTGTTCTAGAACCTTATCCTTTGGATTTTCTAAAATCTTGTAGACTAGACTGACTCATGGACAGCTATACACCTAATTGCTCTTGTATCAACATTATCCTATGAATACTTCTCCTCCCATAAGCTTATCCTTCAAGGAATTTATACACACAGCCACATCTTCCCTCAGCCTTCACTCTATCTGATTAAGAAAACAGCAAGCTCCTCTAATCTCCTTTTGGTAAGATGGGCTAACAATTATCTTGATCACCCCAGCAGCCCCTCTGAGCACCAGTTTCAGCTTCACTTTGCTTTTCATGAACTTGGACACCAGCAGAGACAATGCAGAGCCCCACAACAACCAAGGAGAAGAGCCTCATAGAGAAAGCAGGGACAAGGAGGGAGAGTGAGGGTGGGTCCATTTTAACCTGCTTAGGAATAGACTGAGGAAACAAAAGAAAAAAATCTTAAGGGCTTATTTTACAAACAGAAAGACTGCTGAAGATACGGCAATGAAAGCTGTGGGCTGACAAAAAAAGAAAAGAAAAAAACTTGAAAAAGGAGAGCAGATGATGACCACCAGACATTTTTCCTCGACTTAAAGAGACTGTAGTTTTCATAAAGGCATCTATTACCAACACCACTGATCCATTCTGCAGTTTTATATTCTTCCCAAGCCACAGACTTCAGGAGGAATCTTTACAAAGTACAGCAAAGTCACTGATTGAAAAGGACAGGAAAACTGGAAAGATCTACATGTCTGAAGCTATTAGGCTGGTGTCTGTTACTAGGTGTATTTCTGCTTGCCAAGAAGTCATCACAAAAGCATCTTCAAAAACTGGCATTTGGAATGAAAGGAATTAGAGCCAGGGCTAGTGTTAACACCTATTGACAGTTACACTTGCTGCAGTCAGTTGCCCATTAACTAAAATTCTTCCTTGAAGATTTTTTTTAATTCCATCTCTTTGAACGACAGGAGAACAAAAAGTTAATCTTCCAAAATGTGCCTTCCGTGCAGGCTGAAGCAAGCAGGGGGATCTGGGAGCAAAGAACTCTGCATCCCAGGACGACTCCTGCTTCCTTACCTTTCACTCTGCATTTCGGATTTACTTCAATAAATGTATTAGTAATTATATTTGCAATGAAAGGCAGCTTTCCATTAGACACACATCCAGCTTAAGCATTCTTTGAAACCAAAATCATCAGTGATGGTCCCTCTGTGCACCAGGTTTATTTAATTTGGTTTCACGATTTTGCATTCGGCTCAACAACACGAACTGCATCCAAATACATACCCACACACTACACTTGTGAATCTAAAATAAACATGTCTCGTTCACTTCTGCATTTATCTCAGCAGAAAAGACCATTAGGGCACAAATTGATTCTATTAACATTACCATTTAATTAGCACTTGTATTAAAAATTATTCAAACTTGAATAGAATAGCAAACTAAACCAGACAGACTGGAGTGGCAAATCATTTGCAAACTAATTTCGATTTCAACGTGGCTTTAAACATTTTTTTTTCAGCTGTGTATGGCAAAACAAGCTTAAACTTAACCCTACTGCACAAACAGAAACAAAAAGCGTTGCAACAGGTCGTGATCTCACCTCCAGCTCTTGCTCCCTCTGTAGTGCAAATTGTTTGAACGACTTGACAATAAGGCCAGCATTGGAGCAATCATACACGAAAATGGAAGGACTGCCCATCCAAGTCTGCAGGTCGTATATGGACAGAGGAATATACTGAGTATAGTTCTGAAAGAAGAAAGAAACATTGAAGTTACAAAGAGGCAGAGAGGCAACAACAGCACTTCCACTGGTAATCAAACATATGATAAAATCCAATTCTGAAAGCACAGGACAAAATCTGGATTGAACTCTGGACATGTTAATCAAGATCAGTATCAACCAACATCTACTAATAAGAACTACAAATCCAACGTCAGTACAGAAAACACATCAGATTCCACTGTGGTATTGTTTGCAACACTGAACTCAAACTAAAATGCTGAAATGTTAGTGTGTATCAAAGCACTCCTTACGCTTCCAACCAGCATTTAACAGTCCTCATTTCAGCTCAGATTTCTGTAGTGCTGATCAAAGATGTAAACCAGATGTCTTTAATTTAACATCAATCATCTCAAACTGAAAATCCCATCAATAAATCAGGACTGATAATTAAGACTACGCAGCCCATCAGCAGCCACCCCATCTTAATTTAATGAGACGCTTCAGGATTTTATTAGCTTCTGTGCAACTTTCAGAATTATCCAATATCATAATGCCCACAAAGCAAAGTCAAGTACCATCAGCTCTGCTTCTATAAACATGAACAATCTTCCTCCTTCTCTTCCTCTAATTGAAGCAACAGCTCCTTACAGAAACAGAGGATGAAGGCTCAGGCTTTAAGTTAGCTACGAGGAGTCGAACCTCAACCTCGAGAGCAGAGCTGAAAATACACACAGAGATTTCTGCTATCTGAGCCCACGAAGAGTCACTGCTGGACGTGGCTGCCTGCAGAACCCTTTCCATCTGCAGCCAGAGGGCAACCTGCTCATGTTGGTACCGCGCTGAGCTCTGCCCGAAACCAGCAGTAAAAGCTGCAGTGCTCCTATTAACATCAGCAGCATGATGGATGGGATCATAACTCTCATTTAAATTCAAGAGACTTAAAATAGCTGTAATAAAACTTCGACAAAAATCAAATTTTCAAGGACACGTCGGTGTATATGAAGGCAGAAGTGATTCGAGACCATATGTTAGATAAGGTAGGTAATACCAAGTCAGCCCAAAATCCAGTTTTGCCTGTACATAAAAAAGTTTTGATTGTTCTATTCAAATCAATAGGAAAAATTGTTTTGTTACAAATTTTTTAGGGAGTCAGGAGCTTGGCAAATTGTTACAGGATGGAATGACACACGAACAACTTACTCTCGGCACAGACCTGTCATAAGGACACCCCGAGGGTGTCACAGTAAGTTGCAGAAAGAAAACCTGCTCTGACACGTATTACTGATGAGATCTTAGGGACACACGTTGTTTTAACTTTAAGTTTATAAAGCATGCTGCTGCAGTTCAGGACAGCAGCTCTGACCACTATTGTGCTACCACAAACCAGCACAAATTTATGTTCCATGATTACTGTAGGGGTCACACACAGCTTATCAAGCCTGCTAATAGTATGCAAGCGAGAGAAGTTGAAGGAGAAAAGAGTGTTAAATAATGGCTTCCTAGCGTGGCTGCTCAGGGTGAGGTGCTGCTGGGGCTGTGGGCACAACAGAACTCTGTGGGTTGGGTTTCATAACAAAAACGTTTTCCTGGGTTAACCAACATCTCCCAACAGCCTGTGGAAATGAACGACACGACAACTGAACAAGAGAGTGAATTGGCATCAATTTCATAATCCATATCTTTAAAAAAGCTCAAAAGCATTTCAAAGAACGTTCCTCTGGTTTTCAGAGGAGTTCCCCAGAAGTCTGTGATAAACTTGTTTGAACTTTGCAGTCTCTGTTTCTCTTTTTTCTTAAAGCCACACTGTGATTTTGTCAGACAGCAGCAGTGAGCAAAACCACATGGACAACATGGATCCTTATTACTTCAGCAGTGCTCACAATAAATGCATGAAAAGCAGATGACTGCATCTTGATGCTTTGTTTCACTGAAAAGTTCTATTTCCAATTCCTTCTCTACCAAAAAAAAAAGTCAATATTTGGTAACGTGCTGCAAAAACTACCAAGTTTCACTGTCACTTGTCAACGTTTATGACAATTAAGGTTCTTCTCCAGCAGTCCATAAAGATACATAAAAGACCTCAGTTCTTTATAACTAGAGGAGCCCACATCACATCCCCCAGCTGAAACTGCAGGCAAACTGGCAAACACCCAGTAAGCTCTTAATAAAGCATTTGGCACAGCACACAACTTCATTGAGCAGTAATTTCCTCTTCTTCCATGTGTAACACATTCTGCTCAGCATTCCTACTGGCTTATTTATTACCCACTGGCTGTTAAGTAAGAAGAAGGTCACTCCTATTTGTTCTTAAACACCAAATTCAGCTTCAAAATAATCATTTAGGATGGTGGTCAGAATACTAATCGAGCCTCCAGCAGAGATGCACCAGAATGAAGTTATGCCCTTTTGCACTTTCTCCCCTGCCTTTCTCTCCTTGCTCTTTCAAGCTATTATTGAATGCTCATTCAATTACAAAAATAATACATGAGAAGTATGAGAAAAGAAGTTCAGTATGTTCCTGAAATAAAATAGGAGCGAATCTCTGCAAGCTGTGTCAGCTGGATGCACTCCCCCACCACCAGCAGCACCTCACACACTCCTAAGACTCCCTTCGAAATCAGTTACCTTTTAATAGAACACTGAACAGCTTTACTATCACATCTATATCACACCTGGTACCACCAGAAAGGTGCTGCACAGGATCTACATAGCTGTACAAATCATGGCTAAACAGGATGAAAAGACTAAATGGAAAGTCTTTACAAAAAATAAGAGATACACAGAATATTGCAGAGGTTCCTCGGTACTCTCTGATCTGGAATGAGAGCTTAATTAAATGATTTATTGTTCTCCTGCAAATCATACTCATGCAATTTGGACAACAGCTATTTAGTTAGCTGAGCTTTCAGAGAATCACTAAGTTGGAAAAGATCTCCAAGCTCCCCAAGTCCAACCCCAACCCATCCCACCATGCCCACTGACCACATCCCCCGGTGCCACATCTGCATGGCTCTGAACACCCTCTGGGACAGTGACAGCCCCAACCCTCTGGGCAGCTGTGCCACACTGCCTGGCCACTCCTTTTGGGAATGAACTGCTCCTAATATCCAACCTGGATGCGAAGCTAACATCATGCTAAGAACTCAACTTCAAGAACATGGAGAAGGCAGACAGCTGTCGGCACAGAACCAAACGCCTGCAGGCAAGTCACATCCTGAAAACTCATCAGTGTGACAGAACATCAGGAGCGTTTACATAGCCATGAGGGAGATTCAGCTGCCTTAGCCCTGCTTCTCACCTTATTGAAGACCCAGATCTCCCCGTTCACCGTCGGCCTGGGCACTCCATGCCCATTGTAGTGGAACAGCACCCGCTCCTCCTTGGCATTGCGCCGCAGTGATGTGCACAGCTTCTTCACCTCGTCCACCGTCGGATCCAGGCTCTGCTTGTACCTGGCCTGTGGACATACAGGGTCATTGTTCATAAGTGTTAAAAAAATACACGTATATCTAGTTAAGGTGCAAGCAACTACTTAAGACAGAAGCATTTCCATATTTTGGTACACTGGGAGAAGATGACAAAATGGTTACTGGACTTCTTTAAAAACCAAGTACCCCCCAACTTGGTGTATGCGAATACAAGCAGAACAACCCACACATGAACCTGATATTCCCACAGGGGCAAGAAAAGGTCAAAACTATCAAGAGCCCTCAGCTCGCTTTTGGAAGCACCTGGGCTCACTATCACAGCCTTGGGGATGGACTCTGTGTTATCAATCCTAGACACCTAACTCAACAAGCTTGTGATTCATAGCACATTTTTATGTTTGGGGGAAAAAAATGTTAAAAGAACCCAATACTTCAAAACACTTTTGCTCGACTGAGTTCAAGATGTCTATGTAGTAAGCTAGTTTGTCGTACTCAAAAGTGCATTTTCTTGAAGCAAGGCCAAATAATAACAGCAAGTCTTCCAGATGTCCTTTGAAAGATAAAAGCCTGCATCCCTCTCTTCTTCAGGCTTCCAGAGAGACTGAGAATCCAGAATCACAATGGCTTAAAAAGTACTGATATACTGAAATAAAGAACCACCAAATCTAAGAGTAGGACAATTGTACACACATCTACAAAATCTGCTGTTGAAAGCCTGCTTATAAGTCAAGGTCTCAGAAGTTAATGCTTTTTAACCTTCCTTCTATAGCATGCAAGGATAAGAAAGTCTTAAAATATCATAGTAAAAAGCACGAAGCACTTTATTTAATATAAAAATGTTTTGCTTATCTGTGCAGCTTGAAAAACAGGTATCATGCTGCTCAATTAATATGCAGTACCTCAAGCCAGTAGGCAGGGTGGGTAGAATGAATGGTATCATTTGCATGATTACAGCCATGAAGCAAAGCAAGCAAGTGGAAAAAAAAAATATTAAGAAAGAGCCAGTGATCTGACACACTCATCCTTCCTGGGGACTTCCACACTAAGGAAAGGTAAGAGGCTGTATTAATCTCAGCACAGTCGCCCCATCACGTCTTTCTCTCCTCTTTCAGCGTTGTTATCAAGGTGCTGATGTGCAAAAACGTGCGCCTTAAATCACGTTCTGCCTGCTGGTACCTTCACCAGGCACTACAACCAGAGTGGTTGGTCATTTTTCAGCTCCCCTTTTTGAAGGAGAACAAGCTCATCAGAACACTCCTCACGCCCTGTTAGCATAAATATTAAATACAGCTCGCAATTAATGGAGGTGAATTCACACCCTAAAACTAAAGGCTGTAGATCTAAAGACCCCAACTGTAAACACATAATTTACACACTGGGAAACACAGGGCGGAGGAGAATGAAAAGGAGAGGAGGGAGCCTGTAAATAAGCAGACAATTGCCTACCTGTCAGCTCAGGACTCCCCAGCATCAGTTTATTACACATCATTCAGGTGCACGATACAACCAATGGATATCCGAGTAATGAAGCAGACCAGATGATCCCCCTTTTTATTTTTATTTTTATTTTTATTTTTATTTTTTTAAAACTTTTCAAGACCTTTCTCAGTGGTATGGAATGAATACCAGGAGAGTAAGTGCTGTAATTACAAGTCCAGAATTTGTCAATCTGATGGGCTGGGGATGCCAGCTGTGGGGTGGAGGAGCAGCTATTTCATTTCATGCCCTCTGGGACAGTGGTATCTCCAATAACTGCTGAAATCAACCTAAGGTTGAATACAAACCAACAAATGTTGGCCTGTGCCATCACACACTTTGCCTACTTGGTGCTGTGTTAAAACAACGCAGCTATGCCCATCCCCAGACATGCTGAGCTCTGCTGCCAGGAGTCCTGCTCTCTCCTTCAAGAAGGAAAGCCTTCAAACTCTAAAGGGGAATCATAGAATCACTAAGGTTGGAAAAGACCTCAAAGCTCATCCAGTCCAACCGTTCACCTATCACCAATAGCTCCCACTAAACCATGTCCCTCAACACAACATCCAGCCTTTCCTTGAACACCCCCAGGCTCGGTGATTCCACCACCTCCCTGGGCATCAATTCCAGTGCCTGACCACCCTTTCTGAACAGTAATACTTCCTCATGTCCAGCCTGAATCTCCCCTGCCATAGCTTGAAGCCATTCCCTCTGGTCCTATCGCTGATGACACGAGAGAAGAGGCCGACCCCCAGCTCACTACAACCTCCCTTCAGGAAGTTATAGAGAGAAGAGGGTAGGTGGGAGAACAGAGACCAAAGAAGCCCTGGCGAGCTCCCATTTGCAACCACAGTCATCCGTAACACAAAAGGCAGAAGTGCTTTTTCCTTACAACACAGAGATAGATACAGATAGCTGTAGATATTATGACAAAACAGACTAAATAGCAAACTTGAAGGAGAAACTACAGTTTGCATGAAAAAGACGAAAAAAAAATCCTACTTTTTCTTGCAATGCTTTTAATCTTTTGTTCAGCAGAGTACTTGCAGATTAAGGACAGCAGGATACTTTCCTATGGGAAATGAAAGACTGTCTTCAGCACGATGCACATTCATATAACACTGCTAAGCAAGGACAACATGTTACTGCTCAGCACTTCTAATTGAAAGATGTCACTATCATTAATTAATGAGTTTGGGATAGTAAAAACTTAAGAATGTCTTATAAAACCATCCATATCAATGAATAAATAATAGCTGACTCTAGATCATTAAAATACACAGAACTCCCTACAGTAAAGTCAAATAATTTCCTTTAGGATCTCCCGGTCTAAGGGAGGTTCCTGCAGCTCTCCCACCCAGAGCCGAGGAGCAGGGCAGCGCATCCCATCCCCCAGTCAGCTCCGTGCATTTGTTTTAACTGCAACATCACAGACATGAGTGACGAAAGTAAGTTGTCTCATCACCCCTCCCCACCACTGCCCCATCGCTTTCAGGGGATAAATAAAACAATGCTGCATTCCCTGATCAGCAGGGGATAACAGGAACCCCCTGGAATGAGTCTGACTGGAGAGGGAAAACCAATTCGCCAACTTCTATCCCACTGGGAAACGTCAGCAGTTATTGGCTGCACAAAGTTATTCCCATGGTTTTATGGATTTTGTGCCTAAATGAATGGCTGTGCCTCAGAACCGCTACCTAACGACAGGTTTTCCTTTTATTTTGAATGGGATGAAAACAAATCAGATGACCTGTGGTAAAGGCTTCGTGTGGCAGCTGCCCCCCAAACCTCAGCAAGCGCTGCGCTTCCCACGTTGCAACAAACATTTTGTCCCAACATGGCCCGATTCGTCCTTACGCTGAACTGTAATCATCTTTCCCACTTCTCAGAGCAGTTGTACTGCTCAAGGTGAACCTCTGCAGAAGGGGACGCAGTGGGATGCTGTGCTGCTGCTGCACTGTGACTTGGATCCAACCTGAACCCCAGTTTCCAAATGCAGAAGATGCATTAAACCTGAGACTCCGCCGCACGCGCAGACAGCCTACTTAGCATGATTTAATTAAGAGGAATCAAAGCAATCTAATTATTGCAAGAGAATGTTTTTGGAACAATGCCCAACTTGGAGAAACTGAACTATGAAAGGCTTTCCAAGGAAATAAGTTACCAAGGAACAAAAGCAATGGAGCCAACAGCTGGAGGGAGGAAAGCCATTCCCTCTCATCCTGTCGCTGTTAGCTGGGAGCAGAGGCTGACCCCCACCTCGCTACAACCCTCTGCTAGGGAACTGCAGGGAGCTCTTTCCTGAGCCTCCTCTTCTCCAGACTGAGCCATCCCAGCTCCCTCCGCCGCTCACCGTAAGAACTTCTCTGGGCACAACTCCAGCATCTCCAAGTCCATCTTGTAATGAGGGATCCAAACAGAAGAGGGGATAAAGCAGCGGGTCCTGAAGTGACAAGGGAACTGCTGCAGCACTGCCAGGCCCAGTTCCAACCTCCTGCCCCTGTGGGCTGAACCCCAGCACGCACACAGAGGAACGGCCCTGCAGGATGGACCCAGCAGCAGCTTTGGGCAGAGGACAGATCAGCAGCTCCAGCCCAGGGACTGAAAAAGCACCTGAGATGGCTGAAGGCCTGCTAATGACAAACACCACAAACAGCGGATTTGCTTTTCTCTAAAGTGATAAAAGTAGAATTGAATTAATCCAGATTGCACGCTTTATAGGGCAGCTGTCAGCTTGATGCAACGCGTCCTCCGAGCGGCTGGAACAAACTCTGGCTTAGCCATAAAGCAGGTTGGTGTCAGTCAGGCAGCTCATAGCCAGATCATTCCATGGCTGTTATGCCACACAGCAAGGCAGCACCACTGACGTTTTTTAAAAACATTCATTTTTTAGCACATGGGAAGCATTGAAAACAACGAAAAAAGATCGGCACTGGTCTTCCCCAAAACGTAACTCCTTCAAAGACTGGTGGTACAGTTTTTTGTGTTTGGTTTAGTATAATTAAAAAGACATTTTGAATAACATGGCCATTGAGAAAATGAAAAGTGTCAGCAGCAAGAACGTGCCTGTTTACATGGCAGTGAATTAAGGTGAAAACATCAGAGATTACTCAGACCCACAGCACCACATCTCCACACCTGTGCTTCTGGGCTGATTTTTGTGCTTGCATGAAAGCTCTGCCAACCCACATCTCCATTACAAAAGCAAAGTCCAGAGACTAGGGTTTTTTGTTTTTGTTTTTGTTTTTTTTAACTATTTAAGGCGTATTCATCATGAAAACAATCTCAACATATGTGCACCATGCCAGCTAATGAATCCAAAGCATCTTCACCTGTGCCCCAACGTTTCTCTTCTATATTTCTATTAGGGAACAAGGAAGGAGCAGCAGTGCATGCACACTTGCAGTGTTTAGGCACAGTTATCAGTGTTGAATACAATGATACACAAGAAAGTGAAAAACCAAACCCTTCGTGCCATGTCAAGTGCTGGCAGTTCTGTAAGCCTTAAGATACAAAGAGAGTTTGTAAAGGCTGATTATACCATATACACATATAC